GTGTATTTACTTTATTTTTAAAGATAATAACCAATCAAAAGACACTACATCAAACAATCGAACCAATCAGCGAGCACAGTCGAGAGCAACGACGCAATCAGAACTAAGTTTTGGTTAAGTTACGAGCATTGGCTCACACGTAAATGTGGAGCGCCTGCCCCACCCACAAGGCCCTTCTAACCGCTTTCTGTGTTCTGTGAGTTTCAGAGTGTGTGTAATCTACTGAATCAAAACGTCCTCTTCTCGGGTCGATATTTTCATAGATCCTTTTTTTTATTCTTACAAATATTTTAGAGATTTATTTCCATATCGTATTATTACATTATACAGTAGAACTCGTTTAATACGATCACGCTTAATACGATTTCTCGCATAATACGTCATATTGCGTCAGTCCCTGCAAATTGAGACATGTTTTCATACATTTCTTAACGCTTAATACGATTCGTCATCCCGTTTAATACGCCTAAATCGCCAACACGTACCCACACATATTACTTCTTGAAGCAGCATAAAATTCAATGAGAATGTGTATAACACACAAGAAGTGGCCCTTAATGAAAATGATCAAGTAGAAGACGAGTCAACTCCGATTTTGTCTTCTTTGAATTAAAGCGAAGACGCACTGCAAAAGTTAAATTATGTTGAAAATCTTGTATTTGCTAATGCCTCAAAACCTTTTTGACAAACTAAAATAAGTGGTTAATTTAAATAATGTAATAATAAATAATAATACACTACATTTTTTTTTAATATACATAATTCTTAAGTATTGTACATACACATTTGAAATTACTCTATCCCGCAACCCCGCATTTCTTCGCTTAAGACGCGTTTTTGGTTGAGTCCTTGTAAAATCGTCTTAAACGGGTTTTACTGTATAAACTAATAAATATGAATAGGAATAGGCACAGCGCAGCTGGTTTTAAGCCTATCCATCGACAATTTTTTGTGGTTAGTTATATTTTCAATTCAATTATTAATAACCAATTAAATGTTAAATATATTAATTACAATGTCAATTTATTAAGTTATTTGTCATTCAAATCTTAGTCACTTCAATGTTAAGTAATATTTAAAATAGCAATTTTTTACTAGTCAATCAATTTACAATTTAGATAATATAATTCTTTCACACTTTAAAACAATAAAAGATAATTTAGGTACATTAATTAATTTTGTTCGTTTACAATTAATGACTCACACTACCCACTAATTATATTGCGAGATAAGCGTAATAGGGTATTTGACAATATTAAAAATAAAGTTCCAATTGTTAGCATCTGTGTTTAGAATAAATATTGGCAGGGGTTTTTACTATTTTTACAAAAAAAAATATTCATAATTTTACTAAAAACCCACGAAAAAGATAAAGATAATAGTTTTCTTATCTATTGTCACGTGACTCAAAACGCTTGGGATTGGCAGAGTCGAAAATGTCGTCACACGCAGGTAAACTTCCGGTTAAAGTGACATTACATTGTATCGTTTGACGTTTTAATAACAGTCGTGTGACGTTACACACTAGTAAGACGCTATATTGTCTAGAGAAACGTTTTCGCGGTATCTTGAAAATGGAGTTTTTGATTTGGTTATTTTTACTGAAATACACAACAAAATGATGAATATCCATCTTTTTACGGACTCCTTAAACATTAGTCGATAACGTGAGATCGTTTTCTAAAACTTGTCAAATACCCTATTAAATTTGCTCTCATAGGGACAGACAATATTTTCAAATTGCTTTTGAATATTCAGCAGATAGGTACTTCTTGAATTAAGACTTGAATGATACTAGATACTTTAACAATTGGCCATCGGGTGGGTCACTTCTTTAACCATACCAATACCAAATGTAGTGTTGAACTGTGTTGGTTGTGGGAGATATGCTTATTTGGTATTCCGTCACAAAAGTTTTTTAGGCTCCGCTCTCTCGAAAAAGATATAGCGTGCTATCATCATATGAGATACTTTAATGTATAGAGAAACCGAGTTTCGAAAAGTATAGGATTTGTGTTTACGTTCATCATCATCAGCCTATTAATGTCCCCACTGCTGGGGCACAGGCCTTCCCCGTGGATGGAATAGGGAGATTGGGCCGCCGTGACCCACCACCGGTGCCGATTAGCGGGTGCTAACGACTGCAGATGCGGCCGAGGGACTCGAGTTAGAAGATTTTTTGATCACCCATCCAATGACCGACCACTGCGAAAGTTGCTTAACTTCAACGATCGCAGCCGAACGCGCTAACCACCTGCGCCATCGAGCTCCTCCTCCGAACGCCTCAAGTGTTTATGTTATTATCATTATTATTATCATCAGCCTATTAATGTCCCCACTGCTGGGGCACAGGCGTTCCCTTTGGATGAAATAGGGAGATTGGGCCATGACCCACCACGCGGGCCCAGTGCGGATTGGTGTGTGCTAACGACTGCAGATGCAGCCGGGACCAACGGCTTAACGTGCCTTCCGAAGCACGGAGGAACTCGAGATAGTAATTTTTGGTCACCCATCCAATGACCGACCACTACGAAAGTTGCTTGACTTCAACGATCGCAGCCGAACGCGCTAACCACTTGCGCCATCAAGCTCCTCCTGTGTTTGTGTGTTTACGTTAGTTAGCGACTAATCGTCTCTTAATTTGTCATAAATACTAACTGATTGTAAATAGTCGTGTCCAGATTAACTGCATAGCTTTTCACTGAGTGTCTCGATGAGGTCACCAGTGCCTAGTTTATGTGAAGTAGGTATATATCCAGTATAATAATAGGATCATTATGTTTTCATAACGCAATGTTAATTATGATGTACTATTTCTATGTTTGGATAGTTTAAACCTGTCCAAGTACCTAGGTTAATGGACTTCAAAATGTAGTCCAGTATGAAAACCAGATAATAGTTATAATGTAATATGTATTAAGTATATCATTTTATGAGTAAAAAATATTATAACATCTTGTAAGGTAAGTATAAATGACATTCGAAGAAGCATCAGAATGGAAATCAACAAAAAAATGATAATTACAAATTAAGTACCTTTTTATGATAGAAAATATTTTCTTTAGACACATAATTTATTTGGATTTCATATGAAATTTGTTTGGTAGCATAGAAGCAATGAAAATTGAAATCAAATATTTTTTTGTTGTTTAATTTTACAATCATACATTCAAATTAATAAATATGTACCTATGCAATAAGTATATTTTGCTTTGTGGTTTGACTTTATCTTTGTTTCGTCTTCAACCAACCGTCTTTTATTTCATGAGACCAGGGTTGCCAACCATAGATGTTTTTCCTCGTACTGATGTAGCTAAAATTCTCGTTATCTGGCTTTCGAAACCCCTAAAATTGGTAAATAGACCAACGGGTCAACTAACCATAGACTGTAAAGCAATGTTTTTCCAGTGAAATTTTCTTTAGCTTCAAACCTCTAGCAGCAAATGCTTAAAATAAGAATTATAATAAACAGAGACTGCTTTGAACACTTACGGTTTATTCTCCTACAATGAAAAATCATGTTATAAAGGACATTGGGCAAAAATGTATGGACGCTGCACCCATGTCCGCCACGGCTTAAACTACATTTGTTCGAAAGGTATTATAGTCAAATTCATCTTCGTGCCAAAGCGCATCAAATTCCATCCCGGGGGTCTTTAGTTATTTTTAGTTAAATATGTACAAGTACTATAACGAAAGATATTAATGAAACAAGGAATTAATTTAGTTAGTTAGTTCGACCCTACATAGGGTGCTCAGGAATCATGGGAGTACTTCATAAGTGCAAGGGTGCCCCTTATGTTATTCTGTCGCGCTAGAGTAAATCCATAAATCCGCGCATGGGTCGGGTTTTTTTAAACATTCTGTTCGTTATAGTTAATTGTCTTCTATGTAAAACGGAGCGACCACAAATATCACAAACTTGTCCACGCTTCGGACTTCGGAGGAGAACACATAATTCCAGTTTATCCATACTAATTGACAAAACCGATAATCGTGTTCCAATATCCAAAGCGTGTTAGATAAAAATCAATCAGGTAGCAGAGAGCGCACAATCACAACGAAGTAAGACGAGTCGACTATTTGCAACTGCAAGTCCTTCAGCATTCGTAAACCGTTTTGAAATGTCTCAGTAAGAGCAAGCGCAGGATGGTCGGCAGGCTTTGTCGTATATCTGGTTGTATAGTTCGATATGGCATATTACTATGATTACTAATAATATAAAATGAAGGTATTATAAAATGAATTTATTCAGCTACTTAAATATGCCCATGTGTCATATATATTGACTACCAGGATATTTTTTAGGGTGTCATATCTTTTGACTCCCAGGATAATTATTTTCGGTGTCATAATAAAAAAAGTCTAGTTTTTCATAGATCTATCGATTCATACTAATTACTTTGTTGGCGGAGCTGGGTGCACATTGCCCATTGTCCTTTATCTGATAAAATCTCGTACATATATGTAGTGTTCTCGTATCTCGTACGGAAAACTAGACGTATTGCACGAGAATTGTCGTACAGTTGGCAACCCTGAACGAGACCATCTCAACTCCCCAAATCCTGACTGGTCAATGTAAAACTCGGGTTTATCATCGATTCCAGTTCGGGTTTTGCTAACTGACTAGTTTCTGATTTCTATACAAGTGCTTGCCACTGCTACCTTGCAATCTATACTTCTATACGAATATTATAAAGAGGAAAGATTTGATTGTTTGTTTGTATTGAGCAGGCTCCGAAACTAATAGATCGATTATTTTTTTTAAGAATATTACGATTTTTAATTCAGATTTAGAATATTACATTATCCGTGATGACCATAGCCTATAGATTAATAAAAAAAAAATAAGGGTTCATTTTGTATAATACAAGCCTGAGAACAGAAACTATAGTCTACACTACAGATCTACGCCGAAGCGAACCGAGGGCGGGCCACTTGTCAATCGTATAATAATAAGTGATTTTGCTGTCTAACATTTATGTTTTTTTTGTCTACAGGCGGTGGTTACCTTTTGGTGTTCGTGTGGGCATGGGTGTTGAGTTTGAGTCTCGGGGCCGAACCCCTGGGACCCTCGGACAGACCGGAGGCTTACTTCAACGGCAGCTCCTACATCCACCTCTCGCGCCCCATCTCACTTAAGCAGCTCGTAGGACTCAGTTTCCGCACATGTGTTGGTGAGTAAAATCTTCTCCAAATGTAAGCTACGTGAACCGATAAAACTATGAGAGCATTCTTTTATATCTTCAGCAAAATATACGTTGATCTTCAGCTTCTTTGTTTTTTGCTCCAATGTCTGTACGATCCTGGGCATATCATTAAAGCGTTTAAACTTGAAAAATGCAATATGTCCTACCGATTGTATACGAAGCAATTTTAATGTAGATGTGTTGTCCCCACGACAACGGCTAACTAGAGCCGAGGTCCGAATCTCAGAGACGCCCTCTAGTTGAGCCAACCCCCTCAGGTTCGAGTGGTCTAGAGGCTCCAGACGGAGAGGAGACTCCCCCCGTGGGGAGACGCCATCCGCCTGGAATACCTCTAGAGGCACTCGCCAATTCTCGGCTTGAGGTCCCCTTAGGATCTCGCCGTCCCCAAACCCGGTGACACTGTAAAGGTCATCTGCGACCAACAGCATACACACTCCAAAAAAAGTGTTGTCATTTCGACTATTTGTTTCTGTTTTGGTGAACGTTTAAACTTGAACTTAAGGATAAATCACCATTATATCTGTAGGTAGTTGAATCAACCAGAAGTGCAGCGTCGCAGGTGGTTAAGTTGTGTGGGTTTTCCGAGAAAAGCGTCTTCCTCTAAGCGCCGAGCTCGAGGTCCCACGGGGCTTCGCTTTCACCAGCGCGTCACGTGAGCTTCTGCAAGCAAGCCTGCTGGTGTCCGATCGCGGAAACTAATCTATATCGCGTGACTGAGCCGCACATTCGATACATTTAAAAATATTTATTAGAAAGCGGTGTCATTGAACACTGCAAGATTGGGTCGACAACGCAAACTATACTGCTGTGGCTGGGTGTCTCATCAATCATGTCGGTGCGCAATTGCAGCAAAAATCTTTATGGTTTCTGCTGCGTGTGCGCATCGCGCTCGCGTTGAGACTATAATGATATTACCGACTGCTCTTGAGAGGACATGTTAAAACGATACCAGAATCATTTATTGAGATTAATTTTATAAATTTGTTCAATGACCCTTTGCGTGTCTTTTGTAAGGACCTTAAATATACGTCCTTATTGGTGTCGATTCTGGCGTGATTCTCTAAACTTAAAACTAAATTTAACGTCAGTCTCTCCTTTTCATTCTGTATAGAAAATGCTAAGGATACACTGTTGCCAAATTTAAGTTTAGGTTTAGAGAATCATGCAAGAATCGACATCATTCTTAGCTTTAAAAAGCTCTAAAATTAGTAATGAGTATTGACGATTTGAATTTATTTAAAATAGTGTATGTTTTAATTTTGTATTGAATGTAAATGCTTTTGTTTGATGTTATAGCTTACTGAACTAAATGAAACGTATAATACTATGTTCAATAATGGCGCGTGTCGGCTGCCGTCTCACTCGTGTCGGCGCGTGCTATGCGTTACGTCACGCACAGATTCGCCGCCCGCGATCCTCTCAATCTAACATACTTTTACATTCACACAATAATTGGCTAATATTATTATGCTTTTGGATAACAGACATAACAATTGATGCCACAGGTAAATGAAACCTAAAAATACAGTACAGTGTTTATCAATGAGGGCTATCGTTTTTTGTCTCACCAGATGGCGCCACTGTTGAGTGAGGTCCTGAAGTGTAACTTATAAAGTTAGTAAACACGCTCGTGATATCAAAGTTTAAATTTTAATACAAAAGAATCGTATCTTAAACATAATCGCCCATGCCACAGTGTTGCGCAGTCCCGTTTTGTTCAGAAAAAAGAAGGACAATATTTTTTCTTAGCTCCGCTTTTAAATAACTGACAATCATTGACACGTAACTCATATTTGCCATAATAAGTCTGATTTATTACCAAATATTCACAACTATTATTTTAATTAGAAAAAAACCGCGTAGTCAACCCGCAAGCTATAACATTTGACATTTCGGAGACCTCACACAACACAAGCGCCTCTAGCGGCGGTTTCAGACGCGATAGCCCTCATTGCAATATGCGTTTCTCACCAATTTTCACGTGACGTCTTAACCACGCCGTGACCAATTGACTCGTAACGATGCCGCATATTAATAATGCAGCAGGTTTTATTTTAAATAGGTCTATTATTACATGGCGCATTACCGCAATCAGTTTTCATAAACTTGATTTGCTCCACGTCATTGAACAGGTTACCACTGTTTTGTTGAATTTTCACGTCTCATTTCATTCATTTTAGATGGACCGTGGAATACGTCTTGCATTCTAGGTATTGATAGCTCATTTATGTCCATTATTGCTGTAGTAGATTAGAAAGCTAGTGTCGTAAAGCTCGTTATCATAATGTTTCACTGAATAGGGGTGATGACGGGGTACAGTAAACGAAATTCTATTTAGTCCGTCAGTTAGATGATCAAAAAATAATGGACACGTATTTTTTCTTTGGACAATCAACTAAAAAATGACAAAGTTATAGCGCGTCAAAGTTTGGGAGTAAGACCTCGTGACGTCACTTTTTAGTGAATTTTCACTTAAAAGTGTACTCAAACGTGACGTCATGCGACTTTTCAAATCAATATATCTCTGCAATGTTTATATTATGTGAAAAAAGAAAAAATACGTGTCCAATACTTTTTGACAATCTACCTGATAAACGAAGAAAAAAAAATTAGTCGAGGTTTCCTCATGTGCGATATTTTTTCATTATTACTTTCCTCATGCAAAGAGCTTTAAAGTGCTACAATCCATATGCATTGCTTATCATACGACAGCTATCCACTATAATCTGTAATCGAAGGTTATCCTCGTCATTTGCCTACATCTCACAATTTGTTTGCGCGCCATCACGTTAGCTAGATAAACGTAGCCTGGCTCGCCCCAGAAACCTGATGCCAGGCTAAGTGACTCCGTGACACCGCTGCCCTAAATAATAGACGCACAATGTTTCAAACCCCTTTCACATGATAGACATAGTTTGTGGAGTAGTCGATGGTTACTATATTATTTCTCAAAGCTTTTCCCCATACCTGCTTCAGTACCTGGGGGCCAATCGCCTAACTGGATTGCTTTGGAAAACGCTATCGCTTACGATTTCATTTTGTTATTTCTAGCCGCCTGAGGTTTTCAAATGCCTCGCGCTCTTTTTTTTTCTTTTGCATTGGTAATAACAATGTTAAAGAAAATGAGCGTGAGGTATTTGAAAACCTTCGGCGGTTAGAAATAACAAAATGAAATCGAAAGCTATAGCGTTTTCCAAAGCAATCTGGTTAGGCGATTGGCCCACTGGGCTCGGTCATTGGAAGTCTTAATCATATGTAAATTATGCGATCTACCTAGAAGCAAGTTTTCGTTTTGCATGATGCTCTAACATTACAAACCAGACATATTTCTGGGTCAAATGTAGTTAGCTTAAAATGTAAACGTTATCAACTCATTTCATACTTTTTAATTTTCGATTTGCTATTGAATTTTGTGTAAAGCTTTAGTGTTTAAAGTTTAGATTTACATGGATAGGTTTTATTAAAATCTCAAAATTACTAATGGATAGGGATGAAATCTTTTGGACATGCATATTCATATTATTAAAAATTAAGTTAAAAGATTTTTTAGGCATCATGATTTGTATTTTTAATTTCGAGGAGCTCGATGGCGCAGATGGTTAGCGCGTTCGGCTGCGATGGTTGAAGTTAAACAAATTTCGCAGTGGTCGGTCATCAAAAACATCTATCTCGAGTTCCTCCGTGCTCCGGAAGGCACGTTAAGCCGTTGGTCCCGGCTGCATCTGCAGTCGTTAGCACCCGCCAATTCGCACTGGGCCCGCGTGGTGGGTCATGGCCCAATCTCTCTATTCCATCCATAGGGAAGGCCTGTGCCCCAGCAGTGGGGTCATTAATAGGCTGATGATGATGATTTGTATTTATTGTGTTGATATATCGTTACTTGATATAGGCATGCGTGCGTCCGCTCATCTTTCTGAGCATGGTCGCATAATTCACGGAGTGCGTTCTCAGCATACGTGATGTGGTGCAATGTTCGCAGGCGGTGAATTGTTTTCACAACGGATCGAGCGGTACACGCTACACGTGGTGGCGCTGTTCGAGCAGGTGGTGGTGTCGTGGGCGCTGGGCACGCAGTCCACGCGCGATGTGGGCCTGCCGCTCGAGACGCTGGACAACCGCTGGCATTGGGTGGCGCTGCGCTACCGGCCCAACCCGCCCGCGTTGCTGCTTGAAGTGGACAACCACACGCAGGTACATCAACAGCCTATCCTAGTCCACTGCTGGACATAGGCCTCTCCAATTGAACGCCACTCCGATCGATTTTGGGCTACTCGCATCCAGCTCTTGCCGGCCACCTTGCGCAAATCGTCACTCCACCGTGCCTGAGGACGTCCTACACTACGTTTGCCTAGACGCGGTCTCCACTCCAGAACTCGTCTACCCCTACGGTTACGGCAAATATGGCCAGCCCACTGCCACTTCAGCTTACTAATCCGGTGGGCTATGTCGATAACTCTGGTTCTCTGTCGGATTACCTCATTTCTGATGCGATCCTTCAGAGAAACGCCGAGCATAGCCCTTTCCATAGCGCGCTGAGCGACTTTGAACTTGTGGACCAGCCGTACTGTCAGTGTCCACGTCTCGGCTCCGTATGTCATCACAGGTAGGACGCACTGAATGAAGACACGTCTTTAGGCACTGTGGGATCGACGATGTCAGGACTTGACGTAGCTTCCCAAACGCTGCCCAACCTAGCCGAATTCTTCTCTTCACCTTCGATCGGATAATCTGCTCTGCACGTTATTCTCTTTTTCCCCTGGAAGACATCCTGTATTTCTTTGTCCGTACATCTGCCATCTTAAACCATCTGCAATTCTCGTTTTCGCAAAACTTTGAAATGTGATAATGATGTGGTGGTTTGGTGTGGTATGCAGGTGATAGCGAACGTGACGTGGAACCCGGAACTGTTGTCGGCGGGCGCGCTGGAGTCGGGCGGCGCCGTGGTGCTGGTGGGAAACCTGTTCAGCGGCTGCATCCACGAGGGGCCGCAGCTGGAGTTCCACCCGCACTCCGTGCACGCGCACAACGTGCTGTTCGGGCACTGCCCGCTCACCACAGACGACTGTGAGGGACTGCACACTATATACTTAGCTTGAAACAGCTAGACAAAGCGAAACCTCTTCTCGCTTAATACTTGCCACATATTTACTATTATTTCTTTATTGCACACAAAAATTGTAAGATCCAAAACATAAATATGTGAGCAAAGGAGGGCTTATCCCTAAGAGAGATCTCTTCCAGCCAACCAAGGTTTAGTAAGAGAAAAAACTTGCAGATTATATACCTATCTAAGATTACATACATAAATATATATATTCATATGTATATACACAAATACTTACAATAAATACATACACATACACATACAGACGTACATACATACATATATATTACTTACTTACTATGGCTACTTTTATATTGATAGTGACTCATTCCTTAGTCTCATTATTCGGTAATGGAATGCTTTGCCCGCTCACGCGCTCCTTTCCTTCTACAACCCTGGGTCCTTTAAGAGAGATGTAAAGAAGCAACCTGCAGGTCAGCATGGTGAGATAGATCGGGTGTGGCAGGTGGAACTACTGCAGTGGTTATGTTTGCGTCTGGATTCCACCGTCATTTAATATCAAACTAGCAAACCAGTGAACCAAATGTTCACCAAAACCTGATTTCTCGAAAACCGGAAGTGCTACGTTACTCAAATCCGGTTTGTAGTCTTATCAGACTATTCTTAACTTATAACTTAAATATTCTCTTTATCCATCTCTTACGGTTTGGCCGCTGAAACAGCACCACAGACAGACGGACTTGTCTAATAGATAAGAGATGGGGTGAAGTAATTTGCTTGAATCTAATTAATATTATTATGCAAAAACAAATACGCATTACTTAAGCTAATGAAGTGAAATGCTATATGGTTTAAAATTTGTAATGCATGGATAAGCGATAACTTTACAGAAGAAATTTAACAGTTATAATTATTTTAATTTCATTTTGTGACAGGTAAAGACAGAGTAGACGTAGTGAGGATCCCGCCTAAAGACCATTGCTACAACGAACCTTGCATGCGACACGGGACTTGCATATCAAGACATGACAGGTTTGGATGGTCATTTATTTATTTGTAACGAACATACGCATAATGCGATTCAACTAAGAATAGGACCGACTGGGCGACATATTGTGACGTCATAGCTGTCAATTCAAACCAAATAGGTGGAGTGAGCAAAAAAAGTTTTTATTTAATAAAACTTATTTACTAAGATTAAGTGAGAAAAAGCATCAGATTTTTTTAATAACATTTATTTACTAAGATTAAGAAAAAATAACCTCCGAATTTTAATAATATTTATTTATTAAGACTGTAAGAAAAAACATTTAATCAGAATCTAGCTCTTCTATTCCGCTCATTTCTGCATTACCGCCGGAGTAGTTAAGAATAATCATGCACTATTACTAGGTCACATACGAACATGCATCCTTTATGTAAAAGAAAGTTTGAAATCGAGTTTTTGAACGCAACTTAAAATGACATTTGGTTGACGATTTAGTTTATCAACCATTCATAGCCAAAGCTCAATAAGTGAAAAAAAAATATCTACCGATATTAATTATCAATATTTGTTATTGTTTGTTTACAAATGTTTGGTTTTTGTTCTAGAATTTACGGAGTGATCAAAAAGGATTCCAAGTTTTTTTTTGTAAACCGTACTTTTCAAGCGACATTTGACAGATAGAGGTCATTGGCTTTCCTATTCTTATTTGAATGGCATAGTTTGTGTGATTGTTTGTTTTATTTATTGTTGCTTATTTTTTGACTAATTTTGTGTGAATTGCTTTCATGATTTGATTGTTATTTTCCATAGATACGAATGCCACTGCACGGCTCGGTATACAGGCAATAACTGCGAAGTAGATGCCGGGGACCCCTGCCGGTTTTTGTTCTAGAATTTACGGAGTGATCAAAAAGGATTCCAAGTTTTTTTTTGTAAACCGTACTTTTCAAGCGACATTTGACAGATAGAGGTCATTGGCTTTCCTATTCTTATTTGAATGGCATAGTTTGTGTGATTGTTTGTTTTATTTATTGTTGCTTATTTTTTGACTAATTTTGTGTGAATTGCTTTCATGATTTGATTGTTATTTTCCATAGATACGAATGCCACTGCACGGCTCGGTATACAGGCAATAACTGCGAAGTAGATGCCGGGGACCCCTGCCGCTCTGCCCCCTGCGCCCACGGGGGCTCCTGCCGCGAGACCCCGCGCGGAGACTACCGCTGCACCTGTCCACCCGCCTACCACGGTAACCGACCGGCAAACAATAAACAACTGGAGTACCGAATAACTCGCACCAGATCGTTTATAAATGCTAGAAAAAAGAGAGGTCCCAAATGTGATCCCTGGGGAACTCCTGAGTAAACCAGTTTATAATCAGATTCATATAGGACGCGTTGAAAACCTATTTCAGTGTATCTATAGACGGATTGTGGTCGTTCCGCAGGGCCCCGCTGCGAGCTGGAAGTGTCGCTGGACCCGCAGTGCGTGGCGCAGCCGTGCCGCAACAACGGCAGCTGCAGCGTGCCGCCCGGCGCCGACCGCTACGTGTGCGTCTGCCCGCCAGGTATATCCCGCACTACACTACACTACACTACACTCACACACACTCACTATACACGCAGCCGTGCCGCAACAACGGCAGCTGCAGCGTGCCGCCCGGCGCCGACCGCTACGTGTGCGTCTGCCCGCCAGGTATATCCCGCACTACACTACACTACACTACACTCACACACACTCACTATACACGCAGCCGTGCCGCAACAACGGCAGCTGCAGCGTGCCGCCCGGCGCCGACCGCTACGTGTGCGTCTGCCCGCCAGGTATATCCCGCACTACACTACACTACACTACACTCACACACACTCACTATACACGCAGCCGTGCCGCAACAACGGCAGCTGCAGCGTGCCGCCCGGCGCCGACCGCTACGTGTGCGTCTGCCCGCCAGGTATATACCGCACTACACTACACTACACTCACACACACTCACTATACACGCAGCCGTGCCGCAACAACGGCAGCTGCAGCGTGCCGCCCGGCGCCGACCGCTACGTGTGCGTCTGCCCGCCAGGTATATACCGCACTACACTACACTACACTACACTACACTACACTACACTCACACACACTCACTATACACGCAGCCGTGCCGCAACAACGGCAGCTGCAGCGTGCCGCCCGGCGCCGACCGCTACGTGTGCGTCTGCCCGCCAGGTATATACCGCACTACACTACACTACACTACACTACACTCACACACACTCACTATGCACGCAGCCGTGCCGCAACAACGGCAGCTGCAGCGTGCCGCCCGGCGCCGACCGCTACGTGTGCGTCTGCCCGCCAGGTATATACCGCACTACACTACACTACACTACACTCACACACACTCACTATACACGCAGCCGTGCCGCAACAACGGCAGCTGCAGCGTGCCGCCCGGCGCCGACCGCTACGTGTGCGTCTGCCCGCCAGGTATATACCGCACTACACTACACTACACTACACTCACACACACTCACTATGCACGCAGCCGTGCCGCAACAACGGCAGCTGCAGCGTGCCGCCCGGCGCCGACCGCTACGTGTGCGTCTGCCCGCCAGGTATATACCGCACTACACTACACTACACTACACTACACTCACACACACTCACTATGCACGCAGCCGTGCCGCAACAACGGCAGCTGCAGCGTGCCGCCCGGCGCCGACCGCTACGTGTGCGTCTGCCCGCCAGGTATATACCGCACTACACTACACTACACTACACTACACTACACTCACACACACTCACTATACACGCAGCCGTGCCGCAACAACGGCAGCTGCAGCGTGCCGCCCGGCGCCGACCGCTACGTGTGCGTCTGCCCGCCAGGTATATACCGCACTACACTACACTACACTACACTACACTCACACACACTCACTATGCACGCAGCCGTGCCGCAACAACGGCAGCTGCAGCGTGCCGCCCGGCGCCGACCGCTACGTGTGCGTCTGCCCGCCAGGTATATACCGCACTACACTACACTACACTACACTCACACACACTCACTATACACGCAGCCGTGCCGCAACAACGGCAGCTGCAGCGTGCCGCCCGGCGCCGACCGCTACGTGTGCGTCTGCCCGCCAGGTATATACCGCACTACACTACACTACACTACACTCACACACACTCACTATGCACGCAGCCGTGCCGCAACAACGGCAGCTGCAGCGTGCCGCCCGGCGCCGACCGCTACGTGTGCGTCTGCCCGCCAGGTATATACCGCACTACACTACACTACACTACACTACACTCACACACACTCACTATGCACGCAGCCGTGCCGCAACAACGGCAGCTGCAGCGTGCCGCCCGGCGCCGACCGCTACGTGTGCGTCTGCCCGCCAGGTATATACCGCACTACACTACACTACACTACACTCACACACACTCACTATGCACGCAGCCGTGCCGCAACAACGGCAGCTGCAGCGTGCCGCCCGGCGCCGACCGCTACGTGTGCGTCTGCCCGCCAGGTATATACCGCACTACACTACACTACACTACACTCACACACACTCACTATGCACGCAGCCGTGCCGCAACAACGGCAGCTGCAGCGTGCCGCCCGGCGCCGACCGCTACGTGTGCGTCTGCCCGCCAGGTATATACCGCACTACACTACACTACACTACACTCACACACACTCACTATACACGCAGCCGTGCCGCAACAACGGCAGCTGCAGCGTGCCGCCCGGCGCCGACCGCTACGTGTGCGTCTGCCCGCCAGGTATATACCGCACTACACTACACTACACTACACTCACACACACTCACTATACACGCAGCCGTGCCGCAACAACGGCAGCTGCAGCGTGCCGCCCGGCGCCGACCGCTACGTGTGCGTCTGCCCGCCAGGTATATACCGCACTACACTACACTACACTACACTCACACACACTCACTATGCACGCAGCCGTGCCGCAACAACGGCAGCTGCAGCGTGCCGCCCGGCGCCGACCGCTACGTGTGCGTCTGCCCGCCAGGTATATACCGCACTACACTACACTACACTACACTCACACACACTCACTATGCACGCAGCCGTGCCGCAACAACGGCAGCTGCAGCGTGCCGCCCGGCGCCGACCGCTACGTGTGCGTCTGCCCGCCAGGTATATACCGCACTACACTACACTACACTACACTCACACACACTCACTATGCACGCAGCCGTGCCGCAACAACGGCAGCTGCAGCGTGCCGCCCGGCGCCGACCGCTACGTGTGCGTCTGCCCGCCAGGTATATACCGCACTACACTACACTACACTACACTCACACACACTCACTATGCACGCAGCCGTGCCGCAACAACGGCAGCTGCAGCGTGCCGCCCGGCGCCGACCGCTACGTGTGCGTCTGCCCGCCAGGTATATACCGCACTACACTACACTACACTACACTCACACACACTCACTATGCACGCAGCCGTGCCGCAACAACGGCAGCTGCAGCGTGCCGCCCGGCGCCGACCGCTACGTGTGCGTCTGCCCGCCAGGTATATACCGCACTACACTACACTCACACACACTCACTACACACTACCGAAATCAGTTTCTATGAAAATGGTACGTAAAAACAAACTAGCTTTTTCCATATAAACCATTCCATATTACTTTACCATATCGATAAGGTCAATGATCCTTCGAGCTGGAATCGATGTTTATATATGCCTTAACAATAGCACACGGCATTCCTAAACTTTGTTAAATCAGTTTTTTTTATATATTTTTTATTTTATAGTCAATTTCTATATCATTTACATTTATAATGGCAAGTGATTTCATGAGTTATCTCATATTGAAGTCATTTTTCAATTTGACGACTCTGTATATAATACAGGGAGAAAAAAACAGCCCTTGCTGAGTTTTTTGCCGATTCTTCTCAGTACAGTAGATTTGCAAACCGATGGCGTAACTTTTCAGCATTCACAAATGCTTGTAACATTTTGAATTTTTTTAATTTTATTTTGTCAGGATTCACCGGTCACGACTGCGAGATAGAAGTGGATGAATGTGTGGTAGCGGGCCCCAACGCCTGTCTCAACGGCGGCCGCTGTATCGACGCCCTAAACAACTACACGTGCGACTGTACTGACACAGGTATCGTACTAACTTTTTTTCTATATAAAAAGGTCTTAGATTAAAACAAACAGGGAAGAGAAGGCACTCGCGGCTTCAAGTGTTCCGCTTAAATTGTGGTGCATGACCACAATTTGGTCACAATAGGGATGATGACTAATTTTTTTTCTTCGTTTATCAGGTTATCAAAAAGTATTGGACACGTATTTTTTCTTTTTTCACATAATATAAACATTGCAGAGATATATTGATTTGAAAAGTCGCATGACGTCACACTTGAGTACACTTATAAGTGAAAATTCACTCAAAAGTGACGTCACGAGCCCCTACTCCCAAACTTTGACACGCTATAACTTTGTCATTTTTTGGTTGATTGCCCAAAGAAAAAATACGTGTCCATTATTTTTTGATCATCTAACTGACGGTTAAATAAAATTTCGTTTACTGTACCCCGTCATCACCCCTATTGGACATTCAAACACGCTGCATGTGCACTCAATATAATTGCGTATATTCTGTGTTAATAAAGATAAAGCCTTCAAAATCAAATATCAAATGCCTCGGCAACACTTTTCATTTGTAAAACTGTAAAAACATTTTTTTCTCAAAAATCATGGTTTCTCGTGAATGTTATTAACGTAATCACCATATTGTTATCAAGAAAAGGACAACAATACAACTCGGCCGTACGGACTCGGAAGCGGAGTCGCCGTTTCGCTCGCGCTGCCTTGAAGCGTACAGTTCTGTCTCGCTCGCTCGATTGAATGTTTATTTACAGACGTGTGCTTGTGTAGGAGTTGCTTATGTAGTTGAGTCGGATTATATTTTATTTATTTATTTGGCATGCCAACATTTTTACACCCAACATATTTAAAAAACATACGTTATACATAAAGTTGAGCAAAATCAGTTACAGGCATACACAACTTTTATTTCTGATACAATTAATGATAAAAACCAAACTAGGTATACAAACAAACATAAAAATAAACTATGATTAAGTTTCACAATCAATAGTCCTAATCAAGAGCCCTCCTAAATGCAATCAATGACGCAGCGAACAAATCCACGCCTACCAAGGACCCAGTACAGATTTTATTATGTTTTCATATATCCTATTTATAATACTGCGTGGCCAGGTTGGTTTTATAAATTTTTAAATTAAATAATCTATAGTTAGCTGGTCTGAAATTTGGTCGTGGTATATTAAAACTAATTTCATTAAGAAGTTGAGGACAATCGATGTTACTTCTCAGAATTTTATACAGTAAAATCCCATCAGCAATCCATCTGCGTTTCCGCAATGAAACCAACTCGAAATACTCCAATTTATCCTTATATGAGACGAGTTCGTATAATTTTCCCTGATGTCTAGTTAGAAAAGACAAAAACTTTTTTTCGATTCTTTCAATTCTGCTTTTATGGCACTCATAAAAAAAATCCAAATAGCAGAACAATAATATCCAAGGAACTGTGTACCAAAGCAAAGTATAGAGGTTTGAAAGCTTCAACATTATTAAACCGCTTACAACTACTCCAAAGAAATCGCAGCATTTTTAAACTCTTAGATATAATATGGTCAAAATGATGAGTGAAAAGTAATTTTTTAATCGGAGATCGTTTCTTAGTGAATTTTATATGCTTACATTTGGCAGGATTAAAAGGAAGCATATTTGCGTGTGACCAAGCTGCAGGTCCAGATCTTTTTGTAAATGCACAGCATCATTAGAATTTTGGACAGTTTTTTAGATTGAGATCGTCGGCAAACAATAAACAACTGGAGTGCCGAATAACTCGAACCAGATCGTTTATAAATGCTAGAAAAAAGAGAGGTCCCAAATGTGATCCCTGGGGAACTCCTGAAAAACCAGAATATAATCAGATTCATATCCACAAGTAACTACTTTTTGTGACCTCTCAGAAAGATAAGAACGACACCAGTCGAACAAAGTGCCGTGAACACCTGCCAAGCATAATTTATTCAGCATTATAGAGTGATCGAATGCTTTACTTATATCATTTAGATAGCATGCCAGATTTGTAATAATAGAAATCTTTTGACGAAAGATTTCTGCTGCTGAGGAACGAGGATGGATCCAAGATGATTTGTAAAATATGGGTACACTAATTTTTCAAACAGTTTAGGAAAACCAGATAATAAGGAAAAACCAGGTAATAAGGAAATAGGCCTATAATTTCGCACGTCGTTGGTATTTCTTGATTTAGGAATTGGTAAGACATAAGCCTTTTTCCAAACTAACGGAAAAACACCAGTAGATAAAGAATTATTAAAAATAATATTTAGTGGATATGATAGAGAAAGCCACAGTTTTTTAGGAATACGGCTGGCACTCCATCCGGACCTGGACCTTTCCTTAGATCAAGATTCTTCATCGCTTTTTCAATGCATTCTTCTGATAGATATATATTAGAAAGGGAATTATTATTGTTATAAGAAGTTTCCGTATTATGGTTTTCATGGGTATTTTGTAGAGAGACTGTTGTCATGTTTTCAAACAACAAATTCAAATAGCCAAATGAAGTACCGGCATTAAAAGAAGACAAAATGTTATTAGTCTTATCATGAACTATGACGAACGCAACGGTTCGAAGCTTTCCAATATGCTCAACATACTAGTTGCTACAGGTATTTCCCTCTACAGGGGCGGGGTAGTGTTGTTTGCAATCGTATTATAAATATTTGTGGCCTCTCCTCGTCCAGCTGTTTGTTGACTATTTGACGTCACGTATAACCGATTCACCGTATTGTCTTATTTGGGTAATCTTTTTAATTAAATAACCATGAGAAGCGTCACCGTTACGAGTGGATACATTATGGATTATTCATTGTTATCGGCGTAGGTTACACGGGTGCGAGATGCGAGACGAACGTGAACGAGTGTTTGGAATCGCGCGCTGTCTGCGGGCACGGCGTCTGCTACGACACGTACGGAGGATTCGTGTGTGCCTGCCGACCCGGCTACACCGGCCCGCGCTGCGACACGGTACGTCATATGCCCCGGCGTCTGGCACGCTAGCTTGTTATGGGTTATCAATCCACACCATTACCGTAATTCATAGAATGTCAATAATATTATTTCGTCACTATTAAGAGGAACTAAATGAACATAGTGCCCTTAAGGTAATCCATTTTTCGATACTTGAAAATAACATTCGTCACTATATAAAACTAGTTTTTACGGGTTAATGCACGAAACTTTATTTACTTATTGACGTTTCGTAGCCTTTACAGGCTTCGTCGTCAGAATAAAACTTTTATTTAATTTGTCGAGCTACCTTCGAAAGACTTTTATTGAGCGTTTTTGAAGGTGGCTCGACAAATTAAATAAAAGTTTTATTCTGACGTCTGAAAAGTCTTTCGAAGGTAGCTCGACAAATTAAATAAAAGTTTTATTCTGACGACGAAGCCTGTAAAGGCTACGAAACGTCAATAAATAAATAAAGTTTCGTGCATTAACCCGTAAAAACTAGTTTTATTTAATGAGTGATGTGCGTGAAAATCTAGGAAACAAACATTCGTCACTTTCGATTGGTGTTAATAATTATTTCGTCACTATTAAGAGGGATCTCAATAAACACAAGTACCCTTAAGGCAATACATTTTAAAATTAGATAATTGAAAATAACAATCGTCACTATCGATTGGTGTTAATTGATATTCTAAGCATCTCTAAGTATTTCGAGATATCAGCAGACCACTTCAAATAACATAAACATTTCCAGGAACGAAGCCCTTTTCGGGAGTGACGTCACGTAATCATGACCCTTAAATAGGAAAGGCACAATGATCCTACAACTCATTCGCCTCCCGCATCGAGCGAAGGTTCACTTGGTCTATCGTAGACTATTTAGTTTAATTTAATGTAAGTTAAACTAAATAGTGTTTAGTTTATAATAAATTTATATTTCTTTTTAATAATACGCTCCATTACCGAAACCTGACTAGCCATACTACGTATTGATTTTTCCGCAAAGCAAAACATAAACAAGAATATGTTTATCAGCGAAATAATGTCTCGATCTGCAATATGGTTTAATGAGCATGAATTCAGTGGAAATTCGCGCGCAATTAGTTTGAATCTCACTCTACTTCACATTGCATTCACTTCACTACAGTTGTCAGCGTGCGCGTCGGGCCCGTGCGGTCTGGGCGGCGCATGCGTGGAGGAGGGCGACGGGGGCGGGTTTCGATGCGTGTGCGCGCGCGGTTTCGTACCGCCCCTCTGCACCGCGCCGCCCTCCACTCAACCGCCCCCGCCCCCGCCCCCGCCCGGCCACTCCCCCGCCCCCCCCAGCAGCACCGAGCCGGCGCCTGAGAACGCGCCCGCGCCGCCTCCCGCCGCCTGCGCCGACCTCGCGTGCCCGCCTCGCAGCCACTGCGCTGCACACGCCCTGCCGCCAGGTACACGCGCGCGGTTTGATGCCGCCCCGAGGCACCGCGCCGCCCTCCACTCAATATTATATAGTATATTAGCTGACCCAGCGAACTTCGTACCGCCATAAAAAAATAGGGGTTGGTGGTAGAAGGGTGAAAATTTAGGGTAGTATGTATTTACTAATGCTGTATCATAAAAAAAAATGGGTGTGTGTACTTATGTAGGCGCGTGAGAAGTTATCCTTCTTTGGCATCGTTTAAAATTAGTTTTTAATTGCATGCAAATAATTAATTACAATAAATTAATAAAAAGTCTGGAAAAGGACACGGTCAATAAAGTTCAGTTTTAATTTGAAAAAATAAATAAATAATCAAAATATTCAATTAAAATCGCTACTGAATATAATTTATTAGAACATATGTGATTTGCACTTGTATGAAACTCAAACACGTATTCCGAATATACAAACTAGAAACATGTGGATAAATATTATAAATATGAAAACCTATAACTGTTACTTTATTACAAAAAATAAAGATGTGGTTTTTGGTTCTACTACACCAATGGTCAAGAGATGGCGCTGTAGTCTCCCGAATCGCGCTTTGGTTCCGTTGTTTCAGATTAATAAATACTTTTGATAGGCCTTCACAATGCAGTCGTTAGCACCCACTAAATAGAGATTCTATTACTATTTTGTTGGTAGATTTTCTTAATGTGCGGTAAACACAAAAGTTAATTTTTTGTGTTACAGTGATGCGCGCGCATCTTAAAATTTCACTTTCATCATTTTTTCATAACGCGCCTAAAGAAGTATAACTTCAAAAAATTAAAAAAAAATCTAAAATTGAAAAATATAATTTAGGGGTGGATTACCCTTAACATTTAGGGGGATGAAAAATAGATGTTGTCCGATTCTCAGACCTACCCAACAATATGCACACAAAATTTCATGAGAATCGGGAAAGCCGTTTCGGAGGAGTTTAACCACAAACACCGCGACACGAGAATTTTATATATTAGTTTTTGAGATCGTCGGCAAACAATAAACAACTTGAAAAACTTATAACTCGAACCAGATCGTTTATAAATGCTAAAAAAAAGAGAGGTCCCAAATGTGATCCCTGAGGAACTCCTGAGTAAACCCGAATATAATCAGATTCATATCCGCAAGTAACTACTTTTTGATACCTCTCAGAAAGATAATAATGACACCAGTCTAACGAAGTGCCGTGAACACCTGCCAAGCGTAATTTCTTCAGCATTATAGAGTGATTAACCTTATCGAATGCTTTACTTATATCGGTGTACACCGCATCCATCTGTCGACCCTGATCCAGTTCAAAACTTAATTTATTTACATAGCATGTCAGATTTGTAATAGTAGACATCTTTTGACGAAAATCGTGCCGCTGAGGAACGAGGATGTATCCAAGATGATTTGTTAAATATGGGTACACTAATTTTTCAAACAGTTTAGGAAAACCAGATAATAAGGAAATAGGTGTATAACTACGCACGTCGCTCGTATTTCCTGATTTAGGAATTGGTAAGACATTAGCCCATATCGAAACTAACTAACTAACTAACTAGTCAGATACCCTATTCTTTGTTTGTTTTTGTTTCATTTGACAAAATTTCGGATAGATAAGGTCCCGACGGCGAGTACGAAAATGCAGTAATTGTATTTCACATCAGCAGCTCGCATTTGTATGACCGGTGACACGAGTCGAGCTCCTGCCCATAAAGTACAGGGGTACAGTAGTTTTGTACTGCCACATTAGCAGCTCGCACTGTGTAACCTCCCCTTTCGTGTCGCCTCTTAAACTGCTAATTGAAATTAAATCACACTAATATTATAAATGTGTATGTTTGTTACTTCTTCACGTCTTAACGGCTGGAGAGATTTTTTATAAAATTTGGTATGGAGTTAGCTGACTCCCTGGATTAACACATAGGCTACGTTTTACTGCGGGAAAATATCCCTAATTAACCGCGGGGCACAGCTAGTAAAATATAAACTATAGTAACTTTTACTTTTAAAATATTTTGTTCCTGATTGCATATCCACTCCATCCATTAGTATTCTAAAGTATTAAGAATGAAATCAGTATATGTGTTGCAGGTATGCCATCCATGGTAACCGGAGTAGCAATCAATAAACCGGTGACGTGCGTCTGTGATCCCGGATATTATGGTAACATAACAATTATATTATACTTAAATTATTATTATTTAATATTTGCTTTTTTTCCAAAATATTTAATGCTACCAATATAGAATTTGAGCCCTCATATTTACAGCAAAAGAAAGTCTGACGGATAAGATTTAATAAAAAATGAGAGTATGATACTATTTTTGAACATTCACCCAATGAGGGCTATCGCGTATGAATCCGCCGCTAGAGGCGCTAGTGTAGCGTGAGGTCTCCGAAATGTCAAATGTTATTGCTTGTTGGTTGACTACGCGGGTTTATTTCTAATTAAAATAATGTTGTGAATAATTGGTAACAATTCGGCTTAATTATGGCAAATATGAGTTATGTGGCAATGAATTTCAGTTATTAAAAATTTGAGCTTAGAAAAATGATTATGTTCCCATTTTTCCCGAATAAAACGGAACTGCGCGTCACTGTGGCATGGCCTATTATGTTTAGGATATGGTTCTTTTGTGTTGAAATACGATCTAAATGTAACCTTTGATTTCATGTGCGTATTAATAAACTTTAAAAGTTACAATTTAGGACCTCACTCAACAGTGGCGCCATCTGGTGAGGCAGAAAACGGTAGCCCTCATTGAGCAAAAGACCAGTGGGCCAATCGCCTAACCAGATTGCTTTGGAAAACGCTATCGCTTACGATTTCATTTTGTTATTTCTAACCGCCGAAATACCTCACGCTCATTTTCTTTAACATTGTTATTACCAATGCAAAAGAAAAAAAAAGAGCGCGAGGCATTTAAAAACCTCAGGGGGCTAGAAATAACAAAATGAAATCGTAAGCGATAGCGTTTTCCAAAGCAATCCAGTTAGGCGATTGGCCCCCTGCACTTTATTATCGTAATTAATTTAATCCATTATGTAAGTTTTGCATATAAGTACATAATATCGATTAAGAAACATATTTATGCTATCACAACTGGAACCATTCAATTTGTAATAAAATCCACTTTCGATCCTATATTTATGTGTTATGATTTGGGACTTTACAAATGTTATCTGTCGCGCGCAACGATATTAAAAACCCTTATGGCACCTTTTCACAATGGCCCATGATGAGCGTCTTCAGATGTATTTGTGCAAAGTAAGACCATTCAAAATGTGTCCCAACCAAGAAGTGCTTGAAAGTCATTCGAGCACTTCTTGGTTCATAATCATGTGCGGACGTTGGCTACGCGATCATCCCACGGAGCTCCGTAAAAGGTCCCTTTTGGATAGGTTTAGATCACGATTTTCTCCGTGATGTTTTATCTAGGGTTTTTTATATTTATTTATTTACCAAAAGTCTGCTAACATTTTCACACCTTAACTTACACAATCTTTAACTTATATGTAACAATAGGGGTGATGACGGGGTACAGTAAACGAAATCTATTTAGTCCGTCAGTTAGATGATCAAAAAATAATGGACACCTATTTTTTCTTTGGGCAATCAACCAAAAAATGACAAAGTTATAGCGCGTCAAAGTTTGGGAGTAGGGGCTCGTGACGTCACTTTTGAGTGAATTTTCACTTATAAGTGTACTCAAACGTGACGTCATGCGACTGCTGTTCTGCGATGTTTATATTATGTGAAAAAAGAAAAAACACGTGTCCAATACTTTTTGATAATCTACCTGATAAACGAAGCAAAAAAAATTAGTCATCAACCCTATTCTCAGCATAGTGCAAAAACAATTACTGGCAAACTCTTGCTATAACTATATCTTCAACACATTTGCTCAAAAATGCACTTACGGAGGTTGTCTATATTGTTCGAAAGTAAAAAATTGCGAGCCGTACAACGGAGCGTGCGGTAAAACGTTTTATCGCACGCTCCCTTATCGTCGGTCATATGCGATATTGTTGCTTAGTACCACTCGGGTATTACACAGGCTTGCCCGGCGCTATGGCGAACTGCACGAGCGCGGAGGCAGCGTGCGAGGCAGGCGTGTGCCTCAACGGGGGCACGTGTCGCCTCGTCGCCAGCGACCGCCTCGAATGCCTCTGCGCGCCCGGCTACAAAGGTATGCCCACTAACTGACCTTTCCTACCATTCAAATCTACATAGCTTCAGATGTTATAACAAAACTAGAAAACCAGTGAACCAAATGTTCACCAAAACCTGATTTCTCGAAAACCGGAAGTGCTACGTTACTCAAATCCGGTTTGTAGTTTTATCAGACTATTCTTAACTTATAACTTAAATATTCTCTTTATCTATCTCTTACGGTTTGGCCGCTGAAACAGCACCACAGACGGACGGACTTGTCTAATAGATAAGAGATAATGGTGTCGATACCGTCATGATTCTCTAAACCTAGGAAAGTGACTTTAGTTTCACGTAGGAATGTGACTTTATGAGTTACCTCATATTGAAGTCATTTTTCAATTTGACGACTCTGTATACAATACAGGGAGAAAAAAACAGCCCTTGCTGAGTTTCTAGCGGGTTCCTCTCAGTACAAGGTCTCCCGCCGTAGATTTGCGAACCGATGGCGTAGCTTTTCGACATTCACAAGTGCTTGTAACAGCCTAGACTGAATAAACGATATTGAATTTTGGATTGAATTTTTTTGAACCGAAAAAAAAAATTGGCAACAGTGTATCCTTGTCATTCTCTATGCAGAATAAAAGGGAGAGACTGATGTTAAATTTAGTTTTAAGTTTGGAGAATCATGCCAGATTTGACACCATTGTTTATTTAAGACGAAAGCTCAATAAACACAATTTGCGTTTCTAAGATGTGAATTTAAGAATGTCCCCTAATAAAACATCGGTTTATTTTAACGATTGTAACTTAATAGTGACAAAAATAAAACACGTTTGCCTTTCTAATATGTGGTAACAACAGCGAATATTCGGTAATATTAGGTTAGAAAACAGAATTATGATTTGTTTTGATTTGCAGATAGTTTTGTATTTTTGAATTAATCAGCATATTGAAGGATCAACTTTGGTTAAGTGGTCGTAATTAGTTTTTTTATCATCAATATCAACTAGATAAATGTAGTCGAATGCCTATGTTAATGTCTATATTTCCACTAAAACATTAATCATCCATACCTATCATTTTGCGATGTGCATTTGAATGTTAGATTTGTTGCTTTAGCTTCCCATCGTTTATGTTACGAGTTTGTTTCGTGCGTGTACGTGTTGTGTAGCGTGTAGTATTGTGGCATGCGTGTGCGCAGGGCCGTACTGCGAGATAGGCGCGGGGCCCGCGGGGCCGGCGGGCACAGGGACGGGGGCAGGGGCGGCGCGGGGCCTGTCCGAACTGAAGGCCGAGCGGTGCGGGTCCTCGCCACCTCCCTGTCTACACGCGAAGGCCTGCCATGATCGTGTGAGTATTAATATCCATAGGGTGGACTGCCTTGTTGGACTCGTAGTCGCTCGAACAGCACTACGACACCGTATGCACTGAGTATTCACCGATTCACGCCACCGATTTGAGATAGATCACGTGTGTGAGTATTTAGATTGATTCATGGATTCTGTAGTGTTGTTATGATTGTATTTTGCTGTTTTTTGTAGTGTGTAGTTATCGAGTTTTTTCTTTTCATTTGTAACGTATTTGCATTGCGTTTGATTTGTAGTGTCTTTCGTTATTATTTATTATTTAATTTGAGCAGCGTATAAATCTACGACACAATTTAAATACGCTTGTATCAAACTCGGGTTTCACAATAAAATTCGTTTAATATTTGCACAGATACATAATAGGGTATTTGACAGTATTAAAAATAAAGTGCCAATTGTTAGCATCTGTGTTTAGAATGAATATTGGAAGAGGTTTTTACTATTTTTACAAAAAAAAAATATTCATAATTTTACTAAAAACCCACGGAAAAGATAAAAAGTTTTCTTATCTATTGTCACGTGACCCAAAACGCTTGGGATTGGCGGAGCCTAAAATGACGTCACACGCAAGTAAACTTCCGGTTAAAGTGACATTACATTGCATCGTTTGACGTTTTAATAACAGTCGTGTGACGTCACACACTAGTAAGACGCCATATTGTTAGAGAGAAACGTTTTGGCGGCAACTTGAAATTGGAGTTTTTGATTTGGTTATTTTTACTGGAATACACAACAGAATGATGAATATCCACTTTTTACGGACTCCATAAACATTAGTCAATAACGTGAGATCGTTTTCTAAAACTTGTCAAATACCCTATTGTCATTACTAAAACCCGTCAAGCAACGATGAGTTCGAGGGACCAAATGTATTGATGTGATGAACAGGTCAAAATCTATTTGAGCCTCAAATTACGCCTGCGTGTCGTGTCGGGCGGCGTGAACAGCAGGGCAAGTGGTGTCATGTTAACTTTTCCCCCACGCTTAGAAGTAAGCTAATGGGGAAGAAAACTACCAATTTATCCGCCAGCTCATTGAGGTTAGAGAGAAGGAGAACCAACGCTATAGAAAATAGTGTCCCAGAGATATGGACAAATGTGAGATGCTGCGATTGCTAAGTTGCCTTAATAAAAGCGGGCTGATTTGAAATGACCAATGCCGCGAAGAAAATTTGTACAATATTCAACCAACTTCATCTACTTGTACTCATAAACAGCTAACTTCAGAGATCCTATTTACCGACGGCAGCGCGGCTGGTGGCTGAAAAATCAACTATAAATTCTACAAATTTTCAGGGCAGGCGAGCTAATGCATTAGGACGTAGCGATCGTTCTCCTTATCTCTTAACCTCCATGCGCCAGATAACCGAGACAGCTGTCAAAGTCACGAGGAAAAGCGACAAATTTCGATAGACTTGGGTTGCTTTCCAATTACAGCATTATTGCGCATTATGCGGCATAATGCTTAACGTTGAGTGTTCCAACTACAGCAACGCTTCGCACAATTGAGCACTCTCAAAAGTGATGCTTTCGTGTGATGCGTGCAATGGTACCAACTTAGAGACAGAAAATTAACACGTGTTTTTTCTTTAAGTTGGCATTGATCGAAATGTTTTATTTATATGTTATCGTTAGTAATATTATTTATTGTTGAAAAATTATTAAAGCTTTCGTTTCATTAAATAGTTTTTTTTTAAATAATCAAAGTTCATTCAAACTGTTAAAAAATTAATATAAGTATGGATGAAGGTACAAACATTGACTTTTTTTCTCAACACTGAACTTAGCGCACTCTGCTGGTGCATTTGAAAACTAATTCACGTTCCAATTAAGCATCAGCATAATTGGGCATTGTGCGGCACTGAGTCGCATTATGCTCTGTAATTGGAAAGCATACTTGGGCTGCGTTCCAAGCTTAGGTTTGGTGCAACAAATGTCAAACCTGACAAAAGTTTTATACATTTTATTTCAAAATTGAATCGTCAGGGTAAAAAGTTGCACTCGGAACGAAGGCATAGAACGCAGCTTTAAAGCGAGGTTGCTTGTTATGGGCCAAACGGCCATCTGTATGGTACGACAAGCATCTTTATGAATGTGGCGAAAATTGGAACTAACGCCGCTGGCTTTGGAAACGTAATATTTTGCATGTCATTGAAGTAGACAGGGATGCCCATTTTGACTCGCATTTATAAAGATTCCTGTCGCATTGTAACGAGCTTTTCGTTTTATTCCCCACTAGCGGCCGCTCGCGACTTTTGTGAAAATCCTTCAGAAACATATTTTTTTTTCTGGATAAAAAGTATCATATGTCTTAATCCAGGTAATAAACTATCTGTGTTCCAAATATCATCCAAATCCGTCCAGCTATTTAGACGCGAAGAAGTAATAGACATACACACTCATAAACTTTCGCCTTCATAATATTAGTGTGGGACTTTTTGGCGGGATCGGGAAGCGTCACTTCAGTAGTTCTGTTTTTCTTGTTAAAAATTGTGTTGATGCGGATGTTAGTGTCTAATAATGGTGGATTATTAACCACTAAGTGTTCGGGAACACGCACAAGTGTTGGCAAGTGAAACAAAATAGCGGAAAGTGTCTTTCGACGTTCCCTCAAGAAGTCCAAGGGGAGGTTCCAGTAAATCCCCACACTTTTACTGAAACATAGGGAACGGGGGATTGACTTGACTGCCACTTACTTTGACTTGATTTATTACTTTGGCCACGAATGTTATAGTATTTGTAAACATTTTAACACTTGACATTGGCTAAATGCACAAACCGTGCGAAGCCATTTAGAAAAAAAATATGAGTGCGTGTACTTAATTACGCGCGTGAGAAGTTATACTTCTTTTTGGAATTATTAAAAAATAGTTTTTAATTGCATGCAGATAATTAATTACAATAAGATAATAAAAGGATTGGAAAAGGATAGTCAACGCAGTCAATAAAGTTCAGTTTTAATTTGAAAAATTTAATAAATAATCATAATATTCAATTTAAATCACTACTGAATAAAATTTCGCATTTGTATAACATTGTTACAACACGTGTTAAGAATATAGAAACTAGAAACATGTGGATAAATATTATAAATATGAAAACAGTGATCAGAGGCGACGAGCGTCCCAACATGTGCGACTAAGAGATCCTATTACTATTTTGTTGGAAGCTTTTTTTCGAGACTTACGAGTAATGTGCGGTTTAGCGGCCGACTTCATGGTGTTACTTTTCTGTTACAGTGTTGCGCGCGCATCTTAAAATTTCACTCTCATCATTTTTTCATAACACGCCCGCGGCTAACTTCATTATGTTACTTTTGTGTTACAGTGATGCGCGCGCATCTTAAAATTTCACTCTCATAATTTTTTCATAACGCGGCTAAAGAAGTATAACTTCAAAAATACATATGAGTGTGATTACGATCGGTGTATTGTATGACAACGCAGCCGGCCGGGTTCCGTTGCGAATGCGAGGCGGGGTGGTCGGGGCTGCGCTGCGACGTGGCGTCGTCGGACGCAGACGAGGAGGGGCCCGAGACGGGGGCTCACGACACGGCCGGGGCGGGCACGTCGGTGACGGACGTGGAGTGCGGGTGCCTCAACGGCGGCGCGTGCCGGCCCGACGGCGCCTGCGACTGCCGGCCCGGGTATGCCGGCGCGCACTGTGAGGCGCCGCTCGACTGCCGCGCCTCCTCGTGCCCCATGTACCAGGTGTGTGTGTGTGTGTAGGGCCCGGGGGGGGGGGGGGGGGGGGGGGGGCGGGTGCCTCAACGGCGGCGCGTGCCGGCCCGACGGCGCCTGCGACTGCCGGCCCGGGTATGCCGGCGCGCACTGTGAGGCGCCGCTCGACTGCCGCGCCTCCTCGTGCCCCATGTACCAGGTGTGTGTGTGTGTGTGTAGGGGGGGGGGCGGGCACGTCGGTGACGGACGTGGAGTGCGGGTGCCTCAACGGCGGCGCGTGCCGGCCCGACGGCGCCTGCGACTGCCGGCCCGGGTATGCCGGCGCGCACTGTGAGGCGCCGCTCGACTGCCGCGCCTCCTCGTGCCCCATGTACCAGGTGTGTGTGTGTGTGTAGGGCCCGGGGGGGGGGGGGGAGGGGGGGGGGGGCGGGTGCCTCAACGGCGGCGCGTGCCGGCCCGACGGCGCCTGCGACTGCCGGCCCGGGTATGCCGGCGCGCACTGTGAGGCGCCGCTCGACTGCCGCGCCTCCTCGTGCCCCATGTACCAGGTGTGGGTGTGTGTGTGTAGGGCCCGGGGGGGGGGGGGGGGGGGGGGGGGGGGGGGGGGGGCGGGTGCCTCAACGGCGGCGCGTGCCGGCCCGACGGCGCCTGCGACTGCCGGCCCGGGTATGCCGGCGCGCACTGTGAGGCGCCGCTCGACTGCCGCGCCTCCTCGTGCCCCATGTACCAGGTGTGTGTGTGTGTGTGTAGGGGGGGGGGCGGGCACGTCGGTGACGGACGTGGAGTGCGGGTGCCTCAACGGCGGCGCGTGCCGGCCCGACGGCGCCTGCGACTGCCGGCCCGGGTATGCCGGCGCGCACTGTGAGGCGCCGCTCGACTGCCGCGCCTCCTCGTGCCCCATGTACCAGGTGTGTGTGTGTGTGTAGGGCCCGGGGGGGGGGGGAGGGGGGGGGGCGGGTGCCTCAACGGCGGCGCGTGCCGGCCCGACGGCGCCTGCGACTGCCGGCCCGGGTATGCCGGCGCGCACTGTGAGGCGCCGCTCGACTGCCGCGCCTCCTCGTGCCCCATGTACCAGGTGTGTGTGTGTGTGTGTAGGGCCGGGGGGGGGGGGGGGAGGGTGCCTCAACGGCGGCGCGTGCCGGCCCGACGGCGCCTGCGACTGCCGGCCCGGGTATGCCGGCGCGCACTGTGAGGCGCCGCTCGACTGCCGCGCCTCCTCGTGCCCCATGTACCAGGTGTGTGTGTGTGTGTGTAGGGCCGGGGGGGGGGGGGGGGGGGGGGGCCTCAACGGCGGCGCGTGCCGGCCCGACGGCGCCTGCGACTGCCGGCCCGGGTATGCCGGCGCGCACTGTGAGGCGCCGCTCGACTGCCGCGCCTCCTCGTGCCCCATGTACCAGGTGTGTGTGTGTAGGGCCCGGAGACGGGGCCCCACGACGCCTAATAAAAAAACCGCAGCGTCTGCGCCTAGTCTTACTAATCGAGTGTTACTGAAAAGACACTGATAATTTTATACAACTCGAAATTACAATTTTTCCTCGTTTTTTTCCTAAACTAAACATTACTCTTTTTATGATTTTATTTATTTTTTTAAGCATTTAACTGCTAGATGTTTAAATCTAAAGAAAAGTTTACTAGAAAAAAATCCACGCGGACTTATTCTTTTTGTTCTTAATATTTTAAATATTAAAATATCCATCTATTCAAAAGTAATTTTTGACTAACAATAATGCTAAAGTGTCGCTGCTGTCTGTTTTGAGTAGGAATGCGTGGAGCAAGGCGGATCGTGGCGGTGCGCAGGCGCCGGCGCCGAGTCTGCGTGTGCTTCCGCGCCCTGCCACAACGGCACCTGCCTCGCCCGCGACCACACCTACCACTGCCAGTGTCCGCCCGGCATCACAGGTATTCATCATATTATTATATAGCGCGTCCGCGCCCTGCCACAACGGCACCTGCCTCGCCCGCGACCACACCTACCACTGCCAGTGTCCGCCCGGCATCACAGGTATTCATCATATTATTATATAGCGCGTCCGCGCCCTGCCACAACGGCACCTGCCTCGCCCGCGACCACACCTACCACTGCCAGTGTCCGCCCGGCATCACAGGTATTCATCATATTATTATATAGCGCGTCCGCGCCCTGCCACAACGGCACCTGCCTCGCCCGCGACCACACCTACCACTGCCAGTGTCCGCCCGGCATCACAGGTATTCATCATATTATTATATAGCGCGTCCGCGCCCTGCCACAACGGCACCTGCCTCGCCCGCGACCACACCTACCACTGCCAGTGTCCGCCCGGCATCACAGGTATTCATCATCTTATTATCAATACTTATAATACGAGGGTAGACAAGCAGTATCTGTCAGCTGTCTGTTACAACTAAGACGCCATGGCGATCGGTCGACTTCCGAAAAGCCCCGATCCAAATTATATATAGTTTAGCTCGGCGGTTGTTCAACGAGCACAAAGGAACATCATCAAATCAACAGATTACGTGAAGGACAGTTCAAGATCACATTCCTACAACATCCGGGAAACTTACGAAAATACAGGCAGACCGGCACTGCTCTAAAGGCTATCGGAGAAAACAAAATCGCAAGTCCAACTTCCTTTCTGTCCCGCACACTTATCAACCCACACTAACCACTATCATCAGCCTATTAATGTCCCCACTGCTGGAGCACAGGCCTGAACCTATGGATGGAATAGGGAGTGCGGGCATGACTCACCACGTGGGCCCAGTGCGGAGATTGGCGGGTGCTAACGACTGCAGATGCAGCCGGGACCAACGGCTTAACGTGCCTTCCGAAGCACGGAGGAACTCGAGATAGAAGTTGTTTAACTTCAAAGATCGCAGCCGAACTCGCTAATCACCCGCATCATCCACGCCAATAACTAAATGCAACCCCACGCCCAGCTCAGTTAAGTTGCCGACTCATTTCTTACCCCACTGGGAAAATATGTGGATTATAAAACAAAAAAAAACTGTATTTACTATTAAAAAACATCACTTTGGTATTTAAATTCTCCAAAACCAGCCTGCGCCAAATCCTTCCTCATAAAAATAAGTATGAGTTGCTATTGTCGTATTACAATAGGGATGATGACTATTTGTTTTTGAAAAGTTGCATGAAGTCACGTTTTGGTACAATTTTCACTTAAAAGTGACGTCACGAGCCCCTAGTCCCAAACTTTGACGCACTATAACTTTGTCATTTTTTGGTTGATTGCCCAAAGAAAAAATACATGGACATTATTTTTTGATCATCTAACTGACGGACTAAATAGAATTTCGTTTACTGTACCCCGTCATCACCCCTATTGCAAAATGAAAAACCCAGGGTATATCATAAAGCTTACGTCCAATAAAGTAAATTAGAAAAGGTGTCCACTCTACAGTGGCAATAAACAGCAAGATGATTTCAAATATTTAAAAATATTATTATGATTTAATAAATTGGTTGTTTTATTTTCATCGAGCAACAAATTCATTAGAAGCGATTTATTTTCCTGGAATTGAAATGTGTTTATTATAAATAAATAGGAAAAGAAAATCTAGAGATTACACTTTATTTTCAGCCATTGTCTACAAATCACAGGGGATAATCACACACTACCTAGTGTTTTAATCTTCGTGAAAAGTTTTACCGATCATATATGCAGGGGAGTCGCGTAACCGTTTACCTTTCAAATTGACTGAATAAGGCAGTAGCGAAGGGACGCGCCGATATAACCCGCGGCCTTGCGGCGTCCACGCTGCCACGCGACACACGACCCCGCCTTTCGCCGTCACGCTCACCCACGCTACAGACGACAGAACCACGTCCCCGCAACACAACTTCGGCCCCTCGCCCACGAAATCGAATATCTCATTCCCTTTCCCTAAACCCGGCCAATTCTTTAACCTCTCTCTTCCTCCTGTGGGCACTGCGAACAACTCCGTACCAAGGAACTTCTCATACAGTTCGTCTGCGTCCTCAGTTTTGCACACAGTTATGGGTAGACTTTCTGAGCAGAATACTGTGAATCGACATGGATGCGAGCAGTCTATGTGATCGATTCGAGCCAGACCACCTATGAATATTGTGAACCCCTTGTGCAGATAGTATGTCTGCGGTCTGATAATCTTTTTTGGAATGGTAAGTAGAAGCTCCTCTGTACTAAGGAGTGACAACACTTGATCTGGGAGAATCACTCCTGGTGTATCATAGAACCACTTGCTCTTAGCAAATATAGCATTTCTTTCATCCAAGACCAGCATTTTTCTCTTCACTTCTGGTAAATCATTTGGTATGTCAATAAATTCATTTGAAAATGACCTACCAATATGACCGATGAGAGTTGGAGTATCTGCACGAGGTTTGGTCAGAGCTTGACTGTTTTTTATCTCCTTTTCCATTTTTAACAGTTTTGCTTCACTTTTCAGTCTTCTTGTTCTCTCATATATTTTCCAACCAGATGGCCGGTTTATAGGGAATTTTAACAAATTCAATGTAGTGCCAGGCCACCTGCTGACTGTCGCTCTCTTCACAATGTCTACAGCATGTACCTTACAATAATCAGACTGTAAAAGTGCATTGAAAAGTGAGCTTTTGCCCACATTTGTGCTGCCCACAAGATACACATTTCCTTTACCCAACCACTCCTTGAACATAGCTGATATCAAATCTTCCACTCCATAGCCTGTCTTGGCAGATATGAGTGAAATATATCTTATTTTAGCTTCTCCTAGTTTTGTCTTATTGATTTCAGTTATTAGAGAATGTTTTACTCGTTTGAGATATCCATAACTATCACCAGGCAGCAAATCAACCTAAAATTTGTGAAATTAATTAACCTTACTACCTTAAAAATCAGAAAAAGACTAATGAATAATTTTGACAAAAAAATCTTTTATGACCAAGTCATCTTACAGTCTTACCTTATTTCCAACTATTATGATGGGTCGGTCAGTGCCAATGATGTCTACAATGCCAGGCCATATTGAACATGGAAAATCCAGCAAATCCACCATAACCACCACTAAGGATTTGACATACCTAAAATACAATGAAAGATCATTACATGAGCTCATTAAATGAAACAAACAAACTTTTTCCGAGTCGAGTTCATTTTTATACAAAAGCACCTGATTGATAATGGTTTTACTGGTTAAAACTGTGATGTTTATATATATGATATGCACCTTATAGATTGCAGTAACTTCTCATATTCCTCTGTATACACAGTTACATCTAATGCAATATTATATTCTTTAAGGAAATGACAGCGCTGACATTCCACTGTTTTAAGTTCGTCATTGGTCCTGTTTCGGAAGATCTCACTGGGCAGATAACCTGGGATTGCGGGATCACTGCAGTGCAGTAAAGCGCCACAGCCCCCACAGGGCACTCTACTTATACCAACTGTAGGATCTGGTGTCCCATACCGCCTCGACCAATCTTGTTGTTCATCAAAGTCATCCGATTCACTTTCATCATAATATTCATAGTTAGCCATCCATCTATCTATATCAGACTGATCAAACTCTGGTTTCTCTTCTATCGCCGGTTCCGTTTTTTGTTCAACTTCCGTCACAATATTGGTAGTTTTTGCAAAAGGTAATTGAAAAACTTCTTCACCTACATTGGCTGGTTCTGGTGGTTTATCGTCTTTTAGCAATCTCTCTGAATTTACATAATACTCAAGTACTGTGGGCAATGGAGGCAAACTTTTCTCGGTCAGATGTTTCTTTAGCTCCAACTTGGCTTTCTTTAATGTTTTCAAATGGTATTTGAAACTACCAATTTCCAGTTTTTCGTGTTCTAAATAAGAGTTGAATGTTATTTTATCTTGATATTTCAATAATAGATCTTTGAAATTGTTATCTGCATTACATTTTTCCGGTGGATGAGCAACGTTACAAACATTCGTTACTCGAATATGATTGAATTGTTTCTTTGGTACAATGCAGTGCCTCCTACATAACCTCAAAATGTGATGCAACGGGTATAACATGATTCCCTAAAAGAAACCTATATGCAATTCACAATACACACTTGTTTGATCATATTTACAGATCACAACTACATATTAATACGCCAATGAAGCGAATTCATTCATTGTTTTGTGATTATTTAATTCGACTGCGTGCGATTTGCATTGTTGTTGTAATGTCAACTGTCATTATCAATTTGACATTTCCATTTATGTCAGACTGACGTTTTGTAGTGATGTTCCGCATTAGTTGAGTGAGTAAGCAATTGAACCGATTCAACATTATCGTTATGGCAATCGAGTTATCAATTAATGAGAATATATTGAATTTGTGAAAGGTCAACGTTAATAAATTTTGAAATCGTATAAAATGCCTCGATTTATCATATCATCAGATTTCATAGTTAGTATTCAACCTTGATTGAAACAGACTTACTTTTATTAATGATTTAAATTATATACTTGTTCGACCTAGTTGATCAAATCGTCTTATTGTTAAACCAGTTGTGTTGAATACACTTGAGTAAACGTAGCTGTGCTACGCTGTGACTAATGCAGATTATGCGCTGTGTGACTAATGACACCCAAATATTGCGAATAAATTATTTACGATATATAATCAATTTGATGAATTAGTTTTTTTTATATTGATATTTCAAATATACGATGACATTTTTTATAAAAACCATCCTTGTATGGTTCTTAATTATATATGGTATGTTTAGAAAAAAAAACTAATTCTTAGTAAAAGTTTATTTTCAATTTACTTACATTAAATATAATATTTAATTTGTTTACAGGAAGATTATGTGAGCAGGATATTGACGAATGCCGATTAATGCCGAAGATATGCAATAACGGAGTGTGCGTGAACGTGCCAGGCTCATATCAGTGCTACTGTCGTCCAGGTGGGGATACTTATACTTATTATGGTTATAGCTTACCTCTGCTGTCATTGGTAGATAAGTAATTTACTATGATTGATGTTTGTGTGTAGGGTATACGGGCGACAGCTGCGAACAGGACATAGACGAATGCCTATCTTCGCCGTGCAAGAACGGCGGCACATGCCTGAATCTAGAGAATAACTATGAATGCACTTGCATGGAGGGCTTCGAGGGTAAGTTGCTGGAGAATTTTTAAAATATTATACTTTTATCAACACATTGGGAACTATTCTATACATTGCTATGTATCCAGAGCTCCACGAGGTAGGGGAATAGGCCTTTAATCGACAAGATAAAAACTATTGTTTATTACAGACACAAATACACGCGCACACACACGTACACGTACACTACACACTCATACACCCACATACAAGCATGCATAAGCACAGACAAACAAATCGACTAAAAGAAATACTGTAAAAAAAAAATTTTTTTTGCTATTTTTTAGATTTTATATCATTCTTATTAAAATATTTAGGTGATCAATAATTCAATGTACCATGTCTTTTAGCACGGAGAGCGGGAATTTCTAATACAAGTATATATTTACTTAAAAGAAATTCCCAATCGCAATACTGTATCGGAAATTATTGTATCAAATAAAGAATTTGTATTTGTATTGTAACTGACTTCCTTAGACGGGCGCGGGCGCTCCAATACGAGCGGCAAATCCGCCAATTCCCTCAATTATTTCCCTAACAATTTTTTTGTCGAGTCGAGTGCGGAAATATACGTCACATGGATGGCTATGTTTTAAAAATGGGTCCAATTATAGCATGATTCAATTAACTTTGATCATTGAATTTTTAACTAAATATTCGGCTTTGGGCAAGTATTTCAGTTGTGTAGCTCATTTCTCTTAAAGCTTCCAATGACGTCACTCACTTGTAAACATGCTTTTGAAGTGACATTGCTTGCAATTGTGTGACTTACGTTTTAATGAGAACTGTGTAACGTCCCATGCCTGGAAGACGCCATATTTACTAGAGAAGCTTTCTCGCGGCATATTTGAAAACATATTTTATTTTGTTTTTTTGATGTGTAACATCTTTCCTCTCGCTTTTCTGCAATTTGTGGGAGTGATTTCGTGAAATGAGACGGCAGTGTGTAACAGGAAGTCGCGAAAGCGCGCGCTATTTGATTTGACTTTAAAATATAATATTCAAATGGCTTATTCCCTTTGTAGCAGGTTTTATTTCTTTTTTTACTAATATAACGTGAGGTTACAAATGTGACACATCATACGCGACTACTGTAAGGCTCGCTCGTGTTTTCTTTACTGAGATACCCATTGCATCATAATTATGTATATCCACTTTTTATGAAGTCACTATACTATAATAAAGAACGTATGAACGTTTTAAAAAACGTGTGAAATCCCCTATTAGATGTTAACTAATAATAATAATTACAAAATTAAAGTACTAAATTATACTACTACTGTAAATAAGATCAATTGAGTAAGTTATATTATAAAATTAATGAAATCAGATGACATTTATGCATGATTTGAGAGATATGGATAATTGTTTATTGATTAATTTTTCTTTTGTAATTTTTATCTATAAGACACTACTATATTGCGATACCCTGACAGGGTTCATGTTAGGTAATTTATGCATTTTGTAACTTGTAACCATAAATTTAACCACATGAGTGCAAGAAATTGAATTAACCGTTTCTGAACGGATCAGAAATCAATATATATCTTTATTCAAATTGGATGTATAGTACAACACTTTTGAATCGTTCAAACATTTTTTTCCCTACCACTCGTCATTGGACATATTTTTTAGCTGCGGAGAAAAACGAGCGAAACAATCTCCACAACATTAAAAGTATAATCTAACAACATTTACAAATCAATACAATCATTTATTTAATATTTTATAATTTATTTAATATAGAAGACCTGTTGGAACGATTGGAACAGTTCGAACCCAAGCATTTTTGTCTGTAATATAATCAGACACGTTGTCATAAGCTTTTTTAACAAGTGTATTTTTGATACTATCTTTGAATTTATTTATGGTTAACTCTTGGATATTGCTTGGGACTTTATTGTATAAGTGAACGCCGAAGAAGGTCTTCGGAGGAAGGAATTATTGCTTTGTGAAGCTTAGTAGCAGGTAAAGTTGGTTTGTAATGTTTTCGGTGCTCGTGTATAGGCAAAGACTGTTCGGTGAACATTGACGAGTGCTCGTCTGGGCCGTGCGCGGCAGGCTCCACGTGCGTTGACGGCGTGGCCAGCTACACGTGCGTGTGTCGCGACGGACTCACCGGCGCGCGCTGCGAGCAGGACATCGACGACTGCGAGGTAACGTATACACTATTCACAGAACAGTACCCCTAGCACGAACCGATATCCAATTCCATTTATAGGGGTGATGACGGGGTACAGTAAACGAAATTCTATTTAGTCCGTCAGTTAGATGATCAAAAAATAATGGACACGTATTTTTTCTTTGGGCAATCAACCAAAAAATTACAAAGTTATAGCGCGTCAAAGTTTGGGAGTAGGGGCTCGTGACGTCACTTTTGAGTGAATTTTCATTTAAAAGTGTACTCAATCAATGTACCTCTGCAATGTTTATATTATGTGAAAAACGAAAAAATATGTGTCCAATACGTTTTGATAATCTACCCGATAAACGAAAAACAAAATTAGTCATCGTTCTGTAATAAAATAGCTTTTTTTTTCCTTAAATTATACTTTAAAAATGTCTTGTCCAAAACTATATGGTCTTTGAACTTAAAGTTAGGTTATTAATATGAATTTTGTATTGCTGTTTAGTTGTATAAGGTTTTATTTAAATTTTACAGTTAAAATTCGTACACATTTGTAGTTAAATTAAAAGTGGAGAAAAGATATGCATAAATAAGGAATTGATTTTATTTTATTTATTTATTCAATTAAGTTAACAAACAGTCTTATACAAACAATTTTACAATTTATGTTTACAAATAGATCTAAAGTACCATTATATTGATTTTTCAAGCTTTGAATAGGTATATTTTGTTTGCGTCGTCATTGATGTAAAATGGCAATTTGAAACGTTAAATATTTGGTTTCCCCAGTCGGCCCCGTGCCTGCACGGCGGGCGCTGCCTAGATCTGGTGAACGGTTACGAGTGCGATTGTACCGGCACCGGGTACGGGGGCGCCGCCTGCGAGACCGACATCGACGAGTGCGCCCCGCAGCCCTGCCGGCACGGCGGCACCTGCCTCGACGCGCTCAACGACTACCGCTGCTCCTGCCACCCCGGATACACCGGTACCCGCCCCGTACACTATACTGACACGCGCCCCGCAGCCCTGCCGGCACGGCGGCACCTGCCTCGACGCGCTCAACGACTACCGCTGCTCCTGCCACCCCGGATACACCGGTACCCGCCCCGTACACTATACTGACACGCGCCCCGCAGCCCTGCCGGCACGGCGGCACCTGCCTCGACGCGCTCAACGACTACCGCTGCTCCTGCCACCCCGGATACACCGGTACCCGCCCCGTACACTATACTGACACGCGCCCCGCAGCCCTGCCGGCACGGCGGCACCTGCCTCGACGCGCTCAACGACTACCGCTGCTCCTGCCACCCCGGATACACCGGTACCCGCCCCGTACACTATACTGACACGCGCCCCGCAGCCCTGCCGGCACGGCGGCACCTGCCTCGACGCGCTCAACGACTACCGCTGCTCCTGCCACCCCGGATACACCGGTACCCGCCCCGTACACTATACTGACACGCGCCCCGCAGCCCTGCCGGCACGGCGGCACCTGCCTCGACGCGCTCAACGACTACCGCTGCTCCTGCCACCCCGGATACACCGGTACCCGCCCCGTACACTATACTGACACGCGCCCCGCAGCCCTGCCGGCACGGCGGCACCTGCCTCGACGCGCTCAACGACTACCGCTGCTCCTGCCACCCCGGATACACCGGTACCCGCCCCGTACACTATACTGACACGCGCCCCGCAGCCCTGCCGGCACGGCGGCACCTGCCTCGACGCGCTCAACGACTACCGCTGCTCCTGCCACCCCGGATACACCGGTACCCGCCCCGTACACTATACTGACACGCGCCCCGCAGCCCTGCCGGCACGGCGGCACCTGCCTCGACGCGCTCAACGACTACCGCTGCTCCTGCCACCCCGGATACACCGGTACCCGCCCCGTACACTATACTGACACGCGCCCCGCAGCCCTGCCGGCACGGCGGCACCTGCCTCGACGCGCTCAACGACTACCGCTGCTCCTGCCACCCCGGATACACCGGTACCCGCCCCGTACACTATACTGACACGCGCCCCGCAGCCCTGCCGGCACGGCGGCACCTGCCTCGACGCGCTCAACGACTACCGCTGCTCCTGCCACCCCGGATACACCGGTACCCGCCCCGTACACTATACTGACACGCGCCCCGCAGCCCTGCCGGCACGGCGGCACCTGCCTCGACGCGCTCAACGACTACCGCTGCTCCTGCCACCCCGGATACACCGGTACCCGCCCCGTACACTATACTGACACGCGCCCCGCAGCCCTGCCGGCACGGCGGCACCTGCCTCGACGCGCTCAACGACTACCGCTGCTCCTGCCACCCCGGATACACCGGTACCCGCCCCGTACACTATACTCGCATCCTCAAGTGTACTATAATAATACAGTGGCATTTCTAAAACAAATGACTTTAGCAACGCCAGAATTTAAGTTTAATAATCGATACGAATCGATTAATCGAATAATATGCGTAATCGAAATACAACAAGATGCAATCTATCTTTATATATATAATTCTTCTGTGAGTGTGTATGTCACTGAACTTCTCTTAAACGACTGGGCCGATTTAGATGAAATTTTTTGTGTGTGTTCAAGGGGATCTGAGAATGGTTTAGATTCACAATTTTGTCCGCTGGACAACCCCTATTTTTTTAGGGCGGTACGAAGTTCGCTGGGTCAGCTAGTATATATATAAAACTCAAAGGTGACTGACTGACTGACTGACATAGTGATCTATCAACGCACAGCCCAAAGCACTGGACGGATCGGGCTGAAATTTGGCATACAGGTAGATGTTATGACGTAGGCATCCGCTAAGAAAGGATTTTGATCAATTCTACCCCGAAGCGAAGCGAAGGCGGGCAACTAGTAAATGAATATGAAAAAATATTTTCCTGTTTGTTTAAAAAAAGTATATATATGTAAACATTTACAAAAATACGCGAACTTTATTTAAAATTTAAAAAATAATATTAAATTATTAAATACTAGCAAACCAGTGAACCAAATGTTCACCAAAACCTGATTTCTCGAAAACCGGAAGTGCTACGTTACTCAAATCCGGTTTGTAGTCTTATCAGACTATTCTTAACTTATAACTTAAATATTCTCTTTATCTATCTCTTACGGTTTGGCCGCTGAAACAGCACCACAGACAGACGGACGGACTTGTCTAATAGATAAGAGATTTTAGTACATTTTTTTATTATGACATTGGATGTTTCAATGTTGGCAATAAGCTGTTTCAAAATCTTTAACAGAGGTTTTAGAGCATGGGTTGATGGGATATTAATGGGATAAATCATAATTACGTTATATCGTTACGCCAGGCAAAAACTGCGAGACGGACATCGAAGAATGCGCCAGTTCCCCTTGCAAGTGGGGCGGCACCTGCCTGGAGCGTAGTAACGCCAGCCTGTACCGCGACGCCGACGCCGGCCCGCTGCAAGTGGGGCCGCAGCCCGCAATGCTACTGCCCGAATTCTTCTACAGACCTTTCTCCTACCAGAACGCGAGCGGGTATGATATCTTATCTCTGCCGTCACACATGTGGCCGATTTTTCAGTCTTAAATTGCATCTTATACAGTTTTTGATTCTCTGTCGATCTGTCTTTAACAAGTATTCGTATCTTTCAAAGCTTAAGTCTAAGTAATAATAAATAATAATAAATAAATATTTCCAACACTCACACCAATCAGCCTAGCCCCAAGCTAAGCACTATAAGGCTTGTGTTATGGGATACTAGGGTAACGGATAGAATACATATACTGTAATATATAAGTACGATATACGTCATATTAAACATCCATGACTGGAGTACAAATGCTCGTATTCATCACACAAACATCTGCCCCCACCGGGATTCGAACCCGGGACCTCTCGAGTCGGCGACACCATGAAACCCGGCGTACAAACCACTCGGCCAAGGAGGTCGTCGTCTAAAAATCCGTCATGTGATGAATGGTTACAAATAGCAATAATTTAAAGTTTACGAGCCGTTTTTTGGACGTATCTCAAAAGTTCGTTTTGTCATTTAGCCGTGTTTGAGCTTGAGGACGGCAGATCTGTAAAATCTGCAACTTAGCTATTTTATAGTTATGAATGAAAAAGAGATTTAATTTGAGATATATATTTTACTAGCTGACCCAGCGAACTTCGTACCGCCTTAAAAAAATAGGGGTTGTCCAGCGGACAAAATTGTGAATCTAAACCATTCTCAGATCCCCTTGAACACACACAAAAAATTTCATCAAATTCGTCCAGTCGTTTAAGAGAAGTTCAGTGACATACACACTCACAGAAGAATTATATATATAAAGATATTACCGCACCTAATTTTTAGATAATGAAATAGAGAAATTGTTAACGAATCGAGTTTCAAATATACAGATTTATGTAAGATATAGAATAATAGTTTATAGTTTTTTACTATTTATTATTAAAAACATGAGGCAACATCAATCAATCAATAGGGGTGATGACGGGGTACAGTAAACGAAATTCTATTAAGTCCGTCAGGTAGATGATCAAATAATAGACACGTATTTTTTTCTTTGGGCAATCAACCAAAAAATGACAAAGTTATAGCGCGGCAAAGTTTGGGAGTAGGGGCTCGTGACGTCACTTTTGAGTAAATTTTCACTTATAAGTGTACTCAAACGTGACTTCATGCGATTTTTCAAATCAATATATCCCTGCAATGTTTATGTGAAAAAAGAAAAAATACGTGTCCAATACATTTTGATAATCTACCTGATAAAGGATGAAAAAAAAAATAGTCATCATCCCTATTTTCTAAAGTGCGTTGTTTGATTCTGAGGATCAAATTGTGAATAAGCCAAATTTTGACAAATTGATGCTTAATAAAATCAGTTTCAACGGTATAGAATCTATACTATAGATGCACTGATTTATTTATTTATGACGTTTCGCACCCTTTTCAAGCTGCGTCGTTCTTTTAGAAAGAAAAGTCTTTCGAAGGTAGCTCGACAAAGTAAATAAAATCATAATCCTGACGATGCAGCCTGAAAAGGATGTGAAACGTCGTCGTAAATAAATAAACCAATGCATCTATACCAGTGATTCCCAAAGTGGTCTATATCGACCCCTAGGGGTCTATGACGACCCGCAAGGGGTCTACATCAGTGAAAAAAAAATTTGGGGGTCCATGAAATGAAAATGGGGGTCCACGATAATGGATCTCAAAATACACTGATAGTACTTATTTACTTACATTCTTCTTCTATTAAAAAGATATATACATGTCGGAGAGCGGCTATTCACTCTGTCATTAGCGTTCACGGGCTTAGTGGGCGTCATTGGGGCTTGATACAGGCACAAAACCAAACAATCACTCAATCACTGTTCGTATAGTTTTAATTACGTTCTTTTAACAAAAACAAAATAAAAATGTTTCACACACACTTTACTTTACACTAAGGACACTTAAATAACGTAACAACCGAGCAGTGGGTTCAAGGTACCAATCTGACTTCACTGAACTACCGTATCACCTTTCTAGTAATGAACCGCTACGATCAGTTCCTCGCCCTTAAATACGCGCAAAAACTACCTCCCACCTATGAAAATCAAGATGGCGCCTCGACCCCACTCGAGGCACGTGCTTTGCTCTGATTGGACGCGACATGAGATGATTTATAAGAGACTTTTATTAAATTGTTAAGTTACTGAACAATACAAAAATTGTAATTAATAAAATCAAATTAAATTAAGATTTTATAAAATTATTTAAAGTGTAAACAATAGCCTTTTCGCGATTGACATTCAACAAGAAACTCTACTCGTCACATCCTCCGACATACATTATTTATAAAAGTACATATGAAATAATAAAAAAAAAATATATATGTTTATAAAATTTTGTAAGTTGTAAGATATTCGCTTTGTGGTCGCAATACACTTTGAAGTTGTATAAACCTGCATATAATGATAAACCAGTATCATCTTGTTACACTAACTTCCCTCCAGATAAAAATTTACAAAAAGTCAATATCAGGTAAGTAGGGGTCTACCCAAAATCAAAAAACATGCAAAGGGTCTACGACACAAAAAAGTATGGGAACCTCTGATCTATACCATTGAAACTTGTTTTATTTAATGAGTGGTGTGCGTGAAAACCTAAGAAACAATTATAAAATTATACTTTTCTAACTTAAGTAGCAAACAAAGCTGCCTAAGTTCTAGTTAAAAGCTCGGCAGTTTATTTTTTTCGAGTACCAGCAAAGATTTTGGTTTTTTTTATTGCCTTCGAAGGCAGAAAAGCGGGCAGGTCACCTGTACCCCTAGCACAAACCATTATCGAATTCGAATAGTTTGCAAACCGAAATGTCAATGTCAAATTTTGTATGGAAACTTGAACAGCAGCGGCACAAAGTACGTAATACTAAAAATCAGTACGCATTTGACAATGACATTTTGGACTCGCAAACGATACGAATTCGATATTGGTTCGTGCTAGGGGTACTGATGTTAACCGTCACCGTCGCCCATGGACATCAGCAATGCCAATAAATAATAATAATAATAAATATTTCCAACACGCACACCTATTATGTGCGTAGCCTAGCCCCAATGTAAGCACTATTAGGCTTGTGTTATGGGATACTAGGGTAACGGATAGAATACATATACTGTACATATATAAGTATATTTATATAGAAATACATATTAAACATCCATGACTGGAGTACAAAATGCACGTATTCATCACACAAACATCTGCCCCCACCGGGATTCGAACCCGGGACCTCTCGAGCCGGCGACACCATGAAACCCGGCATACAAACCATTCGGCCACGGAGGTCGTCAATGACACAGTCATGCCGCTGCCTGTAGTGACACATTCTATTAAGGTCTCCCTTGAAGCGGAACCATGTTATAGTACTGAGGGAACACCGTGGAGTCCCAGCTCATTCCATTCTCCCTAGCATGGGCACCTCGATATGATATATAACGCGTTTTTATCAGGCTTAATTGTCAAATTACTATGGAGTTTGACAGTTAGACGCGATAAAAACGTTATTTAGTGTAAATTGTAGTGCTCTTGTTACTGGGACACAATAGGGTATTTGACTAGTTTTAGGAAACGATCTCGAGTTATTCACTGATGTTCATGGAATCCATAAAAAGTGGATGTTTTTAATTCTGCTGTGTAATTCGTAAAAAATATAGATTGAATTTTAAAATCGCCGCGAAAACGTTTCTCTGGATATTATAGTGTGTTACTAGTGATTGACATCACATGGCTGTCATTGAAGTGTCAAACGATACAATGTTATGTCACTTTGGCCGGAAGTTTACTAGCGTGTGACGTCATTTTTAGGACGCTTTCAATTTATGCGTTTCTTGACGCGCGCGACTTGAACGCGCGGTGCAGCAACAGTCCTGTTGTCGATTGAATGATTTTATAGAAAAGTTATTATTTAATTGTCCTTTCAGAATAGTAAAATCGCTGTTAAAAAAAAATCATATTAAATAGAGATGCCAACACAGCACTCACTTTAATGCGCACTCCCTACGCGTCCATTAAAATGTACGCCTTCTGATTGGCGGTCGTGACGTGACTATCCCCCCATCGCAAAATGCCCCGCACCCCTCTGACGCCCGTAAAGTAGGCCTTGTGATTGGTCGGCACGTTTTTTTCTCGCGCGTCGGTGAACGGCTGTCGTCAACACTACTGTTATAGTTAATAGGGTATTTGACAAGTTTTAGGCAACGATCTCACGTTATTGACTAATGTTTATGGAGTCCGTAAAAAGTGGATATTCATCATTCTGTTGTGTATTTCAGTAAAAATAACCAAATTAAAAACTCCATTTTCAAGTTGCCGCGAAAACGTTTCTCTAGACAATATGGCGTCTTACTAGTGTGTAACGTCACACGACTGTTATTAAAACGTCAAACGATACAATGTAATGTCACTTTAACCGGAAGTTTACTTGCGTGTGACGTCATTTTAGGCTTCGCCAAACCCTAGCGTTTTTTGGGTCACGTGGCAATAGATAAGAAAACTTTTTTCTTTTTCGAGGGTTTTTAGTAAAATTATGAATATTTTATTTGTAAAAATAGTAAAAACCGCTGCCAATATTCATTCTATACACAGATGCTAACAATAGGGATGATGACAATTTTTTTTTCTTCGTTTATCAGGTAGATTATCAAAAAGTATAGGACACGTTTTTTTTCTTTTTTCACATTATATAAACACTAGCAAACCAGTAAACCAAATGTTTACCAAAAACAAAAAAAAAATGTATTTAATTAATTGAGAACTTCGGAGATTTTGTGTGGTTTCGTTTGAAATAGAAATCACGTGATTTCTCGAAAACCGGAAGTGCTACGTTACTCACATCCGGTTTGTAGTCTTATCAGACTATTCTCAACTTATAACTTAAACATTCTCTTTATCTATCTCTTACGGTTTGGCCGCTGAAACAGCACCACGGACGGACGGACGGACGGACTTGTCTAATAGATAAGAGATTGCAGAGATATATTTGATAGTTTGAGTACAGTTATAAGTGAAAATTCACTCAAAAGTGACATCACGAGCCCCTACTCCCAAACTTTGACGCGTTATACTTTGTCATTTTTTGGTTAATAACCCAAAGAAAAAATACGTGTCCATTATTTTTTGATCATCTAACTGACGGACTAAATAGAATTTCGTTTACTTTACCCCGTCATCACCCCTATTGAAATACTCTATTTAGATATGTTGTCGTGTTAGATTCGAGTGCGTGTGCGTGTCGGGCACGGAGGGGTCCCGCTGCGAGGTGAATGTGGACGAGTGCGCGTCGTCGCCCTGCGGACACGGCACCTGCGTCGACGGCATCGGCGCCTACGTCTGCGACTGCAGTCCGGGCTTCGAGGGGCAGCACTGCGAGCTGGAGATCGACGAGTGCCAGAGGTCAGCATGGCTTCTATGTTTCATCATTAGCCTATTTATGTCCCTACTCCTTGGACACAAGCCTTCCCTATGAATGGAATAGAGATTGGGCCATGATCCACCACGCGGGCTCAGTGCGGATTGGCAAGTGCTAACTACTGCAGATGCAGCCGTTACCAAGGCTTAACGGTATATAAATAAATATTTCCGACACTCACACCAATTAGCCTTGCCCCAAAGTAAGCACTGTAAGGCTTGTGTTATGGGATGCTAAGGTAACGGATAGAATACATATACTGTACATATATAAGTATATTTATATAGAAATACATATTAAACATCCATGATTGGAGTACAAATGCTCGTATTCAGCACAAAAACATTTGCCCCCACCGGGATTCGAACCCGGGACCCCTCGAGTCGGCGACATCATGAAACCCGGCGTACAAACCACTCGGCCAAGGAGGTCGTCGATAAAAGAGTATGAAAAATGTATACTTTGTAAATATGCAAAAAAGGCCTTTATATGTATTTATGCGATTTGAGGAGCTCATTGGCGCAAGTGGTTACCGCGTTTGGTTGCGACAGTTGAACTTAAACAAGTTTCGCAATGGTCGGTCATTGGATGAATGTCTCGAGCTCCTCCGTGTTTTAGAAGGCGCGTTTAGCCGTCGATCCCGGCTGCATCTGCAGTCGTTAACACTCACCAATCCGCACTGAACTTGCGTGATGGGTCATTGCTCAATCTCCTAATTCAATCCATTGGGGAGGTCTGTGCCTCAGCAGTGGGGACATTAATAGGCCGATGGTGGTGTGTATGATACATGGACTTTGCATGGATGCGTATAAACCGTTACAGCGAAATCGTTCACCTACTACCCGTGATGAACAATGACTATTTAAGAGCCCTTTTACAAAATTGCAGGGCTGCCGTACTGATCGGCGTGTAGGTAGAATTGTAGGTAGAAATATATTGCATTTTACGGGTGATGTTTCGAGTCTTATAAAATAATTATTAATGAACTAATTATAAAATATATATATATTTCAGTAGTTCAATGATGGTAGATTAGTTTTTGGTAGTAATTCTATTTAATTCAATATCAAAATACGAGGTAAACCTGCATTATTTTTTGGGAAAACTCATGGAGGTTAGATGATTTTTTTTGATAATTAATGAGATGGAAAATCAAAATTCTAATACATTATGTTACAACAAATACATATTTCCGATGTCGTAGTAATCAATTTGATCTAATTTATTGAACATCATTGAGAGATTGAGGCGTTTGAAGTTGTGCATATTACTTATGCACAACTTCGTTTTTTCCTTAAACTAGCCAGTAGAACGATCAGTACAAAAAAAGGAATATACTATTTGCAAATATTTAACTTACAATGGAAAGAATAAATCTACTGTTTTCTTATATTGGTAATAATAAAAATCTTTTCTAAAGGGGTGAACGAGGCGTTCAAAAATTACGATTTTTTGCAAAAATGTGAAAGGGCTCTTAAGGAACTAACAACTAGTTATCTGTTTGTGTCAGATACCAGCCATGCGCCCACGGGCGGTGCTACGACGCGCGCGCGTCATACTACTGCTCGTGCGCGGCCGGCTGGGGCGGGCGGAACTGCTCCGTGGTGCTGACGGGCTGCCGGCACCAGCCCTGCGCCAACCACGGCACCTGCCGCGCCTGGCTGCGCGGCGAGAGCGACCAGCGCTACAACTGCAGCTGCGCGCCCGGCTACTACGGGGACACGTGCCGCCAGGTGATGTACTACTGCTGGTAGTGGGCGGGCGGAACTGCTCCGTGGTGCTGACGGGCTGCCGGCACCAGCCCTGCGCCAACCACGGCACCTGCCGCGCCTGGCTGCGCGGCGAGAGCGACCAGCGCTACAACTGCAGCTGCGCGCCCGGCTACTACGGGGACACGTGCCGCCAGGTGATGTACTACTGCTGGTAGTGGGCGGGCGGAACTGCTCCGTGGTGCTGACGGGCTGCCGGCACCAGCCCTGCGCCAACCACGGCACCTGCCGCGCCTGGCTGCGCGGCGAGAGCGACCAGCGCTACAACTGCAGCTGCGCGCCCGGCTACTACGGGGACACGTGCCGCCAGGTGATGTACTACTGCTGGTAGTGGGCGGGCGGAACTGCTCCGTGGTGCTGACGGGCTGCCGGCACCAGCCCTGCGCCAACCACGGCACCTGCCGCGCCTGGCTGCGCGGCGAGAGCGACCAGCGCTACAACTGCAGCTGCGCGCCCGGCTACTACGGGGACACGTGCCGCCAGGTGATGTACTACTGCTGGTAGTGCAAGGGCGGAACTGCTCCGTGGTGCTGACGGGCTGCCGGCGAAACTGCTTCGTGCAACTCATAAAGTTGACTTATATAGAACCCGCACCTTCCGCTGTCCGGGCGGATGCACTTACCGATAAGCTTTTTGACAGTATGAAAAATATGGTACCATTTGTTGGCTTCTGTATTAAATATGAATTAACAGCGATTTTACTATTCTCAGAGGACAAACAAAAATTTATAACTTTATTTTTACTTCTTAAAGTTGTCAAATACCCTATTATATTAACACGACCTTGACCTTGATATGAACTAAATACGGCGTAACTAGGCCAAGCTTATTTCTCGTTTATTAATCGCCACCGACTTAAGAGTAGATAATTCAATGTACAATGTATTTTCTGGTTGAGTTTATTTTTAGTTGAGAATGCAGATTTATAGAGCTAAGGATTACATAAAATACAGTGGTTAAATTTTTGTTCTACGACTAATACGAATTTACGGCTGGCCGCGTGGTGACTGTGACGTCACAGAGCTCTTGCGCTCGGGCACGAGCGTGCGTAGAGACGCTACAAACGTTCGACCGGAGTGAACCACGATCGACCTCTGTGACGTCACGCGTTTCGGTCGCCGGTGAAAAGAGGCTACCATAAAATTAGTCTCAACGAATGAACCGATTTCGATGATTTAACAAGTGTATTAATTAAAAAGCTTATAAGATCACGATACTGTTGATTTTGAATTGGTTTGCTTTGTCATCATCATCATCATCAGCCTATTAATGTCCCCACTGCTGGAACACAGGCCTTTCCTATGGATGGAATAGGGAGATTGGGCCGCGGGCCCAGTGCGGATTGATGGGTGCTAACGACTGCAGATGCAGCCGGGACTAACGGCTTAACGTGCCTTCCGAAGCACGGAGGAGCTCGAGATAGTAAATTTTTGGTCACCCATCCAATGACTGACCACTGCGAAAGTTACTTAACTTCAACGATCGCAGCCGAGCGCGCTAACCACTTGCGCCATCGAGCTCCTCGCTTGGTTTGATTACCTAGTAATGATCCTCATGGATCGGGATTGTGTTGTGGGCGGGATTATGTCCTTGGGTCGTAATATAACAATTTATTGTCTATATTATATTATATTGACGACCTCCGTGGCCGAGTGGTTTGTACGCCTGGTTTCATGGCTGTCGCCGACTCGAGAGGTCCCGGGTTCGAATCCCGGTGGGGGCAGATGTCTGTGTGATGAATACGAGCATTTGTACTCCAGTCATGGATGTTTAATATGTATTTATATAAATATACTTATATATGTACAGTATATGACTGTATTCTATCCGTTACCCTAGCATCCCATAACACAAGCCTTATAGTGCTTACTTTGGGGCTAGGCTAATTGGTGTGAGTGTCGGAAATATTTATTTATTATTTATACAGATAACGACCATGTCTCTCGAGAAGGATAGCTACGCGGAGGTGAACACTACTCGTGAAGAAGGCTACGACATATCGTTCCGTTTCAAGACGACGCTGGGCAGCGGTCTCCTGGCTATGGGCCGTGGCTTCACTTACTTCTTTCTGGAGCTCAGCAACGGCCGCCTCAACCTGCACTCAAGCCTACTCAACAAGTGGGAGGGAGTCTTCATCGGCTCCAACCTCAACGACAGCAACTGGCAGAAGGTGACAACGTTACACCCACGAAAATACCCACGCAACACATTCTGTCTCTCTAGCATGTTTAATGGGATAGCCTGTGCGCGAGGGACAGTATGTTATACGTCGTCATTAGCGATGCCTATCTTCAATAACTAGTTATATACTATAATTTTTATTATTTTAAAGCATGTAACTGCTTGATGTTTAAATCCAAAGAAAATATAACTAGAAAGAATTCCACGCGGACCAGGCATGTTTAATACTTGTAAAAGTATTCATTTGACATTGTGGGTTACCTATAATGCGAAGAGATGGCGCTGCCTTGCAGCTTAAGAATGGCTAGAAGAATTTCGACGCGGTCCGTGAGGGACGCGGTAGCATAATTGGTCAGTGCATTCGCCCGGATTGCGAAGGGTGTGGGTTCGAATCCCGTCTGCTGCCTGGTCCGCGTAGAATTTTTTCTAGTTATATACTAGCTGACCCGGCGAACTTCGTACCGCCATAAAAATAGGGGCTGGTGGTAGAAGGATGAAAATTGGAGTTGTATTTATTTTTTAATGCAACTTTATATAGCAAAAAAAAAATTTCCAAAAAAAAATGTTAGGGGTGTGTAACTTAGTGTTCTATCAATTTCCTGGGATAGCATTCCCGCTAAACCATTTGAGAACATTACGTTACAATACCCAATAGTGTGAATTTTGGCGCGAAGGCGCATTATAGGTTTCAGAACACTACGTTAAAGGTGGACTACCCTTTTCATTAAAGGGTATGAAAAATATATAGTAGCCGATTCCCATTCTCACAGAATATGCTTATAAAATTTCATAAAAATCGGTTAAGCTGTTTCGGAGGATTATGGTAACTAACATTATGACACGAGAATTTTATATATCAGATATAGCATAAGATAAATGTCTACATGGAAAAGTTATATAATCAGCTGATATAGAATATACCTTTCTTCAAAGTCGTACAGTATTCCTAGCACGAACCATTATCGAATTCGAATAGTTTGCAAACCGAAATTTCAATGTCAAATTTTGTATGGAAATAAAACTAGTTTTTACGGGTTAATGCACGAAACTTTATTTATTTAATGACGTTTCGCAGCCTTTTCAGGTCTGCATCGTCAGAATAATGATTTTTTATTTAAAATTGTAGAGCTACCTTCGAAAGACTTATATTGAGCGTTCGGTTCGGCGTGAGGTAGCTCGACAATTTTAAATAAAAAATTCATTATTCTGACGATGCAGACCTGAAAAGGCTGCGAAACGTCAATAAATAAATAAAGTTTCGTGCATTAACCCGTAAAAACTAGTTTTATTTAATGAGTGATGTGCGTGAAAACCTAAGAAACAAATTTGTATGGAAACTTGAACAGCAACGGTACAAAGAACGTAACGCGAACTAAAAATCAGTACACATTTGACAATGACATTTCGGATTCGCAAACGTTACGAATTCGATTTTGGTTCGCGCTAAGGGTGCAGTATTTGAAGGCATGATATAACATAGCTATGTATGGTTGGTTGGCGGCAGGTGTTCGTGACGATAAACTCGTCGCACCTGGTGCTGGCGGCGAACGAGGAGCAGACCATCTACCCGATCAGCCAGAACGAGGCGTACAACGGCTCCGTGACGTCATTCGGCTCCACAAGGCTCGGCGCGCCGGGCTCCTCGTACGCGCCGCTCACGCACGGACCCAACTTCTTCGTAGGCTGCGTGCAGGATGTCGTCGTCAACGGCCAGTGGGTGAGTCGCTACTTACAATAGGGATGATGGCGGGGTACAGTAAACGAAATTCTATTTAGTCCGTCAGTTAGATGATCAAAAAATAATGGACATGTATTTTTTCTTTGGGCAATCAACCAAAAAATTACAAAGTTATAGCGCGTCAAAGTTTGGGAGTAGGGGCTCGTGACGTCACTTTTGAGTGAATTTTCACTTATAAGTGTACTCAAACGTGACGTCATGCGACTTTTAAATCAATATATCTCTGCAATGTGTATATTATGTGAAAAAAGAAAAAATACGTGTCCAATACTTTTTGATAATCTACCTGAAAAAGGAAGAAAAAAAAATTAGTCATCATCCCTATTCAATTCGTTTATTGCAGACCATAACGGAGATACAAAGGTGGTAATATTAACAGATAAAAGTGCATTATGGACCCTGTAGTGTAGGGTATCGCAATTACACTCGTGTTGATGCAACGGCAGCCTACAGAGACGTGTTAATTGCGTAAAAATATCCAATGGCATGATTCTCTCAATCTAAAGTTGAGTTAGACAGCAGTGTATCCTTGTCGATCTCTATACAGAATGAAAGGGAGAGACTGATGTTCGATTTAGTTTTCTGTTTAGAGAATTTTATTGCGTTTTGTGTTTCCCGCTAAGTTTGGAATATCCGACACCACCAAGGTTGGCTGGAAGAGATCTCTTTTAGAGATAAGCCCACCTTTGCTTACTACGTATTTGATTTTGGTGCAATTGGTGATTAACTATTTGATGCAATCAAAAGTCAAAATATCTTTATTCAAATTGGATGCAAAATACAACTCTTTTGAATCGTCCATATTTTTTCCCTACCACCAGTTAAGGACATTTTATTTAGTTGTGGTGAAAAACTGGCGAAAATTTCTTCACAGCTTTAAATAATTATGTAACAATATTTACAAAAAAATAATATTGTTACGGTGTCAATACAAATTCATTTCATCTTTATCATAATTATAGAAAAATCCTGCCGGAACTCTTACGTGTTATAAACGTCACATGAATCTCCTTTGTTTAAAATGCGAGATAGAAGACTTATCGTTTAGACTGTCTGTCTCACCTCGTTTTTTATCTCACATCAATTTCGGTAGTAAGTTAGTAGTTAATAAAGTAAAAAAAAGTTAAAGTTCCGTATGAAAACTTCGATAATGTAACCCAACGTGTGTAAAAAATACCAAAAAATAGCCTTATATCGCGTTCGCTGCTGAAGTCATTGACAATAGAGCAAAATGATGTACTAAAGTTTTATTGAGGATACCAATATCTACAAAAAAAATGTGTGCGTGTACTAGTGTACACACGTAAGAAGTGAAACTTCTTTATGGCCTTATTTTTTTCGAAAAATGATCTACATGCAACTTTCCAGAAATATATATATAGGCGTGCGCTAAGATTTTTCAAAAACTCACCCACTAAAGGGGTATAACTACACCTTACCTTACCTTACCTTGTTCGGAGCAATTGTTCGGATGAGGTAAATAGTGCTCTTTTAAAAAAAAGATGGCGCGTAACCAAAATACGTGACGCGTAACCGAATAAAAATGTGACGGTAAATTTTTTTCCAACGCCGATAAAGAAGTTTCACTTCAAAAAGTCTGCGATATCATGTGTCTAACTATTACAGTTCTGTCACAACTAGAGGTCTCGAGTGCCTCCGTGCTTCGGAAGGCACGTTAAGCCATTGGTCCCGGCTGCATCTGCAGTCGTTCGCACCCACCAATCTGTACTGGGCCCGCGTGCTGTATGATGTCCCAAACTCCCCATTCCATCCATAGGGAAGGCCTGTGCCCCAGCTGTGGGGACATTAATAGGCTGATGATGATGATCATGATGTATCAGTTTGCCTACGCTCGCGTTGGATTAATCTCGGCTAATATGTATTGGCGGCTTTAGAACAAGGGGCCTAATTCTGACATGATTATTTAAACCTGCAATTTAATTCGATAATAGATTTTCTTTACTTTATAAGGATATAGTATTGTCAAAATCAGTTATTTGGCAAGTTTTATGTTTTTATACAAAAATACATGTTAATTTATTCGTCTCTTATAAACATTGCATTCTGCTTAAATATATCGGTTTGTGAGAAAAAGGCTTTGGAAATCTCAATAGTAAACGGAACTTGTCGCAGGTTCTTCCCGAAGACGCGAACGATACTACAGTGGAGGCGAACACGGAGGGCTCCGGGTCGGGGGAGGTGGGGGAGGGGGGAGTGTCGCAGGTGCTGCACGGGGTCACGGCGCTGTGCCCGCGCAGTCCCCAGTGCGACCCCAACCCCTGCCAGTCCGGGGGCGCCTGCGACGATCGATGGTCCTCCTTCATGTGCGCCTGCCCGCGGCCGCACCTGGGCCACACCTGCCAGTACAGTGAGTGCCACACACTACACTACACTACACTACACTACCCCACCCCTGCCAGTCCGGGGGCGCCTGCGACGATCGATGGTCCTCCTTCATGTGCGCCTGCCCGCGGCCGCACCTGGGCCACACCTGCCAGTACAGTGAGTGCCACACACTACACTACACTACACTACACTACCCCACCCCTGCCAGTCCGGGGGCGCCTGCGACGATCGATGGTCCTCCTTCATGTGCGCCTGCCCGCGGCCGCACCTGGGCCACACCTGCCAGTACAGTGAGTGCCACACACTACACTACACTACACTACACTACCCCACCCCTGCCAGTCCGGGGGCGCCTGCGACGATCGATGGTCCTCCTTCATGTGCGCCTGCCCGCGGCCGCACCTGGGCCACACCTGCCAGTACAGTGAGTGCCACACACTACACTACACTACACTACACTACCCCACCCCTGCCAGTCCGGGGGCGCCTGCGACGATCGATGGTCCTCCTTCATGTGCGCCTGCCCGCGGCCGCACCTGGGCCACACCTGCCAGTACAGTGAGTGCCACACACTACACTACACTACACTACACTACCCCACCCCTGCCAGTCCGGGGGCGCCTGCGACGATCGATGGTCCTCCTTCATGTGCGCCTGCCCGCGGCCGCACCTGGGCCACACCTGCCAGTACAGTGAGTGCCACACACTACACTACACTACACTACACTACCCCACCCCTGCCAGTCCGGGGGCGCCTGCGACGATCGATGGTCCTCCTTCATGTGCGCCTGCCCGCGGCCGCACCTGGGCCACACCTGCCTGTACAGTGAGTGCCACACACTACACTACACTACACTACACTACCCCACCCCTGCCAGTCCGGGGGCGCCTGCGACGATCGATGGTCCTCCTTCATGTGCGCCTGCCCGCGGCCGCACCTGGGCCACACCTGCCAGTACAGTGAGTGCCACACACTACACTACACTACACTACACTACCCCACCCCTGCCAGTCCGGGGGCGCCTGCGACGATCGATGGTCCTCCTTCATGTGCGCCTGCCCGCGGCCGCACCTGGGCCACACCTGCCAGTACAGTGAGTGCCACACACTACACTACACTACACTACACTACCCCACCCCTGCCAGTCCGGGGGCGCCTGCGACGATCGATGGTCCTCCTTCATGTGCGCCTGCCCGCGGCCGCACCTGGGCCACACCTGCCAGTACAGTGAGTGCCACACACTACACTACACTACACTACACTACCCCACCCCTGCCAGTCCGGGGGCGCCTGCGACGATCGATGGTCCTCCTTCATGTGCGCCTGCCCGCGGCCGCACCTGGGCCACACCTGCCAGTACAGTGAGTGCCACACACTACACTACACTACACTACACTACCCCACCCCTGCCAGTCCGGGGGCGCCTGCGACGATCGATGGTCCTCCTTCATGTGCGCCTGCCCGCGGCCGCACCTGGGCCACACCTGCCAGTACAGTGAGTGCCACACACTACACTACACTACACTACACTACCCCACCCCTGCCAGTCCGGGGGCGCCTGCGACGATCGATGGTCCTCCTTCATGTGCGCCTGCCCGCGGCCGCACCTGGGCCACACCTGCCAGTACAGTGAGTGCCACACACTACACTACACTACACTACACTACCCCACCCCTGCCAGTCCGGGGGCGCCTGCGACGATCGATGGTCCTCCTTCATGTGCGCCTGCCCGCGGCCGCACCTGGGCCACACCTGCCAGTACAGTGAGTGCCACACACTACACTACACTACACTACACTACCCCACCCCTGCCAGTCCGGGGGCGCCTGCGACGATCGATGGTCCTCCTTCATGTGCGCCTGCCCGCGGCCGCACCTGGGCCACACCTGCCAGTACAGTGAGTGCCACACACTACACTACACTACACTACACTACCCCACCCCTGCCAGTCCGGGGGCGCCTGCGACGATCGATGGTCCTCCTTCATGTGCGCCTGCCCGCGGCCGCACCTGGGCCACACCTGCCAGTACAGTGAGTGCCACACACTACACTACACTACACTACACTACCCCACCCCTGCCAGTCCGGGGGCGCCTGCGACGATCGATGGTCCTCCTTCATGTGCGCCTGCCCGCGGCCGCACCTGGGCCACACCTGCCAGTACAGTGAGTGCCACACACTACACTACACTACACTACACTACCCCACCCCTGCCAGTCCGGGGGCGCCTGCGACGATCGATGGTCCTCCTTCATGTGCGCCTGCCCGCGGCCGCACCTGGGCCACACCTGCCAGTACAGTGAGTGCCACACACTACACTACACTACACTACACTACCCCACCCCTGCCAGTCCGGGGGCGCCTGCGACGATCGATGGTCCTCCTTCATGTGCGCCTGCCCGCGGCCGCACCTGGGCCACACCTGCCAGTACAGTGAGTGCCACACACTACACTACACTACACTACACTACCCCACCCCTGCCAGTCCGGGGGCGCCTGCGACGATCGATGGTCCTCCTTCATGTGCGCCTGCCCGCGGCCGCACCTGGGCCACACCTGCCAGTACAGTGAGTGCCACACACTACACTACACTACACTACACTACCCCACCCCTGCCAGTCCGGGGGCGCCTGCGACGATCGATGGTCCTCCTTCATGTGCGCCTGCCCGCGGCCGCACCTGGGCCACACCTGCCAGTACAGTGAGTGCCACACACTACACTACACTACACTACACTACCCCACCCCTGCCAGTCCGGGGGCGCCTGCGACGATCGATGGTCCTCCTTCATGTGCGCCTGCCCGCGGCCGCACCTGGGCCACACCTGCCAGTACAGTGAGTGCCACAGTTGTAGCAAAACTGTGAATGCAGTTCTAGTTATTATTAAAAATAAAATGATGTCTTCTTTCAGTAAAATATCCTATCTTCAATATTTAATATACTTTCCCTCCGTGTGAGGTAGCCGTGGGACGCTCTGTATATATCTTTATATATATAATTCTTCTGTGAGTGTGTATGTCACTGAACTTCTCTTAAACGACTGGACCGATTTTGATGAAATTTTTTGTGTGTGTTCAAGGGGATCTGAGAATGGTTTAGATTCACAATTTTGTCCGCTGGACAACCCCTATTTCTTTAGGGCGGTACGAAGTTCGTTGGGTCAGCTAGTACAATATATATACGGATGGATACAGATGTAGCTAAAGAAGTTTCATTTCAGTCGTATGGTCATAAGCACACTTTTTTTTATAATTAGCCTAGCCCCAAAGTAGGCAGCACTGTACGCTTGTGTTATGGGATACTACGGTACGAATAGAATACATATACTTATAAATATATTTGTATAGAAAAACTTATTAAACATTGTGCGAATTGTGGTCATGCACCACAATTTAAGCGGATCACTTTTGAGCCGCGAGTGCCGTATCTTATATATATAAATAAATATAATATAATATACAAATATTTCCAACACTCACACCAATTAGCCTAGCCCCAAAGTGAGCACTGTAAGGCTTGTGTTATGGGATACTACGGTAACGGATACAATACATATACTGTACATATATAATTATATTTATACTTATATATTGTACTGGAGTACAAATGCTCGTATTCATCACACAAACATCTGCCCCCACCGGGATTCGAACCCGTGACCTCTCGAGTTGGCGACACCATGAAACCCGGCGTACAAACCACTCGACCACGGAGGTCGTCATAAGGTCGTATCTTCCCTTTTTGACGTGACAACGTCTTAAATTAGGTTGCGGCTGGGAGTCACTTATGAAAAAGTGTAACGCTCGGTAACGTTACGATGAGTCTCTCGTGTTAAGTTTAAGTTTACATGTACAATGTTTTAGTAAACAAAATATATTTCTATAGTTAAAATTTGTGCAATTCTTATTTTCATTCAATTCCTTGTTCCTATTGTGCAATTTAATTATATTCATATCAATAAATATTCTACCGAGAAAAAGACGTTGTCACGTAAAATCTTCGCCCGTAAAACCGACTTTACAGGCAACCATTTTTTGTTTTAATGTAAGACTATGTCTGATTGTACAGACTACACGGCGGCTACATTCGGGCACGAGTCAGCGAAGCCCCGCTCGGTAGTGAGCGTGGCGGTGTCCCCGGCGGCGAGGCGAGCCGTCCACGCGGCCCTGGACATCTCCATGTTTGTGAGGACTCGAAAGCCCACCGGACAGATCTTCTACCTCGGCTCCTTGCCCAGGTAACTACGCATCGCCGTCTGATACCGGCACTTCGCTTGGCTGTTCGCGTTTGGTTTTTTTTTATAGATAAGTCCTACAAATAAAATCTCTTATCTATTAGACAAGTCCGTCCGTCTGTGGTGCTGTTTCAGCGGCCAAACCGTAAGAGATAGATAAAGAGAATATTTAAGTTATAAGTTAAGAATAGTCTGAATAAGACTACAAACCGGTTTTCGGTAACGTAGCACTTCCGGTTTTCGAGAATCAGGTTTTGGTGAACATTTGGTTCACTGGTTTGCTAGTAATAAATAATATAATAAATATTTACAACACTCACACCAATTAGCCTAGCCAAATAGTAAGCACTATAAGGCTTGTGTTATGGGATACTAGGGTAACGGATAGAATACATATACTTTACATATATATGTATATTCATATAGAAATAATACATATTAAACATCCATGACTGGAGTACAAATGCTCGTGTTCATCACGCAAACATCTGCCCCCACCGGGATTCGAACCCGGGACCTCTCGAGTCGGCGACACCATGAAACCCGGCGTACAAACCACTTGGCCACAGAGGTCGTCAAATAATTACATACAGTGTATCTTAATAGTATCAAGAATCCTTTTTAAATTTTATGTACACAATACTACCCTATCACTTACATTTGCAACAATGCTCTCCGTTTTTTTTTCATTACCGCAATAGTGTCGCCAAAAATGTCAACACTATGTCTAACTGCATTACAAGCAGACAACATCCGGTAGATTGGCGAATGCTGACCAAGTCCTGGCCGGCATTCAGGAAGTAGGAAAGTTTTTCTATTTTGCAAACGGCTGTTTTGTCGAGGTACGAATAATTTGCTGCGTTGCAAAATAAAAGGTGAAACAGTGTATCCGCGCATTATTTTACACAAAAATATTATGTCAACCATTCTTCTCCGGTCTCTTAAAGATTGCTGTTTGTAATGGGACAGTCGCTGTTCATAAGATCCTAGCACTCGACATTTATGATCGGAATAAGCAAGGTTGTAAAGAAAGCGTTTCTGTACACGTTCAATGCGATCTGAGTGCACTCGGTTCGTGCTAGGGGTACAATATCCTTAGTATATCGTACTAAGGATATTGTTTGAGCTCGCACTCTTACTAAGGGTACTGATTTTATTGATTTCGTTTCAATACAAATAAACAGTGTTTAAATTCTATCATCAAATCATTTCTTACTTCTTAAATTTTAAATATATTTGGTAATTTTCACCAAAATGGACATGAAACATAATTTACAATTACGAAAACTATGATAGCTTTCGTGAGCTCAAACTCTTACTAAGGGTACAGATCTTCTACCTTGTCTCGCTACCTAGGTAACCCTTCTATGACACCGCCTTTGATTAGGATGTAATTCAAACTTAATGACAATTGTAAAATAATGGGTAAATTCATTTAAAAGTTAAGTGTAAACCCTTCAGATAACTAAGCAATACATAGCGTAGTATTCATGTTATGTTTTTGCTTGAATTTAGTAACGGATAAACGAAGGTTGACAGACATCACTTTGAATTTTGTAAACTAAAGATGAACTCCCAAAGCTATGTAGCTGCGTTAACTATGTGTGATCGATCGGTAACTTTTATAATAACAGAAAATATTCTGTGGTGTTGTCTGATATTTATTAATTTAGTTTTTATTTGAGGTTTAATTGGATAGGAGCTATAGTGCTAAAAAAATTAATACACAGGCTTAGAGTGGGATTCAGAATCATTCTGTGAAAATTCCGTAACTCAGTGTGATTTGTTATACGTTGTTATAAGTGTGAGGTTCACAAATGTTGTTATTTAACTCATGTTATTAAAGAAAGGTATCGCAAATAACTACATAAGATATTCTGTCTCTCTCGCAAATGCTCTCCTAAGTAACGTGCAAGAGAGTCAGAGTGTCTTATGTCGGTATTTTCGATTCCTTTCTTTAATCATTAACATCATCAGCCTATTAATGTCCCCACTGCTGGGGCACAATCCTTCCCTATGGATGGAAATAGGGAGATTGGGCCGTGGCCCACCACGCGGGCCCAGTGCGGAATGGCAGATGCAGCCGGGACCAACGGCTTAACGTGCCTTCCGAAGCATAGAGGAACTCGAGATTTTTGGTCACCCATCAAATGACCGACTACTGCGAAAGTTGCTTAACTTTAACGCACGCACGAACCACCTGCGCCATCGAGCTCCTGTAATCTGTTAATTAGGTTTCTATTAACATAGTTATTATTATTTTTTAATTATTAACATTTAATGTATTACCTATATCTGTATTTATGTTAGACTATAAGGTATTTATCTATGGGTCTACGTTGCCTAACTATAACAAATAAATAAATAAATGACATGAGTTGTAATATGAGTCGTATAGTATCAAAGGCGGCAAAGTAGGGCGAACCAAATATTTGGCAAATCAAAAAAAAAACTGTTTAGTCTCGTCTTTAAGGGAGGATAAAATATTGACATTTCACTACGATTTGTAGTTATGATGAATGTCAATTATAAAAATCCTCCCTTAAAGACGAAACTAAACAGTTTTTTTGATTTGTTGTGTTTAACTCATATGTTGTGTTTTGATATCGATCAGGGAGGGATCCGAACAGTCTCAAGTGAGCGCATCGTTGCTGGGCGGCGAGCTGCTTGTGCACCTGCGGTTTAACCACACGCATGAGAACTACACCGTGGGCGGCACCAGGCTCGACAATGGATACCTGCATCTTATCGAGGTAACACTTTCAATATATTCGTACCCTACAACTAAACTAAAATGAATTAATTAATGACTTAGGGGCTGTTCAAGTATTACGTAAGCACTATAGGGGGGCAGGCATAAAGTCTTTCGAAGGTAGCTCGACAAATTAAATAAAAGTTTTATTCTGTCGACGAAGCCTGTAAAGGCTACGAAACGTCAATAAATAAATAAAGTTTCGTGCATTTACCCGAATTACGGAATTGAGCCGTCAGGTAGGGTTTTTAAAAACTAAACTTTTAATTATTACTTTATTTATTTAAATGTTATACAAATTTACTTATACTAATTGATCCCGATGATCCGGTCTTACAAACTATACGTCAAGATGCTTCCACGATTGAAGCTCAAGCGACTCCCAAAACTGTCCGAAGGTTTTACATGAACTAAATCTGTCAAATAAGCACTTTTCAACACGATTGCTTAATCGAGCCACCTGCACTTGGGAAACACATAATGTACGCGTGACGTATGAGTGACGTAGACGAGTCTTGTACTCGTAACACCCGTAAAAACTAGTTTTATTTAATGAGTGATGTGCGTGAAAACCTAAGAAACAAATAGGTCTTTGCTTTGCTTAGTTTTGATGACATGGGGGGGTGGGGGGGTAGAGATGGTGATTACGTCAGCAATTTCGATTAAGCCTCTTTAAGTACTGTTGCTCATGAAGCTCATGAAAGCTCATGAATCAATAAAAAAAAACAGAAAACATTAAAGGAAAAATGCATATAGGTACCAATGTTTACGTAAGGATGGGGGGAGGGGTAAGAGCTTTGCTTACTTTTGCTGGCGAGGGGGAGGAGGGGGTAAATAATTGCAATAAATCTGCTTACGTAATACTTGAACGGCCCCTTAATGACAAGATTGTGGAAACACTGGTATCTGAACTAGGCCGCAGCCTGTATCTCAGAAGACCAGTACCCTAGCACGAACCATTATCGAATTGGAATAGTTTGCAAACCGAAATGTCAATATCAAATTTTGTATGGAATAAAATAAATATTTCCAACACTGACACTAATTAGCCTAGCCCCAAAGTAAGCACTGTAAGGCTTGTGTTATGGGATGCTAGAGTGACGGATAGAATACATAATACTGTACATATACAGAGTGTTATAGAATTCCGAAATAAAAATTTGTAGGTATCTGAGCGGAGCGCAGGGGCGCCTGGGGGAGAGAGGGGGGTCTGTTTAGGTAGTAGTAATCGTACGCATTTATAGGGTTGTCATAGGCAGGTGTAAAACGATATTTTTATTAATTTAATTAGAAAATAAAAGTGGTCTGAAAGGCGTCAAACTTTCGTAGGTAATTCTATACAAGGAACACAAGAAAACCCTAAAGTTTTATTTCGGACTTTTGTCACACCCTGTGTAAGTATATTTATATAGAAATAAATATTTTACATCCATGACTGGAGTACAAATGCTCGTATTCATCACACAAACATTTGCCCCCACCGGGATTCGAACCCGGGACCTCTCGAGTCGGCGACACCATGAAACCCGGCGTACAAACCACTCGGCCACTGAGGTCGTCAAAACTTGAATAGCAGCGGCACAAAGTACGTAACGAGAACTAAAAATCAGTACACATTTGACAATGACATTTCGGACTCGCAAACGACACGAATTCGATATTGGTTCGTGCTAGGGGTACTGGTCTTCTGAGATACAGGCTGCGGCCTAGTTCAGATACCAGTCTCTCCACAATCTTGACATTAAGTCATGAATTAATTCATTCAGTTTCTATTTTTTGTGCATTGGATTGTGAGGAGAAGAAATAAAGAATTATTATTATTATTACTTTGTTTTTACATAACTAAATTGCCGCAACGTACGCCTGATAGTAAGCGTCGCTACTTTACATGAAACCTATTGTTACAAACGTGCTGGCACCAATACCGCGAAGGTACTGGAAACAAATTTGACCAGAGCGCCGCGGCTTGAGGCCGAGTGGTGCGGTCAATTCTAATGTGAGCCTTATGCTGTGCGGCGTAAGAGTGGAAGTGCAATGACGACAGCACTTGTTTAAAACTCATTCGCGATACCTACGTATAACTAGGTACTACGTTATCGACGGTGCTAGTGAACTCTGAATTATACTGGACTTTTCTAGAATGCGTCGATTGGCGTATACAAGCGCGTCCGGCGCACAGCGGGTCGACGCTATACAGGCGATGGAACATAGGGTACTTATAAAATCATGTGACGAATTTCGAAAAAATCAATATTACCATAGTATTCAGCTACTTATTAGCTATAAAAACGATTCATAGCATTTTCTTATGGGAATGCTATTTGAAAAATATGGTACTATAGAGTTCTACCCAGAATGGATAGAACCTGGGGACGTGACTCTTCAGTAAAACAACTAGACGATGGTTATTATTTTATATTATCATTCAGGCGATTATAAAGAATTTTTATCTAAATACGAGAGGAAGTTCTTGGTGCCTGAAGATCTAATCTTGAATGGAACCTTCTATCAAAAGACAGACGATTCCTCATTTCAAATCTTAAAATCATGACATTATCTTTTTAATATAACTGCCAACCGTAGGCATTGCATAAGCAAAGAGTTTACCTAAACAAGGAGGCTGTAACGTTTCGGACGTCACATCCCTCCGGCACCTCTAAAAAAAAAAATTGTTTTGTCATACCAGATGACCGAACAAAATTTTTTTTTCCTACCTACTACATCGAGAGGGTTCGACGGTCCTATCTAAAATCCCTACCTGCTTAAGGACATAAATACAACTGGGAGGTGGCCTTTACTACAGACTAGCCCTCACAATAAGTTTGCAAAACTTGCAAAAAAAAAACTTTACGGGAAAAGAACCCTAACTGTTTGCAAAGTTTTATTGCAAAGACTTTACGGGAGCAAAACCTTAACAAAATCCCTCGCACATCTCCCTCCTAACCTTAACTTTACTTTACTTTACATCGACATCAGTCGGCAAAAACAAAAAAACAAAGCTAACCCTAGCTATAACTTAAATTACCCAAGCAATTTTTATTTTATCCCATCTATCAGCAAAACTTTACCCTATCCCATTTATTAAACCATTAAATATCAAGAAAATTTATATTTTGAAACTTCATTACTTCCCATACTAAGTAGATGTACGAAACGAAATTCAAACTATTTCCTAAGATTCGTAAACATTAACTGGATTTGAGCAAAACCTAAAAGAATTTATAATTAATGTTTACTTTCGTACATCCTTACTAATATTATAAAGGCGAAAGTTTGTTTGGATGGATGTATGGATGGATGTTTGTTCCTCTTTCACGCAAAAACTACTAAACGGATTTTAATGAAACTTTACAGTAATGTAGCTTATAGATCAGAATAACACATAGGCTATAATTTATAAAGATATTGTGTGAATTGTCCAAAATATAACGATAAATGTCATTTAAGTCTGAAAAAATTCTGCAATCTGCGAGCTATTCAGGCGTGTAAGGATAAAATTGTCTAAAAAATATCCCGCAACAGCATATGTCTATCTTTTATGGTTGACTCACAATAACACGTGTAATTATATAAATAAAGTCATTCTTTATAGCACAAGCCTGAGAACAAAAAGTATAGTTTACACTACAGCTCTACACCGAAGCGAAGCGAGGGCGGGCCACTAGTCTTTAATAAAGATACAGACGTGGTCCACCACTTTATTGTCTTGTACTTTATTAGACACCCATGATGCGCAAACGTAATAGAAATTTTGGGTAAGGACATCTAGCATCAAACAAGATTAAACCCAATTCCCATGGAATACTAAGGGTTCCCTACCCCCAAGTCAAACTACTACAAGTGACGATTTTGACGAACGCGACGCGACCAAATTGAAACGAAAACGACGCGAATTCGTAGAGGGTGTCTCCATCATCTTCAGGGTGGATCATCGTCAGTATCGCTGACGTCTGCATGAGCGCCAGCCTGCTCTCTCTCGGGAAGTCCGCATCATGTGGTAGTACATAAAACAATCAAGAAAATATTAGTAAAATTCTTTACACCATTTTTCTTCAGTCGGGTAAGTTAATATTCAAGAAAACATTTATGATAAATCTTTATAGCCTCTTTTCCATAGTTGGGTAAATTTTCAAAGTATAACATTATTATTCATTTATTTATTTTTTTTAACCTTACAGGGAATCGAACCCGTTTCCTTTTTTATAAGGGAATTTTCTTTATGGACCTATATTATCCTATTATACATTATTAACTATATATATTCTATCCTAATACTGAATTAATCCTATCAATGATCATATTCAAAGTCAATTGAATAATTCCAAGTTGAACAGAGAATCGAACCTGTTACCTATCATTCTTATGGTTATTACCATATCTATAATCCACCTACTCAACAAATTACACTAAAGCTAATAATTAAAAGAAATGAAAATACTTTAATGAAACTAACTATTAATCTGTCATAAACAAAATGTGTAAAATTTCCTTATAATATGTTTATTGAAAAAAAAATTCTAATAAAATGACAAAGTTATATTTAATATGCTTTTGAAATAAAGTTCTAAAATGACTATTGTATTGAACCTTATTTACATACCACCATTGCTTTAAAACATTCATATGAACAATAAACTGAAATAAAATCTCATTAGTAACACAATATTATAATACTATCAACCTATTTGGCATAATATAAATTTTCATCATACACCGAATTATCACTATCACTTTCGTTATTCATTTGTATATATTTTCTTTTAAACTTGCACTTAATATGTTTGATTATTAATTGTTCATTATAAAAGTCTACTATCGCATTATTTCGAAGTAAGAAATCCTGTCCTAAGATGAGGTTATGCCTAATATTCTCTACCACAAGAAAATCGTGAATGAATAACACATTGTCTATCAATAATTTAAGGTTGACTTTCCCTATAACCGACAATTCTTTACCATCGACAGCTTTCAACTTCATATCGCTTTCATCAATTTGTTGATGAATTCGATTAAATGTGTCTTTTGACACCACAGACACTACAGCACCACTATCAATGAGCCCCACAAACTTCTTATCACGACACGTTATATTAATTAATGGTTTGGACTCACTTGTATATTGATTGTTGTTTTCTGACGGTTGGGAATGAAAATCTTGTCCATCAGCCATCGTCATAACATTTTCTTCATAAAAAATTTTCTTTGGATGCTTCTTCTTTATTTTTTTCTTTTTGTTCGTGTTACTGGAACAAAAAGTGCGGGGAATCATATGTTCGGGAGGAACAATGGGATGAGAAGGGACACTTTGGGAGGAAATGAAGTTGATTTCCTTCTCTTGTTCTTCTTCATGCCTTAATATAGGCGAAATTTTCGCCGCTTCGAAGTTTGTCATTGGTGTAACAAACGATGGTTGGATCGGCAGATTCCAACAAATTTCGGCACTTTCGTCTCCGAAAATATCCTGTGCTTGACGTAAAATATTTTTTAAATGTGTTTTATCACTATATAACTGAAATGCGAAAAGATTTTTTGTATTTAAATTCGCATTTTTCAAGAACTGTCTAATGAAGCATTTGTCATCGATGACAGCTCCCGCTTTTGTGGCCAGCTCATCCAATACATAAAAAAAGGTCAATGGCTCTTCTGACAAGCCTTGTCTTCGTGAGAAAAATTTTTCCAACGCATTTATCGATGATGGAAATTCATCACAAATTTTCTTTTCTAGAATCTGAAAATTCTCACAAGACTCATTAATATTTTTATAAAATAACAATGCAGGTCCACTCAAATATGCCGACAACACAACTCTTTTTGTATCCTCGTTGAAATTATTGATGGCGGCGATGATATTAAATTGACGAAAGAAATCGGTTACATCACCTTTTCCGTCGAATGTGGTCCTGGTCTCCATCTTCATAAAACTACTTCTTTCTTGATTTAAAATTATTTTTCACTCGTGGTACTTGAAGCTAACGCGGCGCCTCCACCATATAGAGTTCTACCCAGAATGGATAGAACCTGGGGACGTGACTCTTCAGTAAAACAACTAGACGATGGTTATTATTTTATATTATCATTCAGGCGATTATAAAGAATTTTTATCTAAATACGAGAGGAAGTTCTTGGTGCCTGAAGATCTAATCTTGAATGGAACCTTCTATCAAAAGACAGACGATTCCTCATTTCAAATCTTAAAATCATGACATTATCTTTTTAATATAACTGCCAACCGTAGGCATTGCAAAAGCAAAGAGTTTACCTAAACAAGGAGGCTGTAACGTTTCGGACGTCACAGTACCTAACATGATGTCTTAGTATGGAAAACAAATTTAAAAAAATCTGTATCCTAAGATTGCCTTCGTTTTTAGACTTGATTTTTTTTTATATGTGAATAAGATATACATTTGTTACATTTTTCCCAAACCACCAAAGAGCGCGCAACGCGCCCCTAGATATTGGTATTGACCGATTTTTTCTCATTAGATGTACTAATAATATATTCAGAAATTATTATTTTAACATATTTTATCTTAGAATCTCACTTAAGAGCCCTTTTACATTTTTTGCAAAAAATCGTAATTTTTGAGTGCCTCGTTTACCCCCTTAGAAAAGATTTTGTCTATTTCCAATAGAAGTTAACAGTAGATTTATTCTTCCTTGTGTAAGTTAATGTAAAATATTTGCAAATACTATTTTCCTTTTTTTGTACTATCATTCTACTGCAGCTAGTTTACGGAAAAAACGATAATATGCACAACTACAAATGCCTCAATCTCTCTGTTCGATAAATTAGATGAAATTAATTCAGACATCTTCATTTTTGTATTTTCATTTTCCATCTCATTAATTATCAAAAAAAAAACATCTAACCTCCGTGAGTTTTTCCAAAAAATAATGCAGGTTTACCTCGTATTTTGATATTAAATTCAATAGAATTACTATCAAAAACTTTCATAAAACTAATATACCATCATTGAACTACTGAAATATATTTATATTTTTATAATTAGTTCATTAATAATCATAAGACTCGAAACATCACCCGTAAAATGTAATATATACTAGTGTAAATCTACCTACACGCCGATCAGTACGGGAGCGGCGCAATTTTGTAAAAGGGCTCTTAAGTAATGTGTTTTCTGAACCCGTCTTGTGTACCTATTAAATACTCCTCAATGGTTTTTGATGTTGTTTTCACGACGAATATTTCACGAAAGGTTTGTAAATATGTAACATACAAGTCCAGATTCTGCAGTTAAACATATACATATGATTGGTCATAGGTGGTCCGTAACGCGACGCTGGTGCAGGTGAAGCTGAACGGCACGGAGTACTTCCGCAAGTCCATCTCCGCCGCCAAGCAGCTCGACGCCGAGGTTTATTTTTATTTAATACCACATACCTACCTATATAACATTAAGCATGGAGCACTAGAGTCCGCATACAAAGCGCTTACGCCAAGCTTAAGTAAAATTGTACCTATGCGTGAGGCACGCCCCCAAACGTCGCGATACATCGTTTCATTCGGTAACCGAGCGTTGGTCGGAGTGTTTCTCCCGTTGTCGTGGTATAAAACTGAATAAAATGCCGTATTGTGCAATCAAATTGTGTGGAGCGTGGAGCAAAACATTCATTCTTCAAAAAGATGGCATTACTTTTCACCGATAAGTATAATTGCCTTACAAAAGAATAATAATTTTTATATTAAATTGCTGTAATTTTTTAAGTGAAAACTTATTTAAACGAAACGAACCAGTCCCGACCCGGTGAGCGAGGCGCCTTAAGTTTTAAAAGTTATTATAACGGCGTATTATAGTACATGACGATATTTGTCACGCATTTATGTGTTTTTTTCTGTTGCTTATATATAATTTAGTATGTAGTTACTGTCATGTATATAAAGAACGCTGGAAGAAAGTGGTGGCATGGCTACACTCGCAAGCAAAAGTACTTGGCCTCTATTTTAAATTGCTTATCGATAGAAAATATCAATCTTTTCCATAATCGTTCTTACCCTCATCACTTTGATGCGCTGAGTTTATCATCTGACCTTGACATGTCCAATCAGAACGCAGCTAACCTTAAACCAAACAAAATTTGAGTGTTGTGGACTCTAGTGCAGGTACTCCATGCATTAAAGACTCATTTCCTTAATTTATTGTCAATGTGATTGTATGCTACACTCACACACCAGCAAACGTCATAGCATTACTTCTATGTTTAAGGCCCACTTGCAAAATCGCAGTTTGCTTAATCTCGATTCAACTAAAACTACACTTAACCCATAGGAAAATGTTAATATCAATTTGACTAGTTGAAGTTAACTGAGATTTAACAAAATTGCTGCAACTGGGCCTTAGTTCTTGTTTTGAATTAAAAACATTTACAGACATTCTCAGACAGTTTCAAGCGTCCTGCTTGAAACTGTCTGAGAATGTCTGTAAATGTAACGCTAATATGTGCGTGACAGAAATGACGCTTCGTTCTGAGCTGGTAACATACTTTGTTGTTGTATCCTTTACCCGTAGAATAAAGCAAAATCGAATACGTTTCGTTTGTGGTTGCGAATTATCATTGAGAAATTTTGTATGGAATCTTGAGCAGTTGCGCCGCAACGGACGTAACGAAAATAAAAAATCAGCACACACTCAAAATAAATCCAGATTGAATTTAACTAAGTACTCGGAATTCGATATAGGTTCGTGCTAAGGGTACTGTTTGTTTGATATCCAGGTTCTGTACCTGGGCGGGCCACCCCCGCCCCCGCCCCCGGCCCCGGCCGCGGTGGAGGCGGGCGGCGCCGCCCCAGAGCCCGACGACGCCGCATACTTCAAGGGCGTCATACAGGACGTGCAGGTAACCGACGACCTATACTGTACCTGGGCGGGCCACCCCCGCCCCAGAGCCCGACGACGCCGCATACTTCAAGGGCGTCATACAGGACGTGCAGGTAACCGACGACCTATACTGTACCTGGGCGGGCCACCCCCGCCCCAGAGCCCGACGACGCCGCATACTTCAAGGGCGTCATACAGGACGTGCAGGTAACCGACGACCTATACTGTACCTGGGCGGGCCACCCCCGCCCCAGAGCCCGACGACGCCGCATACTTCAAGGGCGTCATACAGGACGTGCAGGTAACCGACGACCTATACTGTACCTGGGCGGGCCACCCCCGCCCCAGAGCCCGACGACGCCGCATACTTCAAGGGCGTCATACAGGACGTGCAGGTAACCGACGACCTATACTGTACCTGGGCGGGCCACCCCCGCCCCAGAGCCCGACGACGCCGCATACTTCAAGGGCGTCATACAGGACGTGCAGGTAACCGACGACCTATACTGTACCTGGGCGGGCCACCCCCGCCCCAGAGCCCGACGACGCCGCATACTTCAAGGGCGTCATACAGGACGTGCAGGTAACCGACGACCTATACTGTACCTGGGCGGGCCACCCCCGCCCCAGAGCCCGACGACGCCGCATACTTCAAGGGCGTCATACAGGACGTGCAGGTAACCGACGACCTATACTGTACCTGGGCGGGCCACCCCCGCCCCAGAGCCCGACGACGCCGCATACTTCAAGGGCGTCATACAGGACGTGCAGGTAACCGACGACCTATACTGTACCTGGGCGGGCCACCCCCGCCCCAGAGCCCGACGACGCCGCATACTTCAAGGGCGTCATACAGGACGTGCAGGTAACCGACGACCTATACTGTACCTGGGCGGGCCACCCCCGCCCCAGAGCCCGACGACGCCGCATACTTCAAGGGCGTCATACAGGACGTGCAGGTAACCGACGACCTATACTGTACCTGGGCGGGCCACCCCCGCCCCAGAGCCCGACGACGCCGCATACTTCAAGGGCGTCATACAGGACGTGCAGGTAACCGACGACCTATACTGTACCTGGGCGGGCCACCCCCGCCCCAGAGCCCGACGACGCCGCATACTTCAAGGGCGTCATACAGGACGTGCAGGTAACCGACGACCTATACTACGTCAAGTTTTACGAGAGATCGTTTGAATAGAATCATTATCATTAGCCTATTACTGTCCCCACTGCTGGAGCACAGGCCTGAACCTATGGATGGAATAGAGAGTGTGGGCCATGACCCACCACGAGGGCTCAGTGTGGATTGGCAGGTGCGAACGACTGCAGATGCAGCCGGGATAACGGCTTAACGTGTTTTGCGAAACACGGAGGAACTGGAAATAGAAGATTTTTAGTCACCCATCCAATGACCGATCACTGCGAAAGTTGCTGAACTTCAACGATCGCAGCGGAACGCAGTAACCACCTGCGCCATCGATCTCCTCATGTATGCATGAATAGAATGTGTATGTGCAATCCTAGGATCTTTGCGAAAATGCCGAATATTAGACGATGGTAATGAAACGTTTCAATCTTACTGAAAAAAGATAGGTTTGTGGCGAAAACGCTAGTCAGCTCAGTAAGATTTCTAAAAGAGTCGTTTGGCTTATTATAAATATTCTAAAGCATTATGTAAACCTCAGGATTGTGACTTTTGTAGGAAGAGAGCAAAGAATAACGAGACATTTTCGTTTGTAACACTTCCAATGAATTAGTTTACTATTGAGTTTATTTATGGACGAAGTATCCAGATTTTATCAACATAGTTTTATCCGAGTGTATTTTAAAGTAAAGTTGTGATTGACCATACAGAACACTAGCCGTGTCGCGTTAGTGCCATGACTTTTAGTCGCGAAATTTTAACAAAGCTAGTATGAGCAAGCGCGAACATTTTGCCCCGTCGGCATTTTACGCCACATGCATTTATTAGGTTAATCATGAATCAGTTCGTCATCGGTCATTATTCGTACCACGCGTTCAGATTAGATTAGATTAGATTAGATTTATTTATTGCAAAAAATATGGTACAATAAGATGACATGTATACAAATAGATTCTACATATTTTACCATAAATGGCATGCAATTTATACAAAAGACTAAATTAAAGTTAAATTAAATTAAAATAAGGGTCTTTACTATACAATTATAAATACCATGATATATATTACAAATAATTTCATTAAGTATTTTTTTTGTATTTTTTTGATTACTTATTACCACGTGGAACGATTATAGTTCTCACAGTCATATCATTTTAATTTCGTAATCATCAGTTTGTTATCAGTAATATATCATTTAAACATATCAAGACTTTCTCTTCTCTCACTTTATCATAAAAGGTGTACAAAAGCCGTACACAGCTCAACTTTTCTATTTGGAATGTAACGATTGTGTGGCGCATCCCCAGGTGTCGAACGGCGTGAACGTGACGATAGTGGAGTTCTTCCCTCTGCAAGTCCCGGGGTTATCGTTGCCGCCGCCCTTCGGACAGGTGCGCCTCGACCCGTCGGGCGTGGTGCCGGGCGTGGTCTCGGATGACGCGTGTGCCTCGAGGCCGTGCCTCCACGAGGCGGCGTGCAAGACCACGTGGAATGACTACACGTGCGCCTGCCCCCGAGGCTACAAGGGCAAGCAGTGCGCCGAGGTCGAGTTCTGCCAGCTGCAGGGGTGCCCGCTCAACTCGCACTGCCGGAATCTTGACGCGGGGTAAGTCCATTAATGTAGACTAGCAAACCAGTGAACCAAATGTTCACCAAAAAATGATTTAAAAAAAAAATGTATTTAATTAATTGAGAACTTTGGAGATTTTGTGTGGTTTCGTTTGAAATTCGTGATTTCTCGAAAACCGGAAGTGCTACGTTACTCAAATCCGGTTTGTAGTCTTATCAAACTATTCTTAACTTATAACTGAAATATTCTCTTTATCTATCTCTTACGGTTTGGCCGCTGAAACAGCACCACAGACGGACGGACGGACTTGTCTAATAGATAAGAGATAGGGAAAACTGCCCAATCATTGGCACTCTTCCTATATTGGCACTTTTGAGTTTAGTTCGAAAAAAATAGGTAACAATAGATTGTAGGAATAATGCTGCCAATTTTCAAATTTCGTAACCATACTAGGTTTTTCTTTTTAATATGTAACGACCTTGAATAATCTATTGTCTCCTTGTTTTTTTCGAATTAAACTCAAAGTGCCAATAATAGGACGAGTGCCAATGATTGCGTGGTTTCCCCTATTTATTAGATAAATTCTTTATTGCACACATACAAAAGAATACAAAAATAAGAAAAAAATAACATAATGTGGGCAAAGGCGGCCTTATCGCTTTAAGCGATCTCATCCAGACAACCTTTGCGGTAAAGGATAACTAAACGAAGAGGAAGTAGCAGTATGCCAGCATAAGATAAAATAAAGAAATGTACATTTTTTCTTAAACATATAAAGATTATAAACAAATAAATAACATATACCTACACGAAAATATACATACTATATATACTTACACAAATAAAGATATTATGCAATATTATATATTTACTAGCTGACCCAGCGAACTTCGTACCGCCCTAAAAAATAGGGGTTGTCCAGCGGACAAAATTGTGAATCTAAACCATTCTCAGATCCCCTTGAACACACACAAAAAATTTCATCAAAATCGGTCCAGTCGTTTAAGAGAAGTTCAGTGACATACACACTCACTGAAGAATTATATATATACAGATAGATACAGCAGACAAGGATTTAAGTAAAATAAAATCATGTAGAATATTTTTAAAAATGTTAATTGACTTAGCGTAACGGATCTCAGGCGGAAGCTTGATGATTTTATTAAGGTAAAATCTTTTTATTAAGATTCATATTTATTTTTGTCTATATTATTATGTAAAAAAAACTGTTCTCGAGTCTTATTCGATCTCAAACCCTGGTGATTTCTTAGTGCATAGCATAGATTAATACCAATTAGATCAGTGCCACTTTGTAATGAGTAATAGTAGGGGAGCCTAAGCGGGGATTTTTGGATTTACTCAAGCGCGGCAGAATAACATATGGGGAGCAACCTTGCACGTAGTTAAGTACTCCCACCATACCTGGTCCATCTATGTAGGGCTGAACGTCTAGGGCAGCAAACACAAAATTTCAACAAACGGCCATGACTTTTGGTCGGGTCCAAATCGTCAGTCTATTGAATAGGAGCTACTGGAGGGTACATGTAACATTCATTCGCAATGTCTAACGCGCTCGGTTATTTTTTCCTATATTCTACCCCTTCGTACGGCCACCCCCATATCATGCAAACCGCGGCAGATCAATATTTTTTCCGTTCTTAGAAACGTTACATGACCCTCTGGTAGCTTATATTCAAAAAACTGGGGATTTGGGCGCGACCAAAGGTCATGACCGTTCGTTGAAATTTTGTTTTTGCTGCCCTAGACGTTCGGCCGTACATAGAGGGCTCAGGTATGGTGGGAGTACTTAACTACGTGCTAGGTTGCTCCCCATATGTTATTCTGCCGCACTAGAGTAAATCCAAAATCCCCGCTTGGGCTCCTCTACTATAACAAAAATTGCGTTTCAACAACGATATAAAATAACCTAAGTACACTACGTGCGCTCAGAATGTGTCCCAATCAAGAAGTGCTTGAACTCCACTCAAGCACTCCTTGGTTTAAAGTCACGCGCGGACCGTTGAAAAGTCAAGATGCCGCAGAGCAAAACAATTCTAAATAAATACTTATAGTACGTAAAGAGTCGTTTTTCGACAGGTATCGAACAACAGGACAAGACAAACAGGACAGTGTTTATTAATTTAACATATTTAAAGCAAATTTTGTTCTTATACTTACTATAAACTGATTTAATAGAAAATATTTGTGATATTCATATGCATGGTCGGTAATGTAGCCGTCTCTTTTCCTTGCAGTCCGTACCTGCTACATTGCTAACAGCGCATTCAAAATTGCGTGTAGAGTCAAAGTAATAAAGTCTATATTCTTCCGCATATCGTAAAATTTTACAAGCTTGCATTTCGAACTGTCATATCATTTGTTTGATGCGTAGCAATTAAGACCTTATACTCTATGCATTAAAGGTGATTTAATGTTGAAATAATGGTTTTATTTTATTTTGACAACGCGATCTTCTTACGGAGCTCCGTGAATCGTCCAATGTAACTTTTGAACAGGTATCGGCCACGCGGTATTTAGGGTATTTAATATCATTGTATGTTAATTAAAATTAAGTCGAAATTATCTACCTGTATCTGTTAAGAACATGCTGTTTAGCAATATTATTTAGCGTAAAATATCTGCAGAACCAACTAGTGGCCCGCCCTCGCTTTGCTTCGGTGTAGAGCTGTAGTGTTGACTATAGTTTTTGCTCAAGGGCTTGTATTATACACAATGAATTATAAACCATCCATTCCCAGTAAAAAAAATGTTGCGTAGTTTAGGACCCGTTGTACCGAATGCAACATCGCTCTGCTGGTTCGATTTGAAAAATTCTTTTTATATTGGACAGTGCATTTATCGAGGAAGGCTATATCACGATAATATTATCTATACAGCATTGTGACTCCGCCCTGTCCTTGAAAATAAATGCCTACGGCCGAGCGTTGCGTTGCAACGCGGTAGGGCCGCCCGCCTACAGTATTTTATGTAGTTTCGTTTTTAACGCGAGTGTAGGTAGATTACTCGTTTGTCTCTTTTTTCATCCTAACCACTTATTTATATATTATTCCATATATTTTGCCCGATGGAAAAACCGAAATACCTAAATATTAGAAAGAGATTACGTACTAGTAGATAGGTATATACAAAATATTCTATAAAGGTAAGACACCTTTCCAATATTTCAGGTAATTTAAAAAATGATATCTCTGGGTGTGTTATTGAAGAGTTCAAGCAACCAAAAACAGCAATTGTGCTGTTGTACGATATTGATCGTCGTTTGTTCTTTTCCATACTAAATTATGTAGGTATCTACTTAATTAAATCAAATATTTACAATACAAAACGCACGTTTAACCACGGCTAACTGCATAAAAAACAATTCAGACCGTTCGGTCGTCGTTGCGGCGCGGCGGCGCATTCGCGACTGGGTGCCCGCCGAGAGCCCATCGAACTCGAGTGGCGTAGGTATGACTCGCTTTCCGACCGTTTGTATGAAGATAGAATACTGTATGATATTATTACCGTGGCTATATATTACCAGGCTACGACCAGTAGCAGCGGAGCATCGATGAAAAATGTTGCAAAAACGGGAAAAAATATTCCATTTGCAAGATTCCGTTGCGTGCGCTGGGTAAACGGTTAAAGTTACGCAAAAATAATGTATGACGGAATTCTTTCTCTTTAAAAGTTCTGTTAAAAAAGTTCACGACAGCTTAAGACTTTAATATTTTAAGTTTGACTCACTATAAACCTTATTCTTTAAATTAACGCGGGTGAAACCTCAGGAGACCTCTAGTTGTGACATAACTGTAATAGTTAGACATATGGTATCGCGGACTTTTTTGTAGATATTGGTATCCACTATAAAACTTTAGTACATCACTTTGCTCTATTGTCAATGGCTTACGATGCGTACGCGATTATATGATTGTCGCATTAACGTATTTTGATGTCCGTTTAGTTACGAGTGCGTGTCTAACGCGACATTCGACGGCGTGAACACCACCCTCGCGTACAGCCTGCGGGTGCCGCGCGGCCCCGCCCCCGCGCCCGCCCCGCCCCCCGCCCCGCCCACTACACTCACCATCACCTACAGGTAACTAGTCATCACCCTCGCGTACAGCCTGCGGGTGCCGCGCGGCCCCGCCCCCGCGCCCGCCCCGCCCCCCGCCCCGCCCACTACACTCACCATCACCTACAGGTAACTAGTCATCACCCTCGCGTACAGCCTGCGGGTGCCGCGCGGCCCCGCCCCCGCGCCCGCCCCGCCCCCCGCCCCGCCCACTACACTCACCATCACCTACAGGTAACTAGTCATCACCCTCGCGTACAGCCTGCGGGTGCCGCGCGGCCCCGCCCCCGCGCCCGCCCCGCCCCCCGCCCCGCCCACTACACTCACCATCACCTACAGGTAACTAGTCATCACCCTCGCGTACAGCCTGCGGGTGCCGCGCGGCCCCGCCCCCGCGCCCGCCCCGCCCCCCGCCCCGCCCACTACACTCACCATCACCTACAGGTAACTAGTCATCACCCTCGCGTACAGCCTGCGGGTGCCGCGCGGCCCCGCCCCCGCGCCCGCCCCGCCCCCCGCCCCGCCCACTACACTCACCATCACCTACAGGTAACTAGTCATCACCCTCGCGTACAGCCTGCGGGTGCCGCGCGGCCCCGCCCCCGCGCCCGCCCCGCCCCCCGCCCCGCCCACTACACTCACCATCACCTACAGGTAACTAGTCACCACCCTCGCGTACAGCCTGCGGGTGCCGCGCGGCCCCGCCCCCGCGCCCGCCCCCCCCCCCGCCCCGCCCACTACACTCACCATCACCTACAGGTAACTAGTCATCACCCTCGCGTACAGCCTGCGGGTGCCGCGCGGCCCCGCCCCCGCGCCCGCCCCGCCCCCCGCCCCGCCCACTACACTCACCATCACCTACAGGTAACTAGTCATCACCTTCGCGTACAGCCTGCGGGTGCCGCGCGGCCCCGCCCCCGCGCCCGCGCCGCCCCCCGCCCCGCCCACTACACTCACCATCACCTACAGGTAACTAGTCATCATCAACATACTCGTATATAGTATCAGACATATAATAAATAATACTTGTGACGGCGACATCTATATGCCCCACATATATACAACGGATGGAGGAAATCATTACTCACCATCCTCAAGAGATGGCGTTACCTGCACTGCGATCATAATAGTATGGAAGCCAGCATTCGCCAGCCAGCATCGCGCAAATGAAATTCGGAGGCTAACTCTTCATATATACGATGCCCGACCAACATCAGTCGGGCCGCGGCCCCCGAGCTACCATCATCCAGCTCCGAGAAAGATCTTCCCCTTTGGCCTTCCTACATACTTATCAACATTGAAAAACGAGTTAAATATATTATGAACACCACTGGTTTTGCTGTATCAAATCGCAGCGTATCAAACTTGCAAAAAGAAATCACACACATAATTAAAAAAAAAAACGAGTCGTCATCATCACTACTGGGCCACAGGTCCTTCCCAATGGATGGAATAGGGAGGCCGGGCCATGACTCACCACGCGGGCCCAGTGCGGATTGGCGGGTGCTAACAACTGTAGATGCAGCCGGGACCAACGGCTTTACGTGCCTTCCGAAGCACGGAGGAACTTTTTTGGTCACCATCCAATGACCGACCACTGCGAAAATTGCTTAACTACAACCGATCGCAGCCGAACGCGCTAACCACCTACACCATCGAGCTCCTCAGGTAACCAGTCATATTTGTAATAACCACATGATTGCAATAAATAATTTTGAATAATAATAATTGATTTAAAGTTGTTTTTATTATATATAATATATTGAAGCAACATAAAAGTGACAAATATCATAATTTAAAAGTGAAAAGAATCGTGGATCTCTCAGTAAATTTTCTGCAGTATATCAGTGTAGCATTAACGTGATACAGTATATATTATTTTAACAGTCGGGACCCATTATTGAAAAATATTATGTATTCTTGAACATCTAATGGGTCCCGACTGTTAAAGTAGCTTTGTTCCTTATTAACAGAATTATAGACTACTGGACTTGTTTTTTTTCTTTTCAGTTTTTATTTAACGTATAAAAAGGGTTTTTTGATTTTTTAAATTTACCTTTTTTGTACAATTATATTATGGTATTCAAACACTTAGTTTTGACATTGAAAACGATCAGAAAATTTACGTTAAAAAAATAATAATATTAAAGTATGTCGATGTGAATTAGGACGAAAGTTGGCGGTACGCTGTTTCACGCGGTGCTGACAGAGGAGGACGGGTCGGAGTCGTGGTTCGGCGTGAGCGTGGTTGGGGCCCAAGTAGCCGTGCACTGGAAGCTGGGCCCCGCGCTGCCCCGCGTGCGCCGCCTGCCCGCGCCCCGCCCCCTGCGCTGGACCGAGCTGCGCCTGCGCGTGCAGCGCGCCACCATCACAGGTGTGTGTCTGTGCCCCGCCCCCGCCCCCGCCCCCGCCCCGCGCCCCGCCCCCTGCGCTGGACCGAGCTGCGCCTGCGCGTGCAGCGCGCCACCATCACAGGTGTGTGTCTGTGCCCCGCCCCCTCCCCCGCCCCCGCCCCGCGCCCCGCCCCCTGCGCTGGACCGAGCTGCGCCTGCGCGTGCAGCGCGCCACCATCACAGGTGTGTGTCTGTGCCCCGCCCCCTCCCCCGCCCCCGCCCCGCGCCCCGCCCCCTGCGCTGGACCGAGCTGCGCCTGCGCGTGCAGCGCGCCACCATCACAGGTGTGTGTCTGTGCCCCGCCCCCCCCCCCGCCCCCGCCCCCGCCCCCGCCCCGCGCCCCGCCCCCTGCGCTGGACCGAGCTGCGCCTGCGCGTGCAGCGCGCCACCATCACAGGTGTGTGTCTGTGCCCCGCCCCCGCCCCGCGCCCCGCCCCCTGCGCTGGACCGAGCTGCGCCTGCGCGTGCAGCGCGCCACCATCACAGGTGTGTGTCTGTGCCCCGCCCCCTCCCCCGCCCCCGCCCCGCGCCCCGCCCCCTGCGCTGGAGCGAGCTGCGCCTGCGCGTGCAGCGCGCCACCATCACAGGTGTGTGTCTGTGCCCCGCCCCCTCCCCCGCCCCCGCCCCGCGCCCCGCCCCCTGCGCTGGACCGAGCTGCGCCTGCGCGTGCAGCGCGCCACCATCACAGGTGTGTGTCTGTGCCCCGCCCCCGCCCCCGCCCCCGCCCCGCGCCCCGCCCCCTGCGCTGGACCGAGCTGCGCCTGCGCGTGCAGCGCGCCACCATCACAGGTGTGTGTCTGTGCCCCGCCCCCGCCCCGCGCCCCGCCCCCTGCGCTGGACCGAGCTGCGCCTGCGCGTGCAGCGCGCCACCATCACAGGTGTGTGTCTGTGCCCCGCCCCCGCCCCCGCCCCCGCCCCGCGCCCCGCCCCCTGCGCTGGACCGAGCTGCGCCTGCGCGTGCAGCGCGCCACCATCACAGGTGTGTGTCTGTGCCCCGCCCCCGCCCCGCGCCCCGCCCCCTGCGCTGGACCGAGCTGCGCCTGCGCGTGCAGCGCGCCACCATCACAGGTGTGTGTCTGTGCCCCGCCCCCGCCCCCGCCCCCGCCCCGCGCCCCGCCCCCTGCGCTGGACCGAGCTGCGCCTGCGCGTGCAGCGCGCCACCATCACAGGTGTGTGTCTGTGCCCCGCCCCCTCCCCCGCCCCCGCCCCGCGCCCCGCCCCCTGCGCTGGACCGAGCTGCGCCTGCGCGTGCAGCGCGCCACCATCACAGGTGTGTGTCTGTGCCCCGCCCCCGCCCCCGCCCCCGCCCCGCGCCCCGCCCCCTGCGCTGGACCGAGCTGCGCCTGCGCGTGCAGCGCGCCACCATCACAGGTGTGTGTCTGTGCCCCGCCCCCGCCCCGCGCCCCGCCCCCTGCGCTGGACCGAGCTGCGCCTGCGCGTGCAGCGCGCCACCATCACAGGTGTGTGTCTGTGCCCCGCCCCCCCCCCCGCCCCCCCCCCCGCCCCCGCCCCGCGCCCCGCCCCCTGCGCTGGACCGAGCTGCGCCTGCGCGTGCAGCGCGCCACCATCACAGGTGTGTGTCTGTGCCCCGCCCCCGCCCCGCGCCCCGCCCCCTGCGCTGGACCGAGCTGCGCCTGCGCGTGCAGCGCGCCACCATCACAGGTGTGTGTCTGTGTCCCGCCCCCTCCCCCTCCCCCGCCCCCGCCCCCGCCCCGCGCCCCGCCCCCTGCGCTGGACCGAGCTGCGCCTGCGCGTGCAGCGCGCCACCATCACAGGTGTGTGTCTGTGCCCCGCCCCCTCCCCCGCCCCCGCCCCGCGCCCCGCCCCCTGCGCTGGACCGAGCTGCGCCTGCGCGTGCAGCGCGCCACCATCACAGGTGTGTGTCTGTGCCCCGCCCCCGCCCCGCGCCCCGCCCCCTGCGCTGGACCGAGCTGCGCCTGCGCGTGCAGCGCGCCACCATCACAGGTGTGTGTCTGTGTCCCGCCCCCTCCCCCTCCCCCGCCCCCGCCCCCGCCCCGCGCCCCGCCCCCTGCGCTGGACCGAGCTGCGCCTGCGCGTGCAGCGCGCCACCATCACAGGTGTGTGTCTGTGTCCCGCCCCCTCCCCCTCCCCCGCCCCCGCCCCCGCCCCGCGCCCCGCCCCCTGCGCTGGACCGAGCTGCGCCTGCGCGTGCAGCGCGCCACCATCACAGGTGTGTGTCTGTGCCCCGCCCCCTCCCCCGCCCCCGCCCCGCGCCCCGCCCCCTGCGCTGGACCGAGCTGCGCCTGCGCGTGCAGCGCGCCACCATCACAGGTGTGTGTCTGTGCCCCGCCCCCCCCCCCCCCCCCGCCCCGCGCCCCGCCCCCTGCGCTGGACCGAGCTGCGCCTGCGCGTGCAGCGCGCCACCATCACAGGTGTGTGTCTGTGTCCCGCCCCCTCCCCCTCCCCCGCCCCCTCCCCCGCCCCGCGCCCCGCCCCCTGCGCTGGACCGAGCTGCGCCTGCGCGTGCAGCGCGCCACCATCACAGGTGTGTGTCTGTGCCCCGCCCCCTCCCCCGCCCCCGCCCCCGCCCCGCGCCCCGCCCCCTGCGCTGGACCGAGCTGCGCCTGCGCGTGCAGCGCGCCACCATCACAGGTGTGTGTCTGTGCCCCGCCCCCGCCCCCGCCCCCGCCCCGCGCCCCGCCCCCTGCGCTGGACCGAGCTGCGCCTGCGCGTGCAGCGCGCCACCATCACAGGTGTGTGTCTGTGCCCCGCCCCCGCCCCCGCCCCCGCCCCGCGCCCCGCCCCCTGCGCTGGACCGAGCTGCGCCTGCGCGTGCAGCGCGCCACCATCACAGGTGTGTGTCTGTGCCCCGCCCCCGCCCCCGCCCCCGCCCCGCGCCCCGCCCCCTGCGCTGGACCGAGCTGCGCCTGCGCGTGCAGCGCGCCACCATCACAGGTGTGTGTCTGTGTCCCGCCCCCCCCCCCTCCCCCGCCCCCTCCCCCGCCCCGCGCCCCGCCCCCTGCGCTGGACCGAGCTGCGCCTGCGCGTGCAGCGCGCCACCATCACAGGTGTGTGTCTGTGCCCCGCCCCCGCCCCCGCCCCCGCCCCGCGCCCCGCCCCCTGCGCTGGACCGAGCTGCGCCTGCGCGTGCAGCGCGCCACCATCACAGGTGTGTGTCTGTGTCCCGCCCCCTCCCCCTCCCCCGCCCCCTCCCCCGCCCCGCGCCCCGCCCCCTGCGCTGGACCGAGCTGCGCCTGCGCGTGCAGCGCGCCACCATCACAGGTGTGTGTCTGTGCCCCGGCCGGTGACCAGCCGGAGCGCATCGGCCGCTAGTAGCAAACTTCACACTCTGGGGCCCAGCTACCCCAGAGCGCCCGCGGGATCGCAAGACAAACGTATCTCATTATTTGACATTTTTCATCAAAGTTGTCCCTCTTCCGGGCGAGGGCACCCTACCTGGCCTACATCAGATTGTTTTTGATGAGGTGGTCGTCCTCTCGGTCCCCACCCCGAAGGGTGGCGGCCCCCGGCGGCGTAACAGGTCGGCCGGAAGTGACGAGGAGTTCACGCCACAACCGCCCTCACCACAAAGGCGTCTCCTCCTCTGTGGGACTGTCGGTACCCAGGATTGCCCAGGACGCCAGCCGAGACTCACCAGGTAGTTCTTTACAGAGGTTTTCTTCCTCGCGGCCCCCATCCTCCGAAGAAGATTGCGGCCCTCGACCCCGCACTACGTACGGGGTTACGAGCTCCTCCGGACAGCGCACTGTCCTCCGACACCAGGGCCACTCTATGCCCCCCACCTAGGGTGATTTTTAGAGAGGTTTTCTTCCTCGTGGCCCCCACCCTCCGAGGAGGATGGCGGCCCTCGGCCCTGCACTACGTACGGGGTTACGAGATTTGGCTGGTTTTGGTCCACGCCAGCCAAACTGCTCACGGGAAGGAACCCCGCCCTACGGCCCTACCCATAATACCCGCCCCCCTACACCTGCACGCGCCTCTAAATCTATAAATAACATACTCTATCCGTGATACAGCGTCGTTCCTGGAAGGCGAGGGTCACGAGGAGCCGGGCATGCAGTCCCCCATCGACGTGGCGGCGTGGCAGCGAGTCCTTCTCCACGGGCAGCTGTTCCTGGGCGGCAAGGGGCCCCGCCCTACGGCCCCGCCCACAACGTCCGCCCCAACGCAATCACCCGCCTCTGACTCCACTTCCACCACGATGCCGTATACGACGTCTGCACAGGTACTAGTGTAACCTCAATGCTTTAACATTATTTATCTTTTTCCTAATATTCAGCATAATAGGCTAGTTGGCTAATATCGAATTGTATTAAATAAATGTTAATTTCTTAAAGTATTTGGTCTAAAAAACCTTAATATATCGATTTCACTTCATAAAAGCAAAAGATTGATGTAGAAATTTAATTTTAAAAAATATTTTTTAGTCTATTCTTTTTAAACACCAAAAACGCCGTTCGCCACATCCGCCATTATTGTGACGTCTCTTTTGTAGTAAACAACTAAATGTCATTCATACATAACCTTAAAACTTGCATTGTTAAAACTGATAATAAATGAAGAGACTTAAAATATTATTCAATGAGTACTTACATCAAAGTGATCTTCGCAAAAATATTTTTTTCTATGAATCAATAGAATTGCAGGATCCCTTTTAGCAAGTTCTACCAGTTATTGCGGTTAATTTTTTTCGGCACTTTAATCCACATTTACATTCTCGTACAATACAATAATTACTATATTTTTCGTGATATTTATTAGAAATCATGTTTTTTATTTATTATAAACTCAGATAGGTTATTTTCTACGTGCTTACAAGTTTTTGTTAACTACCGGTTGACGTCACAGCATAGATAATCTATAGACTAAAATGGCCGACAGCGTTTTTTTATGTCCATGAAAAGTGTATTTTAAAATTAAAGATTTGTAGCTTTCAGGGTCCCAAAAAAATACAATATATTTTTTCAGTCTAATAGAACATTTATTTATTAACCATTTAAAACCTTTTTCCAGACAGGGTCAACTAGCCTATTGTCTTAGCGATTGAAATAGAAACGCTTAACAGATCGGCTGATAAGAAGTCTTCCTACTAAGTTTTATACATAAATAAATATAAACGTTTTTATGCTGCCCTGCTATGTTAAATATTGTATTTAGTTCAGATATTTCGATGTTTTTGAGTTACTAGTGGTCACCCGCGAATTTGTCTGCGTTAACTTTAGGTTTGGGTTTTGAAGAACCCCACTAAAACCTAAAGTTTTTTTTTTTATACATATATATACTAAGAAACAGTCTCACATAGTTCCAAACAATGTAAAATAAAAAAGTTTAGTACTAGACCTACAGTTTCCTCAATGAAATCACTTAAAAGCTAAAAAGCAAAAATGAATATCTAACAACTTTAATGCAAGTTATAAAATCATTTTACAAGAATAGCCTAATCAGATTACAAAGTACACTGCATAGACAGTTTTTAAAATGTTTATAATAAAAAATTTAATAAATGGTTATGATAAATTTATGACAAAATAAGTCCAAATTCATAAATTTATCATTATACAACCTGCATGTCCTTTTTATGAAACCATTACGCATATGCTGTCCGACTACGGGGAATATTAAAAAGAGGTTTCTTTCTACAAGCTCGTTCACAGCGACGGGGAATCTTGAAAGAAAGGGAGTGTAAGAAATCAGGAGCATCTATTAGACAATTAATGATTTAGATAGTTTTTCTGGGATAAAAAGTATTTTTTGTCTCAATCCAGGTCCTACACTATACCACCTACTAAATTACATCCAATGAGCAACAAACATACAAACTTCTACAGTTATATTATAAGTAGGATAAAGGTGTAAATATTTATTACAGTTCGATAACTCCACTGACATGTCCATGTGGGAGTACTCGGAGGGAGATGAGTTCGCGACGGAGAACTCTGCCGGACTCTACTTCAAGGTAAATAACAAATGAGTATTTCCTCTCCAAATATGATAATTTATTAGGTTATGATAAATAGCGTATTTGACAAGTTTTAGAAAACGATCTCACGTTATTGACTAATGTTTAGGGAGTCCGTAAAAAGCGGATATTCATCATTCTGTTGTGTATTTCAGTAAAAATAACCCAAATCAAAAACTCCATTTTCAAGTTGCCGCGAAAACGTTTCTCTGGACAATATGGCGTCTCATTGGTATGTGACGTCACCCGACTGTTATTAAAACGTCAAACGATACAAGGTAATGTCACTATAACCGGAAGTTTACTTGGGTGTGACGTCATTTTAAGCTCCGCCAATCCCAAGCGTTTTGGGTCACGTGACAATAGATAAGAAAACTATTATCTTTTTCGTGGTTTTTTAGTAAAATTATGAATATTTCTTCTGTAAAAATAGTGAAAATCCCTGCCAATATACATTCTAAACACAGGTGCTAACAATTGGCACTTTATTTTTAATACTGTCAAATACCCTATTGTCTGAAGATACTGATGTGTTTACGTTTCATCTTTTTTACCGTCACCACTTTTGTTATTCTTATTTTTTTTTTATTGGAATAAAAAGAAAGATTTCTACAAATGAAGAATCATTTCCACATTTTTGAACCCATGACTTTTATTTATTTTATTTATTTTTGATGTGTCATTAAAAAATTCGCCCTGAAATTGTTATCTTTTACTGATGTTAAAAACGTGTTCACAAATAAAGTAAAATTGTTGACCGTTTTCGCACTTGATGAAAAATGGGGATGCTGTCAAGGATAGAACGCAACCTACCCATTAAATGCCCACTTAGGACTGATTTCACCAATGTCTTTTAACAAGGTTAGATGAAATTGAGTTTAATACCAATCAAGGAGGGAAATCTTCTGTCAATGTTTGGTGGAACACAAAAAGTTGACAAGCTATTAGATAAATAATAAAGTTTAGTGAAATTATGATAAACTCTTACACTTTTTGAACTGGTATAAACCTCAATTCAATTCATTTATTCAGTTTTACAAAAACTTATATTTAATTTACACATCAACAACATTTACGCGTACAACATAAACTTACAAAAGTTTTTCCATGTACCGCCGATTCGTGACTCGATCAAATCGGATTGTATCTTCTATGCCGCTGCTGATTAGCTGTTACATGGGTGTCGATTCTGGCAAGATTCTTTAAACTTAAAACTAAATTTAGCATCAGTCTGTCCTCTTCATTCTGAGAATCATGCCAGAATCGATACCAATATGTTATTAAAATGACCTCCGTTGCTTTTCGAAAATGAAGGTATATATATATATATATATATATATATATCTTATCTAATAGACAAGTCCGTCCGTCCGTCCGTGGTGCTGTTTCAGCGGCCAAACCGTAAGAGATAGATATAGAGAATGTTCAAGTTATAAGTTGAGAATAGTCTGATAAGACTACAAACCGGATGTGAGTAACGTAGCACTTCCGGTTTTCGAGAAATCACGTGATTTCTATTTCAAACGAAACCACACAAAATCTCCGAAGTTCTCAATTAATTAAATACATTTTTTTTTTGGTGAACATTTGGTTCACTGGTTTGCTAGTATATATATATATATATACACAAAACTTGGATAAAATTATCAAAATCGCTTGGGCGTACGTTCAACACAGTATTGTAAACTCCTGACTTTCAATGAGTTGTCGGGAACGCTTCAAATGCCCAATCTCGCAGAGTGCAGATTTGTAATAGGGCTCTTAAGTTACGATGCGTGGTATTTGCGCAGGGCTGCATCGGCGCGGTGCACGTGGGGTCGCTGCTGCTGCCCTTCTTCACGGAGGAGCAGCTGTTTGTTGGCGCCGCCGCTGCCCTGCTGGCCTCGCAGCCGCACTACGCGCTACTGTCAGTACATATACACACAAAACAATACATTACATAATGCATAGACCATAAATTATGAATCATTTTCAGTGGATAATTAGTCAAAAATTTTTAGTTCAGACTTATTATATAGGTATGAGAATCTTTAGTGAAAGTACCCAGGGATTTTATTTATATTTTTCTGTTATATTTTATCTTTTAACGGTTGATGGAATAGAATATTATGTCTTGATTAACTATGCGGGTTCTGTGCAGATTCAAGAGTGGTAATAACTGCAGTCGAGACTAACGGTTTAGTGTTATTTTTGAATTACCGAGGAACTCGAGATTTTTTTATTTTTTTTTTATTTAATTGATTTAGGTAACAAACGGTCTCTAACAGTAATATTTGCTTAAATTAAATAATGTATGGCTAAACCTATAGTACCATAACTTAAATTAATATTATGTTTAAACAAATTGAGTCTATGAGAAACTTCTTAGTTACTGTTTACAAAATGTTTCAAAATCTTTACAATCTACTAGTACAACATCTCGCGAACCAGTTATACCATAGTGTCCAAAAAAGTACGTCTAATTTGTAATGGGGTTATGTTATATTTTGAGGCACACGTCCTGTAATCGTTTAAAATATGTTTATCACAATAGCTTAATAATTTTAAAAACTTATTTTGTACTTTTTCGATGCGATCAACGTGAACAGCATACTGTGGGCTCCAAACCACACTACCAAACTCTAAAATACTTAATACGTGAGTGTTAAATCAAGTTATTAAAGTTTTTGTATTTTTGAACGGTTTCCCTAAACGATTTATTAAACCAAGTTGTTTAAACGCACGTGATACTATATTATCAATATGAGTATTGAAGTGAAGTTTGGAGTCCAGAGTTACACCGAGGTCACGTATGAAGGAGACTCTTTTTATAGTGCTTCCAGAGAAGTTATAGTCATAAACAATCGGATGATGCTTAGGGTAAATGTAATAGTATAGCATTTATCAGTGTTTAAGAAAAGCTGATTTCTTGAGCAGTAATCTTGAAATTTACTAAGATCATTTTGCAGCTCACAACAGTCATTAAGAGAGGTAATTACTTTAAAAATTTTAGTGTCATCAGCATAGAGCAGATGGTGTGAATTAACAAAACAATCTTTAACGTCATTTACGTACAGAGTGAAAAGATATGGTCCCAAATGCGACCCTTGAGGAATGCCCGATGGTATATTAAGAAATCCAGACTGATATCCCCGTAAAGCCACTGCCTGACTCCGATTTGAGATATACGATTTCACCCACCGCCAGAGGTCGCCGCGTATACCGATTGCATATATTTTTTCTAATAACAAATCATGATTTATTTTATCAAAAGCCTTTGAAAAATCAGTATACACGGCGTCCATCTGATGTCCAGAATCCAAAGTATTTATAATAAGATCCGTATATGTAATTAGATTGGTCTCCACACTACGACCACTGATAAACCCATGTTGCTGAGAAGAAATAAGTTGTTTTGTTTGCCAAGTCAAAAAATTCGTATATTATTGGTTACTCATAGTATATTGGCCACTACAAGTTTCTCAAATTCCGCGATCGCGGTTCGGATGCGCTAATCACAGCGCCTTGAGCTTTTTAGGGATTAAATTTGGTGTAATGTTTGCATTGTACAGAGCTGGTCGTCCATGGGGTGCTGCGGAGAACGTCGGCTGCGTGCTGTGCCTGGAGAGCGACTGCCAGCGGGGCGGGCGCTGCGCCGACGTGCGGAACCTGTACTCCTGCGCCTGCCCCGCCGGGCTGGCGGGCGACTACTGCCAGGTACCGGGCCCTGTGTGTGTGTGTGTGTGTGTGTGTGTGTGTGGGGCAGGGGGCAGGGGGGAGGGGGGAGGGCTGCGTGCTGTGCCTGGAGAGCGACTGCCAGCGGGGCGGGCGCTGCGCCGACGTGCGGAACCTGTACTCCTGCGCCTGCCCCGCCGGGCTGGCGGGCGACTACTGCCAGGTACCGGGCCCTGTGTGTGTGTGTGTGTGTGTGTGTGTGTGTGGGGCAGGGGGGAGGGGGGAGGGGGGAGGGCTGCGTGCTGTGCCTGGAGAGCGACTGCCAGCGGGGCGGGCGCTGCGCCGACGTGCGGAACCTGTACTCCTGCGCCTGCCCCGCCGGGCTGGCGGGCGACTACTGCCAGGTACCGGGCCCTGTGTGTGTGTGTGTGTGTGTGTGTGTGTGTGTGTGTGTGTGTGTGTGTGTGTGTGTGTGTGTGTGTGTGGGGCAGGGGGGAGGGGGGAGGGCTGCGTGCTGTGCCTGGAGAGCGACTGCCAGCGGGGCGGGCGCTGCGCCGACGTGCGGAACCTGTACTCCTGCGCCTGCCCCGCCGGGCTGGCGGGCGACTACTGCCAGGTACCGGGCCCTGTGTGTGTGTGTGTGTGTGTGTGTGTGTGTGTGTGTGGGGCAGGGGGGGGGGGGGGGGGGGGAGGGCTGCGTGCTGTGCCTGGAGAGCGACTGCCAGCGGGGCGGGCGCTGCGCCGACGTGCGGAACCTGTACTCCTGCGCCTGCCCCGCCGGGCTGGCGGGCGACTACTGCCAGGTACCGGGCCCTGTGTGTGTGTGTGTGTGTGTGTGTGTGTGTGTGGGGCAGGGGGCAGGGGGGAGGGGGGAGGGCTGCGTGCTGTGCCTGGAGAGCGACTGCCAGCGGGGCGAGCGCTGCGCCTGGAGAACTATTTTGATTAACATTTCGACAACAATTACATCTCTTATTATTTAAATCTTGCAATTAAGTACTTACACTTTACATTTAAATCTAGCAAGTAGATGCTTAAAAAAGAAAAATATAAGAGTATATTTCATTCGTAATGAAGTTATCAATCTATGTGAGCACAGGAGGTAAATAGCAACTGAAACATTAAATTTAACGTCGCTCATTAAAAGTGTATAAATATTTTTCTACGCTCCATATGATGTATGTTAAGGAGATATTAACGTAAAACCCTACTTTAGATCGACATCGACGAGTGCGCGGAGCACCAGTGCCAGAACGGCGCCACATGCAAGGATGGCATCGCCTCCTACACCTGCATCTGTCCCGAGGGTTACGAGGGAGATATGTGAGTTTTCTTAGCATACTTTACTGATAATTTATTTTATTTATTTATTTATTAGACATACCATCGACAATTTCACAAATTTCAATAAAGATTTAAGATGCAGGTAGTACTCAACCGTGTGAATTGCCATTGAAGGCATGTACAATATTGACTATATGTAGGTAGGTACTTATACTTTTAACAGAAAAAAAATACTGTTCGGTTTGAACATTACCATACAGATGATTTTTGAGAGCTTTGAGTGGAGCATGAAAGATGTCAACATCATGGCATATCTCGTTGTATGCATCTTTAATTCTGTTAAACGGTGAAGCTAATTTGGTTTTAAAGGGACAGTTTACGAATGATTTGATGAGTTGGCGGGGGATTTTTCTGGGAACCTTGAACTTAATTTCCGCAAGAAGGTCTTGCGCAACAATATTGCCATGAAATAATTTGTGCAGATTCCACTCGATATTGCGGATTCCAGACTTGGGAACTGTATTCTAGTAAACTTTGCACCAAACTCTTATACAAGCATAAAATTGTTGCGGTGTTATGGAAATTCTTACATAGGCGTTTCAAGAAACCCAACATTTTTAATGCCTTTGCAACAATAACGTATATAATAAGTAATATTTTCAATGAATCCGAGCTTTTTGTCAATTACAATGCCCAGATCACGAGTCGAACCCACTTCAGTTAGCTGTGCAGAATTAATAGTATAGACAGAAGCGTTAATGTTTTTTGTCTTTCTGGTAAATTTCATAAATAGACATTTACTTGCGTTAAGAGTCATACCATTGTCTACGCACCATACCGATACCGAGTCTAGATCTTTTTGGAGTAAAAGTATATCTTCCTCGTTTTTAATCGGTCGATACAACTTTAAATCGTCGGCAAAAAGAGAGCAGCTGCTATACCGGATTTTATTAGGGATATCGTTAATGAAAACGAGAAACAGAATTGGTCCCAAGATCGAACCCTGGGGGACTCCCGACGAGGTGAGGAATGGTTTCGATTTGTAGCCGTTCACAACTACCCTTAACAACCGATGCTCTAAGTAAGAACGGAGCCAGAGCAGTAGGGGTCCATGAATTCCGTAACGCTTCAGCTTTATAAACAGTATATTGTGGTCAACCTTGTCAAACGCACTGCTAAAATCTGTATAAATGGAATCTATTTCTACGCCAAGGTCGATTGATTTCGTTAGTTCATTGACATACGAAATAAGATTGTTTGCTGCTGATTTATGTTTACAGAATCCGTGCTGGTTTGCATGAATGATATTTTTAAAATGGGCAGTTAAAAATGGGCAGATAATTTTTTCAAATAACTTTGATATTGCATTCAGAATAGATATGGGGCGGTAGTTTTTAACGTTATTATTATCACCTTTTTTGAAGACTGGAATGATATTAGCCTCCTTAAGCAAATCCGGAAAAACACCCGTAGTAATGGATTTAGCTAATATGATTTTAAGTGGCAGCGCAATGTATTTAGCGGATCTTTTAAGAAATAGTGGCGGAATGCCGTCAGGACCTGCTCCTTTACTCTCGTCAATTTTAGATAAGATCTTAGTGATCATGCGTTCGGATATAGCAACATTACCGAGAGATAGCTGGGGATAGTCACTATCATTAACTAAATCACTGGGTATGGAATCTAGTTTCTGGGCATAGACCGAGGAGAAGTGTGTTGCGAAAAGATCACATATTTCCTTACCGGTAGAAGCTGAAACCGTGTTGAGATGCATTTCACCAGGAATGTTAGATTTACCACCGTGGAGATTCTTGACGTACGACCAAAGTTTTTTAGGATTTTGCCTAATCGAGTCCTCCACCTCATCTAGATATGCAGCATAACATTTTTTTATCATTTGGTCCACTCGTTTATTGGCAAGCTTAAGTTCAAATGAGTCTCGCTGGTTGTTATATTTTTTGAAACGGCACCTAATATTATTACGTTAAGATATTAAGTTAGTTAAAGCGCGAGTGAACCATTTAGGATATTTTCTACGGCGGATAATAAGTTTGGGGATATTAGAATGAATGATGTTCTTGAGAATGGAATAAAATTTACGCATCATGACGTTGACATCCTCGCCCCCCAGCTCAGACTCACAGTTCACATTATACAATTTTTCATTTATAACTGGATAATTAGCTCTTTTGAAATTAAGAATAGGACTTAATTTACTTACAAGACTCTCACAACCTTTACATCAATATCCGCTAAGAGAGCAGGGTGATGAGCATCAATTTTGCTTAAAATGTCTGAGGATTCGGTAATAACAATATTTTTGAAGTTAGCAAGAACTAAGTCTAGGATTCTGTTGTTCGCATTTTATACAAAGTTAAATTGTTCTATACTGTTGTAAGACATAAAATCGACCAGGGCATAACCAAGCGGACTATTGTAGTTTGACGGAGTCAACCCACCAGCAGTCTCATCTGGAGACCAATCAATAAAACCTAGGTTAAAATCACCGAAAATCATAGTCCTGCTCGAGTTTGTATTAACTACAGAGCTGATGTTATCCAATACTGAAGCGAATACGCCAAGTGATACAGGTACACCGCAAATTAAAAAGTCTTCTACCGTATTATTGATTTTGTCTCTAATAGATACCCATAAGTCTTCGTTTCTACTTTCGTAGTGCTGAATGCGGGCTGACTGGATATGTTTCGATACAGCAATTAGTACCCCACCACCTCTTTTAGATAAAGAGGATGTTGATTGGCGGTCTCTTCTGTAAATGGTATACTTGTCGATCAGAAGTTCGTTGTCGTTGATGGTGTCATCCAGCCAAGTCTCAGTTGCGATTATGATGCCAAAGAAGCGAGCCTGATGTCAAGTAGCTTAGTGCGCATGCCACGGAGGTTTTGGTAGTAGACGGTGAATTTTGCAGTAGTTGATACGGCAATGTAATCGTACAGTTCTGAAAAGGCTACAACTGCTTAAGTCATTCGCCGACTTAACCTGCCCAGCCGGTGATTCATCATTCTTGCGTATAAAGATTCGCCCGTTCCGTATCCAAACATATTTATAGCCTTTTCCTGTTGCTATTTTTCTGGTTTCCGCGTGCAGATCTTTGTAATACAGGCAGAGATGTTCAGAAACATAGACAGCTGTTTTGTCACAACCATAGCCCAGTTGCACGGTGTTAAGCTTATCTTTTGGGTTGGATAATTTACCGTTTAGCACTTACTTTTGGAGCTGTCGATACCTTTCATTTGTATGATTTATTAAATAATTTAAATCAATAGATTCTGATTAGATGAGAAAAACTGAGTTATATGTTGTTATCAAAAAAGTGTGTCATCGCATTTTGCTGCGTTCGCGTTCCGATGTGATCTGATCGTATTTGCTATTTGTAAACTAGACAATAATTTCAGTTTTATTCCTTTTTCTTTCTCTTCTTCTTTTTCACTTTTTTTTCTTTTTAGCTATTGTCTTCTTAATTATTTTCCCTTATTCTTGGTTTTCGGATTTTTCTATCCATTTTACTTCGGCTGTTTTTTTCTAATGTCGCATCAACGCATATTTCGGCTCTCCTCAGGAGCGTTTCTCACTCCACGGTACACGACGAATGTCATTTTTAGCAACACGATCGGCCTACTGCCATTTGAGTTTTGTGACTCGCTCGATCTTCGCATCGGCGGCATGAGACGAGATCTATTAATATCCCGTCTGTTGTGGCCAGGTGCGAGACGGACATCGACGAGTGCGCGAGCGGCCCGTGCGGCAACGGCGGCACGTGCGTCGACGCGCGCGGCGCCTACACCTGCGTGTGCGCGGCCGGCTGGACCGGGGCGCGCTGTATGCGGCCCGCGCGCGCGGCCTGCGCGCAGCGGCCCTGCCCCGACACCCGGGCCACTTGCCGGGACGTGGCGCCAGGTATAGTGTGATACATGCGTGTGCCGGCTGGACCGGGGCGCGCTGTATGCGGCCCGCGCGCGCGGCCTGCGCGCAGCGGCCCTGCCCCGACACCCGGGCCACTTGCCGGGACGTGGCGCCAGGTATAGTGTGATACATGCGTGTGCCGGCTGGACCGGGGCGCGCTGTATGCGGCCCGCGCGCGCGGCCTGCGCGCAGCGGCCCTGCCCCGACACCCGGGCCACTTGCCGGGACGTGGCGCCAGGTATAGTGTGATACATGCGTGTGCCGGCTGGACCGGGGCGCGCTGTATGCGGCCCGCGCGCGCGGCCTGCGCGCAGCGGCCCTGCCCCGACACCCGGGCCACTTGCCGGGACGTGGCGCCAGGTATAGTGTGATACATGCGTGTGCCGGCTGGACCGGGGCGCGCTGTATGCGGCCCGCGCGCGCGGCCTGCGCGCAGCGGCCCTGCCCCGACACCCGGGCCACTTGCCGGGACGTGGCGCCAGGTATAGTGTGATACATGCGTGTGCCGGCTGGACCGGGGCGCGCTGTATGCGGCCCGCGCGCGCGGCCTGCGCGCAGCGGCCCTGCCCCGACACCCGGGCCACTTGCCGGGACGTGGCGCCAGGTATAGTGTGATACATGCGTGTGCCGGCTGGACCGGGGCGCGCTGTATGCGGCCCGCGCGCGCGGCCTGCGCGCAGCGGCCCTGCCCCGACACCCGGGCCACTTGCCGGGACGTGGCGCCAGGTATAGTGTGATACATGCGTGTGCCGGCTGGACCGGGGCGCGCTGTATGCGGCCCGCGCGCGCGGCCTGCGCGCAGCGGCCCTGCCCCGACACCCGGGCCACTTGCCGGGACGTGGCGCCAGGTATAGTGTGATACATGCGTGTGCCGGCTGGACCGGGGCGCGCTGTATGCGGCCCGCGCGCGCGGCCTGCGCGCAGCGGCCCTGCCCCGACACCCGGGCCACTTGCCGGGACGTGGCGCCAGGTATAGTGTGATACATGCGTGTGCCGGCTGGACCGGGGCGCGCTGTATGCGGCCCGCGCGCGCGGCCTGCGCGCAGCGGCCCTGCCCCGACACCCGGGCCACTTGCCGGGACGTGGCGCCAGGTATAGTGTGATACATGCGTGTGCCGGCTGGACCGGGGCGCGCTGTATGCGGCCCGCGCGCGCGGCCTGCGCGCAGCGGCCCTGCCCCGACACCCGGGCCACTTGCCGGGACGTGGCGCCAGGTATAGTGTGATACATGCGTGTGCCGGCTGGACCGGGGCGCGCTGTATGCGGCCCGCGCGCGCGGCCTGCGCGCAGCGGCCCTGCCCCGACACCCGGGCCACTTGCCGGGACGTGGCGCCAGGTATAGTGTGATACATGCGTGTGCCGGCTGGACCGGGGCGCGCTGTATGCGGCCCGCGCGCGCGGCCTGCGCGCAGCGGCCCTGCCCCGACACCCGGGCCACTTGCCGGGACGTGGCGCCAGGTATAGTGTGATACATGCGTGTGCCGGCTGGACCGGGGCGCGCTGTATGCGGCCCGCGCGCGCGGCCTGCGCGCAGCGGCCCTGCCCCGACACCCGGGCCACTTGCCGGGACGTGGCGCCAGGTATAGTGTGATACATGCGTGTGCCGGCTGGACCGGGGCGCGCTGTATGCGGCCCGCGCGCGCGGCCTGCGCGCAGCGGCCCTGCCCCGACACCCGGGCCACTTGCCGGGACGTGGCGCCAGGTATAGTGTGATACATGCGTGTGCCGGCTGGACCGGGGCGCGCTGTATGCGGCCCGCGCGCGCGGCCTGCGCGCAGCGGCCCTGCCCCGACACCCGGGCCACTTGCCGGGACGTGGCGCCAGGTATAGTGTGATACATGCGTGTGCCGGCTGGACCGGGGCGCGCTGTATGCGGCCCGCGCGCGCGGCCTGCGCGCAGCGGCCCTGCCCCGACACCCGGGCCACTTGCCGGGACGTGGCGCCAGGTATAGTGTGATACATGCGTGTGCCGGCTGGACCGGGGCGCGCTGTATGCGGCCCGCGCGCGCGGCCTGCGCGCAGCGGCCCTGCCCCGACACCCGGGCCACTTGCCGGGACGTGGCGCCAGGTATAGTGTGATACATGCGTGTGCCGGCTGGACCGGGACCGGAACCGGGACGCGCTGTATGCGGCCATTATTTACAACTAACTCGCCTTCATTAAAACCCCCCTTACATGTAATACAACAATTGTTGAAACTGATATTTAATTATAACTTAACCTGCCAATCAATTTCACACTATTATGCCCAGAAATGTTGAAATTCTATACAAACTGTCAATCCCCATTCTATAACTTCAGCTAAGTAAGTTTCCTAAAATTTACTCTTAATAGACATCCTATTATTGTCACTTAACTTTATAGATAAAAACGTCCATTATTTCAGGACTTTTCGTATTTTCATCATTATCTAGCGTTATGCGAGTGTATGTCTCATTACCCAATGAATATATAAAATATTAACGTGTATGATACAGATCCGCCGACGGGCAACAACTATACGTGCGACTGCATAGAAGGCTTCGAAGGCGTGCACTGCGAGACCGCCTTCTGCGAGACAACGCCCTGCGTGCACGGCGAGTGTCTCACCGACGGAGATCAGGTATTATCTATATTGCATTAGACATTTTAACTACAATTTTCATAAAAACATATTAGCAAATTTCGAGTTTACTCTTTTAAGATGGTTGTCACTTATTTTATTTTCAGCTTGAAATTGTATTTTTATTTATTTGATTTTTACATGGTGCTATTTAATTAATAGAGATTAGAGTTGTCCATTATAAGATTCCACTTTTCTTTTGAAATCAAATGTTTTTCTTATAATAAAATTAAAGAAATAACTTCTCATAAACTAATTTGGATAAATCTTTCTATATGTGTTGAAAATAGTCGACATTTAATCGAAAGTCTATTTTTGATATAAGATGAGATGATCGTCACCTACAATTTTTAATTTACTTTTAGATCAAAGTTACATAGATATTGCTGTCAATTACTTTAAAATAACATAGGAAACCATCTCCCTATTCCATCCTTAGGGAATGTCCCCCTTGCTGGGGCACAACGCAGCAGTGGGGACATTAACAGGATGATGATGATGAATATAAGGAACATAAAGCCGCGTATCCACTAGAGGCAGCCTCGGGTCGAGCGGCTGCCTCACTCCGAGGCTGCGCAAGTGGAGACGCTGCCTCAACCTGAGGCACGCCGCGACGCGAGGCAAATTCGTCGCCGCGAGCCGAGCCATATTTTGTCGGTTTCTGTGCCGTGCTCAAAGGCGCCTCAGTCCGAGCCGTGTGTTTAATGGAGACTGTTGCTAAAATTTCGAAAGCTATCGCCACCTTCCAACGTCATGTCCAATAGCAAGTGTTCACATCCATGTATAGTTCTATTGCGGTATAATTCTTTTATCCACCAGCGATGCTTCCTCTTTTGTATAGCTTTTTGTTGCCTCCTCTTTTTCTTAATAATGGTTATTGCTATTAAAGCAGCAGCTACTCGACGCGCGTCTGGTGCCATCGCGTTTTGGCTTTTAACTGCGCAGTGCGCCGCCAGCGGATCAAGCTGAGGCGACACGCCTCGAGCTGATCCGTAGCCGTTGCCTCAGAGCGAGCAGCCTCAAACTGAGGCTATTTGCTTCAAGTCGAGGCCGCTCGACGCGATTCTGCCTCTAGTGGATACGCGGCTTAACAAGAGGCCTCTTGTTCAAGTACGAATTTCGTCAGCTCCGTAAACGTATCATCATCTTCACATTTTGTATAGACGGAGCTGGTTTTCTGTTACATCCGGGAGGGATGCTTAATTTTGATAGAAACTTTGACGATGTGATCAAAATTCGTGCTTGGGCCTCTGAACAAGTTTATCTTTAACTGAAAATTGTTTATTGAAACTGGCCGTTAGTAGGATGATATATGAGAGGTGTCTGCATTTGTTGCGCAGGCGCGCTGCTCGTGCTCGGAGGGCTACAGCGGGAGACTATGCGACGAGGAGCTGGACGCGTGCGCCGCGCCCTCGGCCTGTCTGCACCGGGGCCGGTGCGTGCCCACGCCTCCGGGGCATCGCTGCGAGTGTCGAGGGACAGGTCTGTACATAGTGCTCGGAGGGCTACAGCGGGAGACTATGCGACGAGGAGCTGGACGCGTGCGCCGCGCCCTCGGCCTGTCTGCACCGGGGCCGGTGCGTGCCCACGCCTCCGGGGCATCGCTGCGAGTGTCGAGGGACAGGTCTGTACATAGTGCTCGGAGGGCTACAGCGGGAGACTATGCGACGAGGAGCTGGACGCGTGCGCCGCGCCCTCGGCCTGTCTGCACCGGGGCCGGTGCGTGCCCACGCCTCCGGGGCATCGCTGCGAGTGTCGAGGGACAGGTCTGTACATAGTGCTCGGAGGGCTACAGCGGGAGACTATGCGACGAGGAGCTGGACGCGTGCGCCGCGCCCTCGGCCTGTCTGCACCGGGGCCGGTGCGTGCCCACGCCTCCGGGGCATCGCTGCGAGTGTCGAGGGACAGGTCTGTACATAATCATTTACGTCTGATCAATCTTTTTAGCTTTCTGTTAAGAGGAGCTCGCAATGATCGGTCGTTGGATGGTGACTAAAATCTTCTATCTCTAGTTCCTCCGTGCTTCGGAAGACACGTTAAGCCGTTAGTCCCGGCTGCATCTGCAGTCGTTAGCACCCACCGATCCGTACTGGGCCGGCATGGTAGGTCAAAGCCCAATCTCCCTATTCCATCCATCGGGAAGGCCTGTGCCCCAGCAGTGGGGACATCAGGCTGATAATGAGCGATCTTTTCAGTAGAATCGTTCGTTTATTACATCTACAGTAAATCGTCCGGTAAATCCGCTCAGATCGATCCGGTATTAATCTGCTTACTCGGAGAATTTTGACTGACGAGAAAGATCAATCTGTTATGTATCTGTCATGTTGCGGGGTTTGTTTATGTTTGAGGTCAGATTAATCTGTGATCACGTGACCAAAAATCCGTCGCCTCTACGATGCAAATAACGAACGCAGCTACTATATGTATTTCCCCCACCAAAACTCTACCCATATACACAGAAAATGGACTGAACATTATCTGTCCAAAAAAACAAGTAGCTATGAGAGTGATGAAACTATAGATCGCATAGATATTGGCTGTTTTTCTAGAAAGACCATTTAAAAAAATTAATATCGTTTATTTAGTATAGGCTGTTACAAGCACTTATGAATGTCGAAAAGCTACGCCATCAGCAAATCTAGGGCGGGGAGACCTTGTACTGAGAAGAACCGGCAAGATACTCAGCAAGGGCTGTTTTTTCTCCCTGTATTTCTATACAGAGTCGTCAAATTGAAAAACGACTTCAATATGAGGTAACTCATAAAGTCACTTTCCATGACAAATGTAAATGATATAAAAGTTATGACTATAAAAAAAACATAAAAAACTGATTTAACAAAGTTTAGGAATGTTTAGGAATTGCGTGTCCTACTGTTTAAGCATACAAAAATGTACGATTATTGTACACCTTTAATGAGATTTAGTTAGTTGGAGTGCAGGAGAAAAAGATCAGGGAGAGATAACTTTCGAGATATATATTGTAAACAAAGTCACAGTTCAGTGGGCCATTTGCCTAACTAAAATGCTTTGGAAAACGCTAACGCTTACGATTTCATTTTGTTATTTCTAGCCGCCTGAGGTTTTCAAATGCCTCGCGCTCTTTTTTTTTCTTTTGCATTGGTAATAACAATAATAAAAAATATGAGCGTGAGGTATTTGAAAACCTTCGCCGGTCAGAAATAACAAAATAAAATCGCAAGCGTTGGCGTTTTCCAAAGCATTTCCGTTAGGCGAATGGCCCCCTGGTGTAGGCAATTTTTGTCTCTAATGTGTGTTAATTAGTTCGCGTTTCTAATTGCACTGTCTTTAAATAAAGAAATAATAATTTATAATTACGATAATATGACACTCTAGGTAAACGCGGGTCATTGACGCGGACTGAGTGACGTTCGCGGTGTTAGCAAATTTTTATGTACAAGTTAACTGTACAATTATAATTAAATAAAACGATTAATAGTACCCAATGTAGCAAGACACTCAGGTGTCCCCGTACGTAGTAGGTAGTAAAGAAGTAACTTCTACTTCTTTACTACCTACTACGTACGGGTCATTGCGTAGTTTCGTAGTGATACTGAGTGGCTAGTCATACACAAAGAGAATGACCATGACACCTGAGTGTCTTGCTACATTGGGTACTATTAATCGTTTTATTTAATTATAATTGTACAGTTAACTTGTACATAAAAATTTGCTAACACCGCGAACGTCACTCAGTCCGCGTCAATGACCCGCGTTTACCTAGAGTGTCATATTATCGTAATTATAAATTATTATTTCTTTATTTAAAGACAGTGCAATTAGAAACGCGAACTAATTAACACACATTAGAGACAAAAATTGCCTACACCAGGGGGCCATTCGCCTAACGGAAATGCTTTGGAAAACGCCAACACTTAAATATTGCCTTTCAAATTTTATTTGGTCGACTTTCAATACTTTTTGTTTGTTAATTATTATCACCTAATCCACATTAAATTTCCAAAAAAATTAATCCCATTGAAATCTATTTTACAAATTCTGTCTCATTTAAAATGAGTCATTCTCTGTAAATAGTATTTCATTACTTGATAATTTCCTTGTTTTATAATATTTGTTTCCTGAATTAATTTCCTTATAAAAACATAATCGGACAACGTTAGTGTTTGATTGTATTCTATCATCTATTATGAAATATTTGTAGACTAAAACTGTAACTTTATCTAAAAAAAGTTATGATAGAAAAAAATCCACGCGGACCAGGTAGCAGACGGTGTTCGAACCCGTTATTTGTTGACGTTTCGTTTGTCGAGCTACCTTCGGAAGACAAAATTAAATAAAAAATCATTATTCGGACGATGCAGCCCTGAAAAGGCTGCGCAACGTCAATAAATAAATAAAGTTTCGTGCATTAACTGTTAAAACTAGTTTTATTTAATCTAAGGTGTTGCTGTGCCAACAAGTCGCTGTTCTAGCTATGCTACTATGGTAGTACTTTCGCGATACCACAGCAGCTCTTATTTTCAGCCAGCGCCACACAGTGTCTAGCCACGTCGACTGCACGCACCTCGTTAACAACATTGAGTCTATTTTTTTTTTAATTTATTGGCAATGGATACATTGTCCTTATGCCACATTGAGTCTATTGTTCCTAGTGTTGCCAGGTCTAACGATTTTACAGGAGATCTCATATTTTTCTGTAATTTCTCCTGTTCTACTATTTTTCTACACGAATGCACTAACCAATTATGCTACCGCGGCCCTGATGGCCTCGTCGAAATTTTCCTATCCTTAAGCTGCAAGGCAGCGCCATCTCTTCGCATTGTAGGCAACCCACAATGTCAAATGAATACTTTTTCAAGTATTAATCATTTGAAAGAAGAAATAGCATTTATAGTTATGGTTTTTATTTATTTTTTTAAGCATTAAACTGCTAGATGTTATTAGAAATCTAAAAAAAAAGATCTTTTTCTATCAAAACTTTTCTTTAGTTTAATGCTTAAAAAAATAAATAAAAAACATAACTGTAACTTTCTGTTATAAATAACAATAAAGGAATCCACGTGTAGAGCGAAACATTAAATCTGGTGGTACGATAGCGGCGCACGTTATCACACGACGCTTCATCTACGATACGTCACCAGCGTCGATAACGTGATAACAGACGCACTGATTCTCAAACTGTACCAGGCACACATATAATTTTTTTTTCATTAAAAGTTCCTTTTTTATTTATTTTGAACAATAAAATTTAATACGTCATCAGCGTCAATAACGTGATAACAAACGTATTGATTTTCAAATTTTACTTGACACACATATTTTTTTTCATTAAAAATTCCTTTTTAATTTGAACAATAAAATTTAATAAAAGCAAAAATACCAAATATCTCTTTAGAAATAACATTGTGACGTAAACAGGATTTACACATTTTCATTCAATGACTAAACTCGTTGCTCCCAACAAAACAACTTGCAAAATGACGTACCAAATAATTAATATATTGCGTATTATAATACCGTTAATAGGGTATTTGACAGTATTAAAAATAAAGTACGAATTGTAAGCATCTGTATTTAGAATGAATATTGGCAGGAATTTTTACTATTTTTACAGAAAAATTACTCATAATTTAACTAAAAACCCAAGATAAAGATAATAGTTTTCCTGTCTATTGTCACGTGACCCAAAACGCTCTTGGGATTGGTGGAGCCTAAAATGACGTCACACGCAAGTAAACTTCTGGTTAAAGTCACATTTGATTGTATGGTTTGACGTTATAATGACAGTCATGTGACGTCACACTCCAGTGAGACGTCATATTGTTCATAGATACGTTTTTCGCGGCAACTTGAAAATGGAGTTTTTGATTTGTTTTTTTTACCGAAATACACAACATAATGATGAATATCCACTTTATGGACTCTATAAACATTAGTAAATCACGTGAGATCGTTTTTTAAAACTTGTCAAATACCCTATTGTTTATTTACCTCTACAAACGTTAGTAGTGTATATAAGATGCTCGCGTATTATTCACTCGCATTACGTCAGCTGATAACTGGGAAAGCACGGAACAGTTTGTGAATCACTGACCACTGCCAGTATCGAGGTTACTGGGCAAGGTGCTCCATTGATGCCCCGAAATGTCGCCAATATTGGGATATTCATTAGTGAAAACGAAAATTGAATTATGTGTGTGTACAGTGTAGATAGGACATTCATGCTGTGTTGATAGTGCAGTGAAAAATGACAGTAACATAACATGAAGGGTGCAAGTACATTAGTGTTGGTCCTCGCGGTGCTAAGTATGGGATTACCACATGCTTCTTTCACTTTAAGTTATAGGCAATATGACATTAAGTAGACAAATATATGCTCCAATACCTGAAACTTGCTCAAAAATTATATATTTGAATAGTTCATTCATTATTAAAAAAAAAGTGGAGGTTATATTTTTTTTTTCTTTTTTTTTATTATTTTAAAGCATGTAACTGCTTGATGTTGTAGCATGCATGTAGCATAATTGGTCAGTGCATTCCCCCGGATTGCGAAGGGTGCGGGTTCGAGTCCCGTCTGCTGCCTGGTCCGCGTGGAATTTTTCCTAGTTATATTTTCTTTAGATTAAAAGTGGTAGTTGTTTAAATCTTTTATAGCAGGTATAGCATGAAAAGTTTAAGAGAACCATGTCAGTTTAAAATTAAAGTACAAGTTTTTGTATAATGTCATTACAGTTCTTTTAGCTTTGAATATTGTAATATTATTAGATATTATTTGAGGAGCTCGACGGCGCGAATGGTTAGCGCGTTTGGCTGCGATCGTTGAAGTTAAGCAACCGGTGGTCGGTCATTGGATGGGTGACCAAAAATCTTCCATCTCGATTTCCTCCGTGATTCGGAGGGCACCCGGCTGCATCTGCACTCGTTAGCACCCGCCAATCCACACTGGGCCCGCGGGGTGGGTCATGGCCCAATCTCCCTATTCCATCTATAGGGAAGGCCTGTGTCCCAGCAGTGGGGATATTAATAAATAAATATATAAATATTTCCAACACAGACACCAATTAGCCTAGTCCAAAGTAAGGCTTGTGTTATGGGATACTAGGGTAACGGATAGAATACATATACAGTACATATATTAGTATATTTATATAGAAATACATATAATATATAATAATAGGCTGATAATGATGATGATTTGTTATATTGCACTGATAATTACAAATTGTTATTGATTTACTTCGGTGCTGTGGTATGCCTATAATATTTAATATGCGATTCATGGAACACCCTTGAGTAATTCTGTTAATGCATCATTGTTTGCATATTAATGGGAATGAGGTTTCTTTGTTATGATTTTGCAACATGGACACAAATCGTTCTGATCAAAAGTTGTTGCTTGTAAAAGACAGCGAGAAATGTATACTGATAAACTTATTTGTATCCAATAATTTCCATGTAAGATTAATATTAAGATATCATTATAGTGTACCTTTTGCCGTGATGTAATGTAATGATTTAGTCATTATCAGATTAATTGTTTTATTAATCACTAGCGGCCCGCCCTCGCTTCGCTTCGGCGTAGAGCTGAGGTGTAGACTACAGTTTTGTTCTCAGGCTTGTATTATACACAATGACATTCATCTATGATTCTTCTTATACCTGCATGCAAAGTCTCAGCCCGATCGGTTTAAAATCGACAAAGTTTCATACAAACTTTCATTCCCTATTTTATCCCCTTGGGGGTAGAATTGATCAAAATCCTTTCTTAGCGGATGCCTACGTCATAACATCTACCTGCATGCCAAATTTCAGCCCGATCCGTCCAGTGGTTTGGGCTGTACGTTGATAGATCACTATGTCAGTCAGTCACCTTTGAGTTTTTTATATATAGATATATTAATCATAAGCGGTTTATTCATCCAAGATCATAACCGATGCTATGTTGACAATAGTTTCCTTCTCATCTATTCTGTTTCTATTGACTCGTCATCTTCTCTGTCCTGGTTGCATAGTCATCAGTGATACTGTTGTGTTAGAATATACAATTGCAACGAATCCAGGTAGAGATTCCACAAACGATTTTTTCGAAATGATTTCTCTAATTGTCATGAAGTTAAAAATTTAACACGTTTACGCGCGTCTTTAAGCGTTTGAATATATATACAAAAATTTAAAAATAAAATTTCATACTAAACCCAAAAATTGGCTAATAAAAGACACGGTAGTTAATAAACGTAAAAATAGATTGAAATTAGGTTTGGTCGCTAAACATAAATTCAAAATTCAATATCGTTTATTCAGTCTAGGCTGTTACAAGCACTTGTGAATGTCGAAAAGCTACGCCATCGGTTCGCAAATCTACGGCGGGAGACCTTGTACTGAGAAGAACCGGCAAGAAACTCAGAGAACCGGCAAGAAACTCAGAAGTTTCTCATGTATCATTTGTTTCACACATGCCCTATTTTATCGAAATTTTTCACAAGCATCTGCTTCATAATAGCTACTTCTATTTTTTTTTAAAGTTTTACGTCCGTGAATTTCTCCACTTTCGGCTATTCATAAGTTAATTTCATCATTTTATATGTCTTCGAAAGTATTCATTATATATTCAAATAATATAAGATATTTATTATTGTTTTGTATGATAGATGGTAATTGGCTGGGTATTCTCCAGTTATTGTATATCTCTATAAAGCCATCTATCAATAAGATTCTCTGTATACATATAGAAGGCAGAACATTCTAAAATAAGATGCTGTTAAGTTGCCACGCTCTTGGATTTACAATACCGACAATCATTTTGGTCTCATAGTTTAATTCTGTTCAAATGCTTCCGGAATCTTCCATGACCAATTCGTGAGCGGTTCATAGTTGTAATATATTTTCTAGTTATAATTTTTATTTTTTAAAGCATGTAACTGCTTGATGTTTAAATCTTTGTGGGTTATCTATAATGCGAAGAGATGGCGCTGCCTTGCATATTAAGAATGGCTAGAGTAATTTCGACGCAGTCCGTGAGAGCCACGGTACCATAATTGGTCAGTGCAGTGGTTCAAGTCCCGTCTGCTGCCTGGTCCGCGTGGAATTTTTTCTAGTTATATTTTCTTTAGATATATTTTCTAGATGGATTTTTCAATTTTTGGTGCCATGACTTCTTAGGTAGAAATAATCTTCTTTATATATATAATTCTTCTGTGAGTGTGTATGTCACTGAACTTCTCTTAAACGACTGGACCGATTTTGATGAAATTTTTTGTGTGTGTTCAAGGGGATCTGAGAATGGTTTAGATTCACAATTTTGTCCGCTGGACAATGTTTTTTTAATTAATTTTTAATTTATTAGTAGTTGTTGATTTTGGAATGTTTTACATTGGATCCGACAGACGGCGCTACCATACTAGACAGGACAACGTCTGTCGGGTCCGCTAGTAAATAAATAAATATTTTCAAAACTCACACCAATCACCCTAGCCCCAAAGTAAGCACTGTAAAGTTTGTGTTATGGTATGCTAGGGTAACGGATAGAATACATATACTGTACATATATAAGGATATTTATATAGAAATACATATTTCGGGATTCGAACCCGGGACCTCTCGAGTTGGCGACACCATGAAACCTGGCGTACGAACCACTCGACCACGGAGGTCGTCAACATATATCATCACATCTTGGACGTTGGCATACCATGCTCCTTTAACTTTTCTAGTGCTTCTTCTAAATATTTAATTGTGTAACACGTAACACTTTGTGATCAGGCTGGACGGGCTCGCACTGCGAGGTGGATGTGGACGAGTGCGCGGCCGGCCTGGTGAGCTGCGGGCCCGGCGAGTGTGTCAACCTCGACGGATCATACAAGTCAGTATACTATAAATGTCTATATCACATACATGACATAGTTATTTTACATGTTAATGAGGTTTACCACCCTTCATTCAATCCGGACGGTAAAATAGTGAGTGACCATAGAAAAAGGTATGATTTTTGACATTTGTCAATTAATAATTAAAGTTTAAAATATTTATGGACGAACAAATGTAGGAAATAGCAGCTATAAATGTTGTTTCTCTTTTCTGAGCAACACAATTGTTTTATTTCGTAATTTATCCTATTTAGTTCATAAAACTTCATTATAAAAAAAAAACTCATTAAATACATTTAATGTATCGTAATTCGTGTACACACAGTAGCTTTTCTGTTTGTATAAAAAATTACAAATTTATCTGATTGATTTTCAACCTTAACGGTTGGGTGAATTAGTTGAAAATTGGTTGCAAAAGTTTGCCATTTTGTAAAAGCATAGCGGGCAACAGCTTGTGCATTGTAACGCCAATGCTTAATGCTCTTTTAGTAAAAACTTGAAAAACTGATCACGTCTTATTTTGTTTGGCCGATATCAATAATAATCAGCTAATATATTCTGGTTATAGCGCGTCAAAGTTTGGGGGTAGGGGCTCGTGACGTCACTTTTTAGTGAATATTCCCTTATAAGTGTACTCAAACGTGACGTCATGCGACTTTTCAAATCAATATATCTCTGCAATGTTTATATTATGTGAAAAAAGAAAAAAATCGCGTCCAATACTTTTTGATAATCTACCTGTAAACGAAGGAAAAAAAATTAGTCATCATCCCTATTTTATATTAATTTACTCTATTCAATAAGTGAACTTGGGTATGTTTTTTACGGTTAAGGAGCTTCGCTTTTCTAAAGTATAACGTAACATTCTATAGATGCGTATGCGCGGCCGGGTTCTGCGGCCTAGAGTGCGCAGTGCGGGACCCGTGCTTCGATCCCGCGCCCGTCTCAGAAGACTCGGGCTCGGGCTCGGAGGCGGGGCCGGGCCAAGGGGCCGCCAACGGGACCCTGGGGCCCTGCCAGCATGGGGGCACCTGCGAGCAGCGCTGCACTACCGACTCGGCTTATATCTGTCATTGTATCGACGGGTGGGGCGGACAGAATTGCACGCAACAGGTATGGGATTTAATGGTTTCTTTTATTTTGCGGTTTGTTGTCATAAATTTGTATACTGATAGAATTGAAATGGAAATACTTGAGATGTTGAGTTTTTATTTTTTTAATTTAATTTAGGGACTTACTTTATTTAATTAAGGCTATTCCCAAATTAACTAAAAAGGAATCACACGAACAATACTTTTTTTGTAGTATTTTTTTATAAACCAAATATTTGTAAAAATGATTTTAATTTCGAAGCAGTGTTCGGTTTTAAGTTACATTAACACTGTTTTGTGCTCGGCCTCATCACACAAATATTTGTACTAGGTAAAATAATAAATCTAATGAGATTTTGTAATAAAATTTATTAAACACCAGTATTTTTGATACTTATACTTATATTTACATTTAAACATCTAGCAGTTAAATGTTTAAAAATAAATAAAAACATAACTAAAATATATTCGATACTTATAATCTATTAAACAATGTTCTAGCATAACAGCGATTATAGCTTTAAATCGAACGATTTATGTGATAGGGTGTCACTATTTTTACTTCGATCAATCTGACAAAAAGATAATAATAGAATGGGCAGTATACAATACAGACTATAGTATTTTTTTTAAGCAACAGTTTAAATTGAACGATTCCGGAGACAGGGTGGGGCCCCCGCTAGGTTGAGCAAAAAACCATCCTTTTCTGCAAACAGTTCAGGTCATTTTTATGTTAGGATTTTTGTAAATAGTTTTTGTTTAACACAAAATCGATCGGTATTCAGGCGGTGTCAGCGCAGGCGGGCGGGGGCGCGTCGACGTCGTCGGTGCTGATCGGCGTGGGCGCCGCCCTCGTGGCCCTCGCCTGTGGGGGCGCCGCCCTCGCCGCCCTCGCCGCCCAGGCGCGCCGCAAGCGGGCCACGCGCGGCACCTACTCGCCCAGCGGACAGGAGTACTGCAACCCGCGCGCCAACCTGAACCCCGCGCTCAAACCGCCCCCCGAGGAGCGTCTCATATAACCTGCCCTCGCCGCCCTCGCCTGTGGGGGCGCCGCCCTCGCCGCCCTCGCCGCCCAGGCGCGCCGCAAGCGGGCCACGCGCGGCATATGACCCCCCAACATAACACAAACCACGGAAACTCGAGACCAGACGATCGCCCGAAGAGTGCTCCTCTACCTCGGATTTCGGTGATCCGAGAGTGAATTGTGTTCGGTGTTTTTAGTTTTCATACGATCGACGTTCGACAAGAGAAATGTAAACGATTCCGACTGAGTGATTTCAAAACTGTAATGTGTCATTTTGAAATTCATCTTTCTGAACTTTCGCAATGTTGCGGAGACCGTCCTCTCATATTTGACGGGGCTTTGTTGGAGCTTTGGCCCTAAAACAGGTCTTAGGCTGAATATATTTTACATTCTGACAGATATGATTAGGATTTTTATGATACTAACGTATAGTTTGACCTATAATAGAAGTGGTGTTTGACATATTTTTATATTTATACTAAAATAAGCATGTAACTTACTAACTCGAGATCGACTACGTTTTTTATTTATTCATAGGGTGTAAGTAATGATAGTTGAAGCGCTGATGCCTACCGTCATGTGCCTGAAATTATTCAATGCTATTTTCTATTGTTCTTTTGACAATTTGCAACATCAATCAGTTAGACACTATATTCATGTATTACAATGTAAATAATTTAAAAGAAACACAGGGGATACCCTTTCTACAATTAAATTATCATGAAATTACGTAAAGAACCAATATTAATAATAAAAGAGAAAAACTATAATATTAGTATATAGGACAACATTATAATGTGATCATATTTTAAACTGCAAGTAAAAAATAATACTGTATTAGTTAAAATAGCAGTCAATCGTATTCAGCTATACCAAGTTGTTGTGTTTGTTGACAACATTCTGCTGTATCAGATGGCAACACTTGTTCCGGTCTATCGTAGTAAAGATGACCAGGGGGGCAGTCGCCTAACGGAAATGTTTTGGAAAACGCTAACGCTTACGATTACATTTTGTTATTTCTAGCCGCTTGAGGTTTTCAAATGCCTAGCGCTCTTTCTTTTTTCTTTTGCATTGTTAATAACGATATTAAAAGAAATGAACGTGAGGTATTTGAAAACCTTCGGCGGTCAGAAATAAAATCGAAAGCGTTAGCGTTTTCCATAGCATTTCTGTTAGGCGAATGGGGGCCCCTGCTGATCCTTTTATAAAAATAGATTAACAATGTATTCCTTTATACACTTCCGGAGACATCTATCGACCCACTTAGTATTACAAGTTTCAACAGTCTGTAGCAAAAATATAATTAAATTAGATCGAGCGATATATATTTTTAAAAACACACCCACAAGATGGTTTAGTAAATCAATTTCATTACTGCGCAAAAATGTGTTGCTGTGTGTGTGGCTGTTTGTTTAATGTAACGTTTACTCTTAGTTAGCGACTGTTAAAACCTTATAGGTAAAGTCGCAGGGCAAAGACAACACGTACCGTGTGTATACTGTGTGCAAGCGGGACAGCGACATAATTGCGCGCGAACGATAAGGATGGGTAGCGTGGGGTCATTGTACGAAATTATCTCTGCTCGGCGACCGTACTTTAAAACTTAAAATGCTTGGTGGGTAGATAGATGTGTATATATAATGTTAACATCCATATTATTAGTCGTTTCCTCGAGATTTTCTCCACTCGACTCAACCTCATTGGAGGAAATTCATATGCAACAACAACAAAAATATCCTTCACTTGAGATATTCCTCACTCGAGTGGAGGTCGAGTCGAGGAATAAACTGTCAAACTCAAGGTAGCCCTCGGCGTACCTTAAGGCTTCCTCGAGTGACGTTTAAAGGTTTTTTCAAGTTGTTTTTATCGAGAATTGTGTCTGATTTTGAGATTATTGACGAATTTGTGGATTTTATGGATTTATTTATTTATTCAGTAACACATACACGATGGTGAACCATATAATTATCCGGCGCGACGGTATTTACGTGATGCCGCAAATCTTTTTAAGGTTTACGACAATGATTCGTTTCAAAGAAGATTTCGGTTTAGAAAAGACACAGTCCTACAAGTAATAATAATGTCACAATGTTGAGGAATTCTCAGTGGAGGAATTCTCAAGTTTGTTCAAGATACCAACTAGAATACCATTTTCGAGGTTATTTGGAGGAACTCCTTAAGGAGCCCTCGAATGAGTTTGAGTCGAGGAACGTTTGAGGACGCGACTAAGAATATGGGTGTAAGTGTCGTCGAGACAAAAGATCATGTATGAAATGATATAAATTTCGTCCTCGCCGGCGCCATAGTCAGTAAGTTTAGTGGGTAGTATGTGAATTAAAAGCGTGCAACATTCTAAATTACTTGGTAGTGAAGGCGACCTCGACCGCAGGGTGCCGGGCCTCGCGACTGTCGCGCCATCTGCCTATGTGCCCACACACACTCTGCGTACTAAATTCTGTTCCAATTCTTATTGAAAATATATAAATATTTACTCTTGAAGCAAATTTGGTTACTCTATACTTAGTTTTTGGTTTCGTTACTATACCAAAAACTTTAATCTATATACCAAGCAGGCCAAGTGTGAGTTTTCAAATTAGAGCGCAAAGCGTCGTTTATTCATTCAAAACAAATGAAGTTATTACGTAAACCATGTTTTCCAGAAGGCAGAATTGCTCAGCTTAAAAAGAGTTAACGTAATGTAATTTTTATCGCGTGCTAAAACTCGTTCTTTGATTGCTGATAGCCTTTTAGTTAAGAGTGGTACCTGGGCAATAATTATCGTAACTTAATAAAAGATTGAAACCTCTTATCAACTTTAAAATGGTGCTAAAATTTCAAGAAATAATTTTTAAGCATGTTGATTGAATGTTCTTTTGAAATAATTAGTTAGATTTCTGGGCTAAAAATAAAACCCTTTTTATTTCATCTTTCATGCTCTGACTGAAAATGTATATCTTACCTCAATGTTGAAGAACTGTCTATCTTGCAATACTCTAACTAACTTTTCTTTTAAACTTCCTTTCATTATTCATTTTAAGTTGTGCAATAAATGTAACGACTCATTTATTTGCATCTTTGTCATAAACTGTTACAGTTTTCATTGAATTTTAACGTTGAGTGTGTCTGTAATGTGTGGGAGTGCGAATGTGTGCAAATGTGCAGAATGCCGCGACGGCTGACAGAGAGTGCACCGGAGTGCGGCGACCGCCCGTGCCTTAAAACAAAGTCTGTATATTGAGAATTATATACGATTTATCGTCATTATTAAACTTTATACATAGCTATAGTACATGTATCTGTACAGTAAGTAACCTTAAGTTAGATTAAGTGTGTATAGATGAAGCCTACGGCGACTCTCCTCGGCTCATGGTACGTTTGTTCAAATTAATGTAGCTTACTGTTTTGTACCAAATGTGTCAAATTAATTTACAATGCGATTCAACTAAGAATAGGACAGACAGGGCGCCATATTGTGACGGCATAGCTGTCAATTCAGACCGGTTAGGTAGAGTGAGCAAAAAAGTATTTCTTTAATAAAACTTATTTACCAAGCTTAAGTAAGAAAATGTATCAGATTTATAAATATTTTTTTTTTTACTAATATTGGGAGAAATAAAAATATTAGATTTTTAATAATATTTACTAAGACTGAATGAGAAAATACATTAATCAAAATCTAGCTCTTTAATTCCGCTCATCTCTGCTACGGTAGTCATCATCATAATCACTGCTGCTTTCGGCTATAAAATAAAATATCGATTATTGTAGGTTGTAAACGACAACTTTGTTTAAAATGAAAACAGCCTTTTTATTACCTGTATTTAAATTAAAACAAAAGTTCTCGTATTTCCCTTTTCCAGTACCCATTTTATAATGTTTTTTTTATCTCAGATTAGCTCAGTGCTAAAAAAACTATTCCAATGTTTTTTTTTACTTAAAACGTACTTTTCAAGCGACATTTGACATATGAAGGTCATTGGCTTTCCTATTCTTGTGTGGTGTCGCTCGCTGTGTTCCCGTGTACTAACATGGGAACTTCATCACCATATTTGAACAAATGAACCATGTTCCGGTCGCTAGCTCAATCAATGTACTTATGCATTCCGCCGCTCGTGAATTTATTGTACATTCCTTGCGTAGATCTCTGATGAATATAATATATTATGCAATGTGAATAAATGTGATATATTTACTGCCCGACGGACAACTAGATATTTTTTTATTGTTTATAAATATGCTTATTATATAATTTCAGCATGTACTTAATTGCAAAGCGACATTCCGTTCCATATTAAATAGTATTGGGTATAATCAATATTGTTAGCATTTAATCGACAGTGTAACTTCTGCAACAGTCAGTATTGTACATAAGTTTAGTAGTTATTGTTGTACTTACCTACATTAGAAATCAATTTATTTTAATGGCAAAGCGTGCTGTTTTTATAGTATAATATTATTACTTTGAATATAAGGGTAGTAATACTGAGCATTGTAATGAATTTATTTTATATTAAATGGAATAATTAGATAATGATGAAGGATGCAAGCAATGTTACCGTCCACAGTAAGTGTAGTTTGAATTTGAATGAATTTTGCGTGTTTTTGCACCTCACAGCCTATTGGCTGTTTACTCAATAAACGGCATTCTTTATAAAGTGTTTTTTTTATATCCCGTTCTTTAAGTAATTCACAATTATACCTTTTAAATACCGGCCAAGTGTGTGTCGTACTAAGTTTTGTAGCAAAACTGAATATAAAAATGGGGTTAGTAAATTATAACAAATTTAAAGTTTATAGTTCAGTGGGAAGATTAAAAAAAAATTGATAGATTTTCATTAATTTGCTTCGCATTTTTTTTTAACTAAAAATAAAGTTGTCCTCAGCTCTCAAACAACTACACCCCACTTTAACACCAATTAGCCTAGCCCCAAAGTGAGCATTGTAATTTAACTGTAAGAGTCAACGCCTTCCCTTAAAAAAGTCAACTTTAATCAAAGATAAAAATTACATTTATTTTTAGTAGATAACTTGTAAAGAAAAATTAGGAAATAGGTTTTTAAGAAACTGTTCAAAATGAAACCATTGCATAGTTCTAAACACGTCCTTTAATCAAATACTGTACAGACTGTATACATGACAATATGATACAATTAACAACGCGCATGGCGCCTCGCCGC